TAGGCCAGCGCGGGGACTCGGCCCCCGCGTCATGGCCTAGGGGCCAGCTGCAAGCGCTTCCCGGACACCGTGCGGCCAAGGGGCGAAAGCCCTAGGCCAGCGCGGGGACTCGGCCCCCGCGTCATGGCCTAGGGGCCAGCTGTAAGCGCTTCCCGGACACCGTGCGGGCAAGGGGCGAAAGCCCTAGGCCAGCGCGGGGACTCGGCCCCCGCGTCATGGCCTAGGGGCCAGCTGTAAGCGCTTCCCGGACACCGTGCGGGCAAGGGGCGAAATCCCTAGGCCAGCGCGGGGACTCGGTCCCCGCGCCATGGCCTAGGGGCCAGCTGTAAGCGCTTCCTGGACACCGTGCGGCCAAGGGGCGAAAGCCCTAGGCCAGCGCGGGGACTCGGTCCCCGCGTCATGGCCTAGAGGCCAGCTGCAAGCGTCAAGGGGCGAAAGCCCTAGTAGGCCAGCGCGGGCATTCGGTCCCCGCGTCATGGCCGAGGGGCCAGCTGTGGGCGTTCCCCGGACACCGTGCGGCCAAGGGGCGAAAACCCTAAGCCCGCGCGGGGACTTGGCCCCCGCGTCATGGCCTAGGGGCCAGCTGTAAGCGCTCCCCGGACATCGTGCGGCCAAGGGGCGAAAGCCCTAGGCCAGCGCGGGGACTCGGTCCCCGCGTCATGGCCTAGGGGCCAGCTGTGAGCGCTCCCCGGACACCGTGCGGCCAAGGGGCGAAAACCCTAGGCCACCGAGCGCGGGGACTCGGTCCCCGCGTCATGGCCTAGGGGCCAGCCGTGAGCGCTTCCCGGGGACCACGCCGCGCGGCCAAGGAGGGGGCAAAGAAAGGCCCCAGGCCAGTGTGGGGACTCTGTCGCCGCGCCATGACCTAGGGGCCGGCTGCAGACCCGGCGCCAGTTTGTTCTTTTCTTTTCATCTTTGCGCGCGGCAGGCTAATGAATCTATTGCGCGCAGGCAAGGGAGCCGCGTCCGCAGGCCCGTCGCGGGTCATTGAATGCAAGGCGCACCGAGATAGCTAGCTGCGAGCGACCTGCCTGCCCAGTGCCACCGCGCGCGCAGACAAATGCCGGAAGGTCGCCGCACGGGGACTCTGTCCCCGTGCTCGGGCCTTGTTTGTAATGCAATTTTATACTAGTACGATGCTTTTGCATTGCGTAGATACCCGAGGAGGTGATGGATAAGGGATTTGGACAGCCGGTTTTCCGTTTATGAAAGCCTCAGAATGGAAATCCTCAAAGTGGAAATAATTTGTGATGCATGAAATGCAAGGCAAAAAAGACTATATTGCAGAGGACACAATGGAGGCCGACTATTGTCCTGCTAGGGGTGAAGCATTGGGCTACTGATTAGCACGACAGAACGGCACCCCTTTGCCTAACTAGCATGACAGACACGTTTTGAGTGCCCGGGAAATTTGTCATGCGCCGACTACAAATGGCGCTTCAACTGGAGTCGTTTTTCTGCATTACAAATTATTTCCACTTTGAGGATTTCCAACCTGAGGCTTTCATACCGTTACGTACAGTTTTTTCAGCACGTGAAAATAGGACCAGGAAAGTTTGGGGGATGTTGGACATGACCACAGTTCTTCGTCGCCAAGACGATCTTCTTCTACTTCGTGAACTCCAACTCCTCTTCGCCCCACTTGATTTTTCTTCCCTGCTCTCTTCTGCAGCGCCTTTGTCATCCCGGCCCAGGATAAAGGCGTCTTTTTCTCATACTCCAATCCGAACGGCGGCTTTGGCTGCTGGGAGTCGAGCAAAATACACTCTTCCAGGGTCGCGGTTTCGTCTTTCTGGGTTTCGCCCACTACTCCTGTAGCGTCGGCATCTTGATCTTCGCCACCACCACCAGCCGAAAAATTCATGTAGTTCGCATGCGCGTCGCTCCATTTCTGCCACTGCTCCGTGAACTGTTTGTGTTGCTGCTCAAAATTGAATTTGTTGAAATTGTCGTTGTCTTGCTCAGGACCATAACACGTCGAATCTTCGTACTGTTGCTTCAAGAGCCTCAGTATCCTGTGCAAATAAAGTATCGCACTCGTATTGCGATCATGCATTACAAATCTTTTTCTTGAGGAAAATCCGCATTACAGATTTCATTTGTCATGCTGAGAAAATTTGTAATGCATTTATGCGAGTACGATGCTTTTGCACTGCATAAGGAGCTCGTGTTGGATCAACTCCCTCGTTTCACTCGGAACCTGTTGGAAGCAATCCGTCAGCGATTCGGGCTTGAACGTCAATGTACTGCCAAAAGTACCTATGCATTACAAATATGTCTGGGTCTGGAAACTTGTAATGCTAAAGCTTGGATAAGACTGACGCTCCCTCTCAAGTGCAGCCAAGCATGACAAGTATACTTGACGCCGTCTGATGCGTAGCACGCATGACAAACTGCGTTTTTGTAGGACGAAAAAGTAGCGCCTTTCTTGCTAGCTGTGCAATACAGATTTTTCAGGAATGCAAGACATGCAACACAAGTTCGACTTTTCCAGACCCAGACATTTTTGCAATGCATACTACCTCCACCTCTACGAAGCCGCTGTCGTTCGTCGCCAGATGAGCAGGCCTGCTCTGAAAGCCCGTCGCTTGCGGAAGGCGTATCTTTGGGCGTGCTCCTGCTCGCATTATCCGTCGACGTCCCTCCAGACTCACTCCAATCGTCTGTGTGGTGGTCACAGTTTGGGTTATTGTAATTACGCATTTCCATTTTGTTGGCGTGCTGCATGCAAGATGATGGTGCGCATAGAACATTTACATAGTTAGACATACCTAAGATTCGGTCTCATACACAAATTATACACACAACTCCCCGCAACACATAATTTGAAACTAAACCACACGAGGTACGACCACCAAACTAAAAATGTCTGTGTGCTCGTGCTGCTCGAGCGCGACTTCATCACGAATCACAATAATGCCAAAAAACCACGTACAAAAGCCCTTTGTAATTACCATCCTCCTCATCTTCCTTGAGTCCCACTTTGTCAAAAATCTTTTTCAAGTCGTGCCCGTGGTCGATGGGTAGCCTGGTTCTCCCGCTGTCCAAATCGACGAGGGTTTTGCGCTGTTTAGATCGACGTGGCCCACTGGCAGTTGCTTTATCACGTCGCCGAGGTCCTTTAAGGGAGGTAGAATCACCTGTACTACCACTGTGTGGTCTTCTATGGCTCTGCGCAGGAACGTTATTTTTACACCGCCCTTGCTGGTGCTGGTGCGACCCCCGCACAGCTTCTCCGTCTTCTTTTTCCTCGTTGTCCCTTGCTGTTCTTCCGGTGTCAGCACCATCTTCCTCCGACGTGGAGGTTGTGTCCGTGTCGTCCGAAAGGCTCTTTTCCTCCTCGCTTGAAGATGTCGACTTATCGCTGGGCAGGGACGAGCAGGAGCTTGTTTCCCCGTCCTCCGACTTGATGTTGTTCCGGGCGGGCTGCTGCTGCTGCTCCTCCTGCGCGTCCTCGTGGTTGCAGCTCGTATCAGGATCAGTCACGCCGTGATGGCGTTCCGAATTATCCGGAACAAGAATCGAAACCTCGTTTTCATCGCTCTCAGCGTCCGGTGCTCTCCTTTCCTGCGGTGGAAGCAGTCGCTCGACGTCCGTTCTGGTGCTCTGCGCTTGTAGTTCTACGTGGTCCGCAACTCGACTAATCCCTGCAGCGGATGCTGGTGAAACTACAAGTGGCGGCGAATTTTTGCAAGAGCCCGGGGATCGAGATCCGCCGTCGGTAGAACGCTTTTTTTCTTCCTCTCGCTCTTCATCTAATTCCCCCGATGACGGCATGGTGGGCAGATCTTCGATAGGAGCGGAGGTTCTTGCGCGTCGAAAAATGGGTACTCCACTCCTCCTCGCACAAGGGTGCTGGGCTGGTGCGGAAGCTACTTCTACTTACTAGCGCGCAGCATCTTTCGATTCAGAAGACAGCATCTTGCCGCCGTAGGCGATAGGGCGGTGGTGGGGTTAGATTTCAGCTGTAACAGTACCACGACTACTACCACCAACTGCGATGGAACAAGAGCTCATACAACCTCAAATTACAACACATTCATAAGCAGCTCCGTATCGAGAATTGCCATACCGATACCCCAGTACCATACGCGCAAGGAATCACGCACTTACTCGTACTGAGCCGCACTTTACAGTTTTATACCAAATTTGATACTTTCACAGAAACGAAAGAAAGCCGAAAATGGTTTCTATACACTGAAGGAGCTGTACCTGTAGCTGTAGTACAATTCAACTTTTTGCTTTTGTTGAGGTAGAAGGCAGCTTGGGGCGCGCTATGCTGTATTAATTTGTCTGGACGACGTCGTAACACGACGTAAAGAGGGCAGCATCAGAATCGTGAATGGGAACCACGGCTGGTGAGAGCCAAGGTAGGCAGAGGAAGTCAAGTCGACAAAACTACTGTATACAACTACAACTGCAGATCCACATCTGCGCGATCAGACATTCAGCTCTTCCTTCTCTACTACAGCAGGAAGGTGACCACGACTATGTCCATCAGACCATCTATTCCGCGGAAGTCAAGAAATCAACATCTTCACCACGCTGCGGCTTCACAACTCTGAGAGATGCAACTACATTGGATCCTGTTCCTGTCTGTACTTACGACAACCATTACGCGGTGTTGAAGACTCGCTTTCAACACATCTGAAACTGCATCAATTTGCCGCACGAAGGTGCGTACAATCGATGGAACAGAGTCTTCTCTCTCAGGCTGCTGCAGGATCATATGATCGTGATCACTTTCAGTAAATGTACCAGTTGTTGTCTAATGTTCTGTGACCCTCATGGAGAACAAGTAGAAGATCTCATACTTTTTACAAGGACAACAGACTCAGCAGACAGTGCCAACGACCACATTCCTCGAGAAGGATGAAACTGACAAGCGCGAGCCCTGCAATCGCAGATCATTGTGGAAGCTGTGAGAAGTCACTTCTTCTACTGCTGCATGATCTTTTGTCCGGAACAGCTCCAGCGCTGCTTTCAGCACAAAGGCTTTCGTACCTACAACGCAGCAAGAAAAGATTTCTGAAAGCATCCAAGTCATGAAGCAACGCTGAGTCTAGGGGAGCTTGACTGCTCCCGCAGAGTTGCCAGCGTCCCGCTGGCAACTTTTCTCTGGGGTGTGAACATACAAGTATAGCCTGCTGGGCAATCAAAAATGGTCTGCAGGCTCCTCACGGTCAAACAACTCGCAGCTGCGGGCGGGCCAATTCGTTCCCGCGCCCCGAAGCGAAGCGTGCGCAGAGACTGCACAGCCAAGGCGCGTCGCGGGCGGCGCCGCTACGAGGGGCTCGGGCGGATTCACACACCGGAGCCCCGCTGCCGGTCTGAAGCACGCTCGTACGCTGCTGACCCCGCCGACGAATGAATGGCGGCGGGCGGGGCTGCCTGGTGGCGCCCCAACGCGGGCTCGGGCCGCCTCGCGCACAAGAAACGGGCTGGCCATACGGGGAAATTGGGCGACGGGGCTGCTGCGCTCCTCCACCAGTTTGTCCTCGAGGCCCACGAGCGCCCACCCCTGCGCCAGGTCGTCGAAAGTGGGCCGCCCGCTTTGTGGCAGGTAGCGGCAGCTCTGCTGGAGGCCCCTGCCTGTCTGTGGGGCGCCCCCCCGGAAATTCCATCCACTCAAAAAAACAAACGGAAGAGGAGAGGGCGGCGCCGGCTGTCGCATGGTGTTGGGTTACACGCCGCTCCGATGCTCGCCCCTGCCCTGGCTGGCGTGCGCCCGGCTGATAGTCATCAACCCATTTGGTAGCAACTCGCGCACCCGCGCCGGGCCGTGCAATCGGTTAAGCAACCACCAACGGCGCCAACGCGCGGCGTGTCGATGGCGCTGCAGCCGTGCTCGCGTCGCGTCGCGACCCGTGCGAGACAATCCATGAGAAGTGCGGAGCCTGACACCCAGGCTCAGCAAAAGGCGGGAAGCGGCCAGACTCTCTCTACACCGCCCTCCCTCTTCGGCTGATGAGGAACATGCCGCAAACATACCACACGTCTTCACGTTGTTGAAGAAGTAATTTTCATGAGGCCGCTCTCAGCACGACGAGGATCCTGCTGCACTGAAACTCAAAATGACCTCTTCATCTGTCCAACAACTAACTCGACGCTACGTCGCTCCTGTGAAGCAAAGCAATAATAAGGTAGTGTCTGTGGTCCCCTCTCGTATGAAGAAAAAACCTCCTCGTTCCTCATTTCTGACTCGCATACAACCTGAAAGTTGCCTTCCTCTGATACAGAAGTGTAAACCCCGCCAGCTGAAAATAAATCAGCCACAACAATACGATGCCCGTGCCGGGATTTTTGTGGCGGAAAAATACTGCGCGGCAGCTCTGTCTATTCTTATTCAATGTTGACGGTCGATCTGGATCAACATTCGACTTTTTTTATCAAAAAAAAACCGTACACATGATGTCCTCCTTGTCATACGCAGTTGTTGTTGATGATCTGTCTCTTTCAATAGCAAGCATCCGTCGAACCTGAAGTAAGTACTCGTCAAATACGACCTAGGTCTTGCAAATGCAATAGTTTTCAGTCTTGTTTCAATGTGCGATAATTCTAATCAGCCTTTGTTTATTTTTTCATAGAGCCACCTTCCTCGGCGTCGGCGACGTCAAGTAGACTTTATTTCCAAAATTATTCTCTTACAAGAAACAATGTCAATGACTCCAAGTCCAACTACATCACATCAAATTCAAGTCATAATCTATTTCACCAAGCACCCCTACCGGTGACGGCTTTCAATAATCTCCCCCACTTCCTTGAGCAGCTCCTCGACATTAGCTGTGCATTCAAAAACTAGTATGCGAAGATGGTGGTGCCACATAACAGTGCACGAAGCACATCTGTAGCACAACAAGATCGGGTTTTTATTCCTGTGCCCGGCATGCAGAAGACGTTGCCAACTGGGATTATACGCGCATCACAAACTCCACAAATAAAGGTGATGTAGTACCAACAGCTTCACATTCTTTCGTGACGCTGCATAGCAATCCGGCCGGTTGTTCCCACCCTGGCGAAATCCTCTGAAGCCGTCGTGGTCCCTAGTACCCTGTTTAATACCGGCCCTCTCTGCGTAGGTCTCGTCTCCGCCGGCGGAAAATGAAGATGTTGCATCATGTCAGACGGCCTGCTACTTCGGCTGACAGGAACAACTTCACCCTCTACGGCTTCGGGGTAATACAGCAATTGGTTCGTCTGTTCCCTCAAGTCTTGGTTTTTTGTTTTTCCCTCGTCTTCCGTTCGTTCTCCGACTTCCTCCTGCGCATCGACGGACCGACTGTAGTCTTTACGTTTACCCCCATTTATCTCATCACCGTCACCCTGCTCCGGCCTTACAAACTCCCCGTTTTCGTCAAACAAACCGCCGTTTGTGTTCTTCGAACTCGTTGGTTTGGAGGACGAAATAAAGGCGGTCTTTAACACTGGCTGTGCCTGTTGCTGTTGACCACCTGCAGCTCGTACGACCGTGTGGTCTCGTACAACTCCCGCTCCAGGTCCAGCAACTGGCAAAATATGTTGTGGCGCCACCAGATCACTCTTGTCGCGCTCGGATCTTTCTCTTCCGTCGTTCTCTGCGGCTGCTCTGGTGTTGAACGGGTTTTTATCGTGCGAAACTGCGGCTGGTGCGAAATCATAACTTGTGCCTTGTTTACTGGTGCCGGTCGGGAGGTGAAGATGTTGAGACGATGGCAGCATGTCGCTACTTGACCCGCTCGCGGCCACCGTCAGCTGCTTCTGCACCACGACCCTGCTCCCCGCACCCGCTCCCCCGCCGCCAGAACCCCCGTAAAACGCTTGCTGCTTGTTCTCCGCCATCACCTTTGTTAGTAACCCTTCCCGTTTGTCCACCCGGTTTTATGCAGATTGCAAATCCATATCGCACTAGCATGAATGATCGCATGACAAATTTCATCCTCAGCCTGAAAGGCGCAATTTGTAATGCGCTTAAGAATAAGGATTTGCAAAAATGCATGCCTGCGAGTTGATCTTGATGTACTACGAGTACGATACTTTTGCTTTTGCAATGCATAGGTTTTGCCACTCGACGATTTCTTCCTCCGCTAAGGTTAGCTTCTTCTCGTAGGTGATAATTTGCTTCCTATGGATTGTAATAATGTCTGGGTCTGGAAACTTGTGATGCTGGTTGACGTATCATAAAGAGGCCACAAGTGCTGGCTCAGCATGACAAGCTTCTGAGCTTCTAGGTTTTGCCTTTTCTGCATGACAGACTGCGTTTCTGCATGACAGCAAAGTGGGGCCCTTGGGTAACATGCATGACAGATTTTAGAGTCATGCCAGACAAGCATGACAAACATGCAATCTTCCAGACCCAGACATATTTGCAGTTGATACTTCCTTAATCTCTCCATTTCGTCCGCCACCTTCTCCGCCGAGTTTACGTCGAGTTGCTTTTCCAAGAACTGGTTTTTTATGCATTGCAAAAGCATCGTACTAGTATAAACCGCATGACAAATTGACTTAGCATTACAAATGAAATTTGTAATGCGGATTTGCCTCAAGAAAAAGATTTGTCATGCACATCTGCGAAGATTAATACGAGTACGATATTTTTGCACGGGATATTTTTCTTCACGAGTTGATTCACTTTCTTGATCCAGAATTCCTTGATTTGACTGTCTAGCTTCTCGATTTTCTCGTTCTTCTTCGACAGAATTACTTCATCGAACTCTAGGGTAAGCAAATCCGTCCGGAACGCCGTCGTGACCTCGACCGCCTGCTTCATCAACAGGCCCAGAGTTTGCTTTTGGATAACAACCGTCGTGGTTTGTTTTGACGAGGATAGGTGCGCACCCCCAGGCCCTGCTCGGGTAGTTGATTTGGAGGGAGATCTTGACGAAGGTGAAGAATCTCTCGGCAAATTTTCGTTCTCGAAAAAGAAGCACAGCTCCTCCGCATCGGCAATCTCTTCCGCTAAAATCGGTAGTTCCTCCCCTTTCATTTCCTTCGTTAACCCCATCTGCTTTCCGTCGATGAAGGAGTCTACTAGTTGTAAAGCCGCGGTCCCCGCGGACTGCATCCCGGAGAACGAGACATCTATCCCCTCCAGTGGCTCATCATCAAACCCGGAGAAAATGCTGCGTTTGGATTCCTGGTAAAACAGCAGCGGGTTCCCGGAGTTCTGGTTGGTCTGGCTCCTCACCCCTATGAAATGCAAAAATGTCTGGGTCTGGAAATTTGTAATGCTGGGTGGCGTCTCATAATGAGGCTACAAATGCTGGCTCAGCATGACAAGTTTCTGAGCTTCTAGGTGTTGCCTATTCTGCATGACAAACTGCGCTTCTGCATCACAGAAAAGCGGAGCTCTTGGGCAACGTGCATGACAGATTTAAGAGTCATGCCAGATAAGCATGACAAACATGAATTCTTCCAGACGCAGACCCAGACATATTTGCATTTGATAACCCCGTCCATGTTGTTATTCTCCGTGCTGTTCAATGTGGTTTCAATGTTAGAGTCTAACAGTTGTTCGTTTTTCATCTCGTCTCGTGGAGACCGCGACGGCGCTATCCCAGTATGTATGCATTGCAAAACTATCGTACTCGTAGTATTGCAATACAAATTTAGCTCAGCATGACAACTGGAATTTCTCATGCTGATTTAGCTTAAGAAAAAAATTTGTCTTGCATGACTGCAATTAGTACGAGTACGATACTTTTACACAGGATAGTATGCTCCTTCCTCTGATACATCGTCGACATCTGATATTGAGAGGAAAACTCCCCCCTCCCCATATCGAAAAGGTATGTTTCCGCAAATTTGTCTTGCTGATTTGAGACCACAAATCACGTCTGTCTTGCAAGAAGACAACTCCACAGGCCCTGCCGCATTATGCAGGCAGTTTGTGATGCTGTAGGGCCTACAGGTACAGCGTAGACGCTTCTCATGCTAAGCGCCTAGGCCAAAACCTTTCTACTCAGGCTTGGCAGGAGCCTGCAGTCCTCTACTGCAAGACAAACCTGATTTGTATACGCAAATCCAGCATCAGAAACTTCCGTTTGATATGGGGAGGGGGGATTTTTCCTTGTGATATCTGATGTAAATTCCGCATTTTACTGTTCGTCACGACCTGCTGTTGCAGCAACAGCAAACCCCGCATCGGTGGCACGCCCGGCGTTTTCGATTCATCAAACACCGCTTCCGACCGGATCTTCTTTGTCGCATACAAGGCTCTCTTCTGCAACTTCTGCAGCAACAGCTTCGCGAGTTCCAGAAACGCGGGAGAGCTTGTATGGGATTCTCAAGCGTTACACTCTCAGCTGTTACATGATTTGTCATGCAAAAGCACAATCAGAATTGACACGATCAAGCTGCTTCGCATGGCAAATTTTCGAAGCCGCGCCAAACAGGCTGACTATCCGTGCCATCAAACCTGTAATGCAAAAGGCGCAATCATCTTTATTTTCCCTTTCAGATTCAGTTTTGCTATTCTTGCATTACAAGTTCACGCACGACTACTAGTTGAGAATGTAACATTTGAGAACGCCATAGCTTGTGTGGGACCCGTGCTCGGAGATGGTCTGGACTGGGTCCTTATCCTGTGCAAAAGCATGATGCTTTTGCATGATTGTAATACGAGTGCGATGCTTTAAGCATCGCACTCGTATTACAATCATGCATTACAAATCTTTTTCTTCACCCCAATCAGCATCACAAATTTTATTTCTCATGCTGAGGAAATTTGTAATGCATTTATACAAGTATCGGATACTTTTGCAGCTCATAGTCCTTGGTAAATTCCTTCTCGACGTTCGATAGGTAATTTCTGTCTTGCTTTTTCCGGCTCTTCTCCCTCTGTTTTTGTTTTTCATACTCCAAGACCTCCTTCCCTCTCGTCCTTTGCTGCTCCTTCTCGTGCGCGATAGACAGCATGGCTGCGGCTTTCCCCATCTGCTCCTTCATCGAGGAATCTGTCATCAAAGCCTGCCATTGGGAGACGATGTCGTAGTAGCCCTCGACCTGTTCCACCTCGGAAAGTTCTTCGCATATCCTGAGTAAAAACGTCCCCACACCAGAGTTCAGTTGTCGTGCAAATGCGCAATGACAGGAACATTCGTAATGCGCAGCTCCATCATGAGAGGCATTTCCAATCGTGTTTTGGAATCTGTAATGCTGTAAACAGGATGCGAAAGTGGCTTTCTCATGCGGCTTCTCTTGCCAATCAGCACTACCCTGCAGAGGGAAACTTGTCATGCACAGCTCCCAAAACTTGGAGACTTGTGTTGCTAGATTCCCAACTTGACTGTGGGGTGGGGACGTTTTTACAAATGATATCACACAGCCTGTTCCGCATGTCGTCGATCTGTTCAAACAAGTTCTCGAGCTTCACTTTCGCGGTCTCGTAGAGCAGCGTTTTTTTCGTGGCGGTGTCAAGTTTCGGCTGGTTTTTATTGTCTGCGTCTTTGTTCTGCTTGCTTGTTTTCCCTCTGGTGGCAGTCGTTCCTGGTCTACTCTTCATCGGGGATGAGGAAGTTGATTTTGGCGAACCGGGTCGAGAGGAAGACTTCGCTCCTTCTTTTCCTGTTTTTGGCGACCCGCTCGTCGGTGACTCATCCCCACCGGAACCAGACATTTCCGCTATCTCCTTCAACATGTCCGGAGGAATCATTTCACTCGTTTGCTCCACGAAGTTGTCGTCCCCAGACAGTAAATACGGTAGGCAAAACGCGTCACTAGGTGCGGTACACGATTCCCAGTTTAGCAGCGGCTATGAATTGCAGAAGTATCCTCGTACTCGTATAAATGCATTACAAATTTCCTCAGCCTGAGAGATAAAATTTGTAATGCTGATTTGCCTTCAGAGACAGATTTGTGATGCATGATCGCAATACGAGTACGATACTTTTGCACAGGATAGCGGCTTCGCGTTCACAATCTCGCCCGACTCATCCACCCGTGTTTCCGTAACCATGCGGTTTTTCACGACGCAGTTCCGCACCACATCGATGTTCGCGTGGTGTCGTATTTAAAAACGCCCCCGCCCCACAGTTGTAATGCAAATCTGCATGCTGAAAATGCTTCTCATGCGGAGCAGCCCCATGACAGGCAGCATCTCGCCACGTTTTGGAATTTGTCATGCTCCAATCAGCATGATGCACTAGATCTGTGATGCTGCTGAACTACCTCAAACAGTACGACGCTACGAGTTCAATTTTGTCATGCAAAACAGCCAAAACTTGTGGACTTGTCTAGCCGATTCCCCATCTTGACTCTGGGGTGGGGTCGTCTTTACGTAGGATACGTGCGCCAAAATCGTGATGTTTTCCTTAATCGAAATTTCGTTATCAAATGCAAATATGTCTGGGTCTGGAAGGTTGGAACTTGTCATGCTGTTTTTGTACTCTAAAAAAATTTGTATTGCATGACCAGCAATAAAAGGGGCACAATTTGTGCTACACGGACAGGGCATTTCTCATGCGGAAGGTGCATCAGGAAGCCCTCTAAGAGTCTGCGATGCTAGGTCATGCATTACAGACATCATCCATTTCCATGGGTCATGAGAAATATGCATGACAAATCTTGCACTTTTCCAGACCCAGACATTTTTGCATTTGATATTCGTACAAATTCTCCAACTCTTTTCTCAACCACGGTTTGATACACCCATCGAACAAATGAGTCAAAATTTGCCGGACGAAGTTGGTTGAAACTTGGACATGGAATCTCGTTTTCAGCAACTCTTCGCCCGTTTTTAGCAGTATCACGTTGTTGGTCCGATGAGGTTATGCATTGCAAATATCCCTGGATGTCTTGAAGAATGAAAGATTTGCCATGCAGGTTTTCCATGACCACCCTTGACCTCTGGAATGCAGCACCTAGCATGACAGATGCTGTGAGATTTCTACCATGCCTATCCTGCATGAGACACTCCATGCCAACCTGGTCAGAAGTGGACATCGTTTGGTACTCATGCAACACAGATTTTGGCATGATACAGACTGAGCATGACAAGTTGCAACATCCTTCGTCCAGACCCAGATATATTTGCACGGCATAGGAGCTTCAACAGCGAGTCGTACTCCTTCGCCTTCCTCGCTTTGTCCTCGATGAGAGTTTCGAGCTGCAGCATTTTCCGGATCCCTTTTTCCATTTTCTCCGTGAAAATCTTCTCGGCGTTTTTCACATCCACTCATCCTCAGGAAAAACGTCACCACCCCAGAGGTGTCATGCCAATATGCATGCTTCAAATGTTTTTCATGCGGAGCCCCATGAGAAGCATTTTCTAGTGGTGTTTTGGAATTTGTGATGCACGAATCAGCATGATAGGGTAGATCTGTGATGCTGCTTCACTAGCTAAACAGGATTACAGTAGAAGGCCAAACTTGTCATGCGAAACAGCCACAGCTGGTTGATTTGTGTAGCAGATTCCCCATGGTGACTCTGGGGTGGGGATGTTTTTACACAGGATACCACTTTCATCTGGTTCAGTTCCTGTTTCAACAATTGGCACTGCTCTGTGGTAAAAGCCAGCATCGCTTCCCGCTTTTTCCTGCTGAAGACGCCGGTTTGAAAATCAACTCTTTCCTCCAATTTCACCACGTGCTGCTTGTGCTGATCGAGCAAAAAAGTCGCACGGTCTAGGCTGTGTTGCAAGTTGTAATGGTCCTCTTCTTTCTTCATCAACTGCTGCCGCAACTCATCCTGTGCAAACGTATCGCACTCGTAGTAATTATCGCAGTCATGCATTACAAATCTCCATCCCAAGGCGAAACAGCATGACAAATTCCATTTGTCATGCTGAGCTAATTTGTAATTTGTATTGCAATTACTACTAGTACGATAGATATTTTTGCAGTGCATACAACTCGTGGTTTTCCAACCGGATGTCGTCCGCTATATTCCCCGATTCCCGTTTTGACTTCTCGTTGATCAATTTCGAATGTGAATTGCAAAAGTATCGTACCCATAGTGATTGCAGTCATGCACTACAAATCTCTCTCTTAAGGTAAAGCCGCATTACAGATTTTATTTCTCATGCGGAGAAAATTTGTATTGCAATTACTACTAGTACGTTACTTTTGCAGTGCATATCGAATGCGTCAAAACCTTCTCGTAATTCAGCTTCTGCGCATCCAGCATCGTGTCTGCTTCGTAGCTATCAAATGCAAATATGTCTGGGTTTGGAAAGGTTGAACCTGTATTGCGTGTCTTGCATTCGTGAAAAATCTGTGTTGCGCATAAGCAGCAAAAGTGCCACTCTATCGTGATGAAACATCGCAGTTTGTAATGCGCACTACGCATTAGAAAGCGTTCGAGAGATTTGTCATGCGTCGCTGCACTTAAAAGCGCACTCAATCATGACCATTCAGCATCACAGGGTTCCAGACCCAGACATATTTGCAATGCATAGTAGCGGTGCTTGTTCTCGATCTGCTCGACTTTTCGCGTGTGCTCCTTCCGCTCGTCGTTGATGATGGTCCGGAGTTTTTCCAGCAGTAAGTAGGATTCTTTCAGCCGCTTGAAAACGGAGTCGTTCTCGCTTTCTAAGCGCTTATTTTCTTCAAACAGCTCCTGTTTCTTCTGGTCGGAGTGCTGTAGTTTCTGCCGAAACAAGTCCGCTTCCTCTTCTTTCTCGTTGACTTTTTTCACGAGTTTGTTCCGCTCCTCCGCGTTTTTGAAGGAGAGAAACTGCATCTGTTGCTGTAAGTCCGCTTCGTTGGACCTCGCCTGCTCCAAAAGTTTTACCTCCTGGTTTTGCTGGTCCTGAAAAATTATGAACTGCAAAAGTATCGTACTAGTATAGATGGCATGACAAATTTCCTCAGCATGACAAATGCAATTTGTCATGCTGATTTGCCTTGGGGACGATATTTGTAATGCAAGCATGACTGCAATTACTACAAGTACGATACTTATACTTTTGCACAGGATAAAAATCTGTTTCTTCAAGTCGTTAATTTCGTCTTTCTGCTCCTGTTTCCGTTTTTCCTCTTTATGCATTGCAAAAGTATCGCACTAGAACTACTAGATGAAATCGCATGACAGACCTTAGCACTACAAATGAAATTTATTATGCAGATTTACCCTTACGAAACAAGATTTGCAATGCATGATTGCAGTATAGTACGAGTACGATACTTTTGCAAAAATGCGTACTCTTCTTCCTTCCCTAACTCCTTCTGCTCCAAAACTTGACGGTACTTGGTGCGCAGCTTGTGACACTGATAAAGGATTCTGATTCAGTTTCGTCAATGCAGAAAAACCTATCACAAAAGGACTTTGTCATGCATAAAATCACATCACGAAAGAAAAGGCTAAACCACGGCACCGCGATATTAAACCGAATAAAGCTGCAAAAACTATACCTTCGCCTTGTAATTTCCCACGTCGTTCTCGTACCGCTCTGACAGGGCATCAATCTTCTCCCCCAGCACCGCGTACTGCCGTCTCATCGTCTGTCGTTCCTGTTCACTCTCTTGCAGCGCGTTTCGGAGCATCGCAATTTCCCTTGCATGATTGGTATGATTCATGCTGTTGATGTTCCTGGTCGAGGAGCTTGCTGTTGATGTGTGGGGGTTATTTCTGTTATTCCGGCTTCCTCGGTGTAAACGGAGAAGCTCGGCCGCGGTATTAGGCGAGGTTGACCCACCACCGACAGGGTAGTTTTTGCCGTTCTGATATGATCCTGCATTTGTTCTGCTCCCAACAGCCCCACCAGTACTCGCATCCAGCATTCCAAATTTCGTTCGCAACCGGTCCAAATTCGTCGTATCGAGGGAAGGCGCAGTAGTACTTGTGGCGAACAACAAATTTTGGCCAGTTCCTTCTCGAGCTCCGCTCCTGTTCTGCATGACAGATTTGGAGCTGGTGTGATCCGGTTTGTGTTTACTCTGTCTTGCTGAGGAGGAGGAAGAAGAAGCGGAAGTTCCGACCACCAGTGTCGGAATCACGGTGGTCGGAGGCTGTGCTGCGCCGATACTGGATCCTGGGAGTGGTTGATGTATTTCATCGTCATCTTCTCCCACTGGTAGTACACCTGCAGATGAAGAAGATGATGATGGTGCTATAATGCCGGCACCCGTGACCGGCACCACAGGTTGCCCGATTACTACGTCCGCTTCGTCCAGCTCTATGCCGCGGCGACCAGGTTCTTGCGTCATAATTTTTACACCTCCAGCTCTAGCACTCCTCCCGCTGCTGTTGTAGTCCGTCGTCTGCGCCAGCACTGGTATAAGACCAGGGGCGGTGGGCGGGGAAATCGCCTGCTCTGTTTCTGGAACTGGTCCCCGTCCCGTAGCTCCCACAGCTGCAGGCTGGCCTTGTTCACCTGCTCTGCTGGAGTCCCGTTTGCTAGCGGAATGATCTGCAACAGAAGCTTGGATGGCTGCAGATTCGGCTGCAGTTTCAGCGTCTCCGCCGACAACATCGCCTGTGCTGACGAAGCCGCTTTTGATGTCCGATTCCATGCTGGCGGAAAGCCGTTTTAGCTTCCACCTTTGCGGCGGAGCAAACCCTGCTTATTTGCAAAGTGTCTGACTCTGATGTTGCATGGGCATGCGAATAAAAGATGTCAATGCAGGAGAGAGTGCTGCACTTGTTGACGTCACCACACGTGTACGAAAATTCGCTTGACAAAACATTGTCTTTATTATTCCAAAAAAGCTCTGCTACTTGACTATCTCTCACACTCAAACACTCTGCATTCCTCTTCACTTTCATGAAACCATATATGTTTCTAATGTGTAGCACTGGTATGTGACTCCAACTCCATTTCTGAGCGCCACTCCCTCCCCGCTCTACCACTCGCTGTCGAAATCACAATCAGCCAGGAGTCAACACTGCCGTCAGGGATCAAGGAAAAGCACTGATTTGCAGAGCCTCCAACGTGCGGAGGAAGAGTTTCCACCGCATGGTCACGCCATGGCAATAAGTACTTCTTTTAACAACTACAAACGCCGGCCCCAACAGGCAGACAACACAGACACCGCCCGGGCGCTGTTGTGCCGCTTGATAACTAAGACTGGCAGCGGCACGACCGATGGGGACACGCGGCGCGCACACATGTAAGAATGCCGGCGCGCGCCAGTCAGCTGAGCTCGCTAGCCAAGCCTGTCTGGAGCGGCGGCTCGCTGTGGCCTGCGCGGAGCGTAAGTAAAGTTTTAGAGACGCGCCGGGCATGGGGGCGGCGAGCAGGCACTTTCAGGGCCCGGCCCGGCGGGGCCTGCGTCGGTGACGGCGAGCACCTTGCGGGGCGGGGCGCGCGCCTGGAAGGCCAGGAAGCGGCTGGCGCGACGGCTGCCCGGATGGGCGGCGCGCACAATAAAAGGCGCGGCCGCGTCGGGGCCCCCAGCGGGTGCCCCAGGGGGCAGAGCTCCTTCCCATACAGGGCGCCGGCTCCCGCGTTTTCGAGCATTTTAATGAAGTACTTTTGCGCGACATCTTCGCCGACGAATCGCCGTCCGGCTCGGGCGTATTGACCTGCAGGCCCCAAAAGCAGCAGGCCGTCTCCGTGTGCTGCTGCGCTGCCGTTGTTCTGGACGCAACCTGGCGGAGTAGCGACCGGCGGCCATTTTGTCATTATCGCCGCCCGTCAGCTCCACCACTACGCCCCTGAGCGTCGCCACGACAACCCGGAACCTAGAGCTGCGCCCCGCCAAAAAGCATGCAGCCCAAGACGTCGCGAGGAAGCTGCGAACAAGAAAATGATGCACCCATCACACGCCATCAAGTTTCCCAATCGGTGTGCCTTTCTCTCCATGAACTTTTTGGTAGCTCCCTCACACAGTCAAATACTCTCCGGCGCTCGCCATCACCAGCCAGTTCCAGACATGGTTCTCCTGTCAGAGTGACTCTATTGAACACTCGTTCCTCGCCTTAAAATGAAAGTCCCCTCCTCGTCCTCCCTCTTTGTCATCACTACGCTCCCCTCCTAGGATCACAGAAAAGGCCAACATCAACAACCGTTCGAACAACCGTTCAATAAGTAGCTCTCCAACCTCCAAGCTGTGGCTGGCTGTGGGGTCAGAGAGGCAGTTCCACCGTCTGCTGTGTGATCTCATGAAATGTTTGCTCGACAGCGCGCGTTCCCTCTCGCCGCGCATTTTTTTCGATGCGGTTTTCGTGGCGGGCGCGAGACGACCGCGTCACCAAGACTAACGGCAACGCACCCGGCGCGCCACCGCGCGCAAACACGCAATAAACTGCGCGGCAAGAATTACTTACGCCGGGCGGCGACTTGCCCGCCGCCGCTCTTCAGTAGCGCTTCCAAAAGAAGCAAGACCTGCGCGCCAGGTCGTGGGGCCATACTGATTGCCACTGCCCGCGCGGCCCCGAATATGTGGGGCGCAACGCGTTCCAGGGCCCAGCTAGGGCATACCCGGCGGCGCGGGCGGCGGGGAGCGAACCCGAAAGGCCTGCAAAACATGGGCCGGGGAAAACAAAGCGCGACGACGGGACACGTGAACGGGCGACGAGTCTAGGTCCACCGGTGTTATTCTGTATAGGGTTCTGCTGAATGGTAAAAGCAGGGACGCGGCCGCGCGCGTCGGTCTGTAGCGGGCGGCGAGCGGCGTGATTTCCATGCTCTTGGTCTCTCTGAATCGGCATCAAACGCACGGCACTTGATGCGCGAGGCCGACCACATCCAGGGCATTGATGTGCTACTGCTCGTATTGGCGCCACGCCTACGCCCGCCGCGCGCAAGTCGCTCGGCCGCGCCACAACACTGCCACCACAACACGAAGCGACGCGATGCACCGCGCGCGCCTCTCACATCACCCTGCTCTGTCGCTGCGGAACAAGGGAGAAAGACATCACACGATAATTCTCCTCACATGTCTTCGCAGCAAAGAAACACTCAACCCAAAACGCCCTCTGTGCTCCGCCATCTTGCGCATGTGGTTTCTCCTGTATAAAAGTTGCGCGACTCTATTAACAACTCCCTCTCCACCTCGTCATCGTCCCTCCGTGTCACCCTCCACGGCCCCGGAACAGGATCAAAGAAAGGAAAGCCATAACCACCAGCGGAACAGAAACAGACCTCAAGTAGATCTCAAGCTGCTCTAAGCTGCGAGGGTGCCACAGTCCCAGCTTCTGCTCTCTACTTGTCAAGTCAAATATCATTTCAACAACAAGTGTTCGTTTTTAGCAGACATTTCTAGTTCGTCTTGTCGTGAAACGCATTTTGGGATGAAAAGGTTATAGGTTTTTGTAGCGACATGCGAATGATGCGTTTGCGCCGTGGCCATGCGAGGACCTCGAAAAGTAGTTGTACTGGCGGCCGTGTCATTTACAACACCTGTGGATGGTGTTTTGTAAATCTTACAACCGTGTTTGCCGTCTTCATTCGTATACACTACGCGTTTGCTGTTTATTTTCGGTCGTGTCGTAAAAAGTTGTAAGGGTGAAACGTTTCTCGGTCTTGTGCAAAAAAAGCCAATACCATTATTTAGGAATTTGGTACTCTTGCACGTTGCCCTAGGCTGCGGATTACATACACGACGGTAGTGGCTTATCTTGACAATTCGACTTGCCAGGAAACACGAATGTTGTGACTGCCCGGCTCACCTTTCTTGTCAAGAAAGTGCCTCTTTGGAAAAGTGCAATTTCTGCAAAATTACGGATTCATCTGCCATTGTGCTGTACTGTCGTTGTTGATGGTTACTTCGGCAGATAAGAAATCGCTGCTACGCTAGGTCGCAAGAAATCGCTGCTACGCTAGGTCGCAAAAGATTTAAACACATCTGTAGCATTGTTCCGCAGCGGAGGTCAACAGAGGTGGCACTGAAGAACCCCACGACTGAGGCAACTGATTAAACCAGACACGTTAACAGAAGTCAACGTACTTTGGTGGTATCAACAAATCGAGGAATAATTTCCTTGCAAATAGATTTTTTTGATTCTTCAAATATAATGGGATACAAGAAGGCTTTTCGTCTTTAGTATTTTCGTCTGTCGTTCGTCGAACTTCGAATCTTTTTGATAGAAAGCTATAAGTGTAGTACAGCGGTAAAAAAAACATTATGGTTGCACAACGTACTAGATTTTTCATACCACCGGCTTCGATGAACATGAAAATGCACGTAGAGTGGTTGTACACCATTCTGAGACCGCTAGTCCAACATTTCTTCCTCAACACCATCGTCGCAAAATTTCATAAGAGCCTTTATCTTCTGAGATGGATGTGCTGGAGTGGACATCATAGTAGCGAAATAAGTACAGGTGGACATTTTATTTTGTATTCGACACAGGAAATGCAAATGGCGTGAAGTCATAGATTGGACAGCAACGTCTTCAGAAGGGTAAACTTCCTCGAAGAGCCGCTTTTCGTCGCGATCCGAATCCAGAAATTTCTCTGGAAACAAATCAAATGTAATATTGGGTCTCGTTTAGTACTATAAGAAAGTTGAAAAAGCGCTTAAGACGAGCACCAATGACCACCTTGCGCCCCGTTTTTGAATTTTTTTCCCTAACTTGGATTTTCGAGCTAGGGCAGACACGGTCAGAAACAGCAAAGTAGTTTCCACTAGGTCGTGCGATTGGAAGAAAAAATCAGGTACCAGCTATTATTCGCGTACTAGTCGATATAGATACAGCTCATGCTTTTGCGGGATAAGGTTTCTTGCTGCAGGCCTCGTAAAAACAAGTGCCCACGCAAAACTATAAAAGCTATAAAGGACCAGAAAAAGTGGGCTTGTTCTTTTTGTGTTTTTTCGAGTTTTTTTTCCTTCTCGGCGATAAGCTTGGTCGCTTCAGTTTTTAAGCAGACCCGATTACAACATAAAAGAGGAGATGACCACCAGTACCAAACGATAAATAGAAGTTTGGCCGCTTTGGCGCATCTTGGTGTTGGTCCGGCAGCTGCTGTAATGCCTGCAGCTGTTGGTACTGCATTAGCATCAGATAGTAAACTTGAGATCGTCTACGTAAGTTCGATCGACGAGATATTAGAAGCGAACTTTGAAAAAATTTCCAGGGAGGTAAAACTAAAAGACTAAAAAGATGAAGAAACTACAATTATGCTGCACCACAAACAGATTGAATACGGACAGTCGTGAGAGACCGACCTACAACTAACACGACCCGATAAATGGTAGTGTGCGGCCCCGACTTATGTTGACGCAATGATGTCCCGGGCTCGATCTTTTGTCGTTTCTTGATCTAGTTTCTAGTACCATTTATCTAGTTGAAGAAAGAGCTGCGTTCTTTCAGCTGTGCAAGGCTCAAGCAAGACGCCTCGCCATTCCCAACTATTTGCAAGGCCGGGATGTAAGTGCTAGGCACGACAAGAGCAACGAAAATTTAGAGGACACAAAAGACTTTTTGTGTAATCGATTGCCTTTTGTGTCGTGCTTCTCTAAGCGCGTTCTCGCTCGCAGCTAGTAGCAGTAGTATTACCCAACAAGAAAACGGTTGCTGATATTCCATTTCATTTCAAGAGAGAACTTGTCGTGCGTATATTCGTTTTTGCGGCGCTTTTAGGTGAAAAAGCAGATCATCTTAAGCCAAGGAAAACACGATCTAAAAATAGAATTTTTTGACGCACACGATCTAAAAGCAAAACTCAAAAAAGATTTAGCTACCAGCTTCTTCGTTTTGCTTTAGTTCATATGCAAAATTGATGTATTTCTATTAAGCCGATTTGCTCCGTTCAAGAGAACCTGCAATTCCTTCGTGTATATAATTCTAGGAACCTGTTTCGATCTTCTCCTGGCAGAAGCTTTTTTTTCTATTTCTTGCTTTTGCTAGGTCGTGCGGCGAAGTGGTACCTTGACAGTCAAGAAAGCCCTCAGTAGCCTTTATATATAAAAAAGAAAAACTTCTCGAACCTTTTGTGCTCTTTTAGGTCGAGAAAAGGTGGAGCGTGCCAATTTCCGAAAAATGAGGAACTGACGCAACTACGGGCGGAAAGCGAGAAAGAAATTGGTCTGACAGCGAAAGCGGTGAGCAGCGACATGCTCACCTACATTGCTGCGCAGTTCTTCGCGCACCTTAGAGGTAGAAATTCTGCAGCCATCATTGACTTTGACGTGATAAGTCAATTAAAACCTAAATACAAAGAGGGACGCTCACGCTGACAACAAATTTAGCAACTTATCACTTCGGTGTTGAAAGCAATAGCAAGAAGTCACAGGATATAATCTACCACATATCGTGTGAAATTCACTAAAACACGATAGAGTACTAGGTAAAAATGAAGACGCTCTTGAAGATTAAGATAGAGCTTTATTTTTCGAAAAAATTTTCGGCTTATTTCATTAACCTGAAGATCAGTTTCGATTTAAATTTTGCGCGGCTTCACCGCTAGCCCTACTCGCAGCCCCACCGCCGCTGTTGTTGGAACTTCGATGGTTGTCTTGTTCATTCGGGCCCGACGCGTTGGTAGAGGAAGAAGAGCTACTACTGCTACTACTCGCCGTACTTTCCTTCGCAAACCGTTCTTGCGCTTTCTGCACCTGTGCCATCTGCTCCTCTAATCTTCTATCTCGCGCCAACACCCGCGGCTCTACCCGGAGATTGGGAAAACGTGGATAGGCTGGTGCTTGGGCGTAATTGTTTCGTTGGTCGTTGATCATGTCGTTGAAAGAATTTGAATTGATGCCCGAAGACGACGCCGTCGATGAAGAGCCAGCGGGCTGCACTCGGGTGGTCGTGCTTGTCATGATGGAACAATTGGGCGGCCCGTTACAGTTACCTCTATTGCGACCTCCCCTGAACGGGGGAATTTCCGGTAAGTTTGTTCCGTATTTCGCATGCAAGATTGCTGCCTGACTCAGAGGACCAGCACTAGCTGAGGACGAATTCTGTCGCGGTTCTTGCGGTCTTGATCTTTGTGTTTCTGAGGAGGTGCTGTTGTTTCCATTTTTACTGCAGTTATTTGTAGTTCCTGCTGTTTGTAGTTGACCAGCAACAGAAGTACAAGTAGAGGAGGAAGATGAAGCTGCTCCTGCTGCAGCGTTTCTGCTGTTTCCTGTTGAAGGGCCTCCAACAACCCCAGGGGATGAGAGAACTACTGCAGGGGCGTTCGCGTTGTTCGCCAGCACGACGTTACTAGCATTCGGATTCGCCGGTCGCGGCGGCTGCGCCATAGAACTCCCCGCCGGGAGAGCTGTTGCGGCCGTAGGAGCTCCCCGTGTCGTTGTACTACCCGCCGGTCGTGTAGTAGGCGCCGCAGTTGTAGTAGAGATCATCGGCCGGGGGTACACAGATGAGGGTAAAGCACCACTGTTGCTTATCCTGAGTAAAAACGTACCCACACCAGAGTCAAGATGGGGACTTTGCAACAGAAGCCTAGAACTTTTGGGGGTCACGCATCACAAATTGCAGTCCGTAGTGTAGTGCAGGTTCGCAAGGCCAGCTGCATCAGAAATCGATCTGCTCATCCTGTTTACAGCATTACAAATTCCAAAACACGACTAAAAATGCCTCTCCTGGCGATGCGCATTACAAATGTTCCTGTCATTGCAAATCTGCATGACAACTCTGGTGTGGGTAGGTTTTTGCTCAGGATATTGCTCGACGTAACAGGACCACGAGTAACAACACCCGTGTTACAACTTCCCGTCAACGAGGAAAGGCTAGTACTTCCTGGGGGGCCGAAGATACTGGTGTTCGGGAAAGTGGTCTTGCTCAAGGGAGCAAAGATGTTGCAGCTCACGGGAGCAGGAGCCGCGGCGGCAGTGCCAGCGCCGGTTGATGTCGACGTCCTGGAAGTAGCAGTAGACGCAGCTGCTGCTGCAGTAACAGAAGTTGTACCGAGATTATTGGCCGGCCTTCTACTTACGTTCCGCGAACAAGAAGTCCTATTCGACGGCGACCGGGCGGGAGACCGGTCCAGGGCAGACCCCGGGGCGTAATTCGGGCTGTCGAAATAGGTGGCGAGCTTTTGCGAGGGAGGCTGGGGGGCTTGAACTTGGGGCCCGGAGGCGGAGGCGGTGGTCCTGGTGTCAACAACAACAGGATTTGTGGCAATATTGTTGTTCGCTGTTGCCGTGGATGTGCTGGAAGAAGGTGCGGGGGCCACGACGGCTGCTGCTTCATCTGTAGTGGGTGGTCGTGCAGGATGGGGAACAGTAGTGTCGTGCCCACCTTCGTCATTCGGGGCTGTTTCAGTGGTGTTCGAGCTCGTCGCTGTATTTGCGCTTGCCTCGTTCATCGCGGTAGAGGGAGCGGAAGCTGTCTGTCGTGATGCTGTACTATTCGAGTCAACTAGTACATTTGTGGCATCATCATCTACCTTCGCAGCAGAAGACGCTGCAGGACCTCCTGCAGCACTAGCTGTCGCGACGTCAGCACAACTTCTTGCCCCGGTTTTGGCCTCAGTTGTGGAGGACGTGATCGCGTCTGGTTGAGAAGTTCTAACCGAAAATGGTCCAGCACTATTCACGCCCGGGGGAGGAGTATCAAATGTAAAAATGTCTGGGTCTGGAAGATTCTGAGATTTGTCATGCATGTTTTGCATGACCCAGGATGTCTGTAATGCACGGCCGCGCATCACAGATTTTGAGAGGGCTTCCTGATGCCTACTCCGCATGGCAAACGCCCTCCCCGCGTAGCACAAACTAGACTCCTCTTGCTGGTAATGCAATACAGATTTTTCTAGAGTCCAAAGTTACCATCACAAGTTCCAATCTTCCAGACCCAGACACTTTTACATTTGATAAGGAGCCGCACTGAACAACTCTCTCGTAGAAATCGTCGTGTCTATGTTCATATGCATTGCAAAAGTATCGTATTCGTATAAATGCATTACAAATTTTCCCAGCATGAGAAATAAAATTTGTATTGCGGATTTACCTTGAGAAAAAGATTTGTAATGCATGACTGCAATACGAGTACGATACTTTTGCACAGGATAGTTCAGACTCGGCACCAGTCCGAAAACGTTTGTGGGCGAGGTTCTGCTCTGGGTCGTGGTGCCTAAAAGAGGACCCACGACCGCAGATGTTGGTGATGGTGTCATGGTACTACTAGCGCCGGTATGTATTGCACCAGTAGTTGCACCAGCCGGAAGTAAGACTCTCCTCGACAGTGGCGTGATGATTTCGGCTTGTCTCTGGGCCGTTGCCGTTCCATTTGCATGCCCGTGCTCCTGAGAGGTAATACTAATAGCTGCACTTGCCTCCTGAAGATCTTCTTCCTTGTCATCTTCAGCTGGTTTCGATCTATTTTCCGCGTTCGTCTCATCTCGAACAGGTGGAGAAACGACCCCTACAGTGGTCCTTTCATCTGCGAGCGGCAGGACAAGATCGGGTTGTAGTTCATCTCTGTCTTCCACCGCTGCGGAGGGGCTGCGGGTTTGTTGTTGTTCAGGAGGCAAATGACCATTTCTGCCCGCGCCGCGACTAGTATTTTCAAGAGTTGTTCCAGAGCAGCGACGAGAAGACCTCAAAGTAGAAGATCGGGGCACGTTTGATACCTGCGCGGACGACCCGTTCCTATCATTGTGCGTTGGACTTCTTCTCTCGTCCCCGGCAGTTGTTCCGGGGCCCTGTTCGTCGGCTTTATCCTCGTTGTTTTCCGCGTCATTCTTTTCATCTCCTGCTTGATGTTCTTCAACAGGAGACACGATTCTAACATCATTGTCGCTTTCCCGATAAGTATCTCGACGTTTCCTTCTTCGCTTGTTCGTCCTTCTGGGGGGGAGGAGGTCTTCTTGCTGTTCAACTAGTACTGGCTCGTTGCAGCTACCGCCAGATCGCCTTCCCTCCTCTCGTCGTCCCTGTTTCCTGCTCTTGTTTTTCCAAAACTTCTGCCGTAAATTTCTTCGAGGGCGGGACTGCGGGGGCCTGGGGTTGTCGTCGTCAGGCTCCGCGCCGTTGTAGGAACCTGTTTTATGTATTGCGGATGAATCGTGTAGCATGACGTAGAACTTGCATCGCAATTTTTTTCAAACCTCAAAATAGGGAAGTGGTGCTTGTCATGCAAAATCAGGTAAAGATGAATCACGTGTGGGTCTGTCATGCTATGTAAGAGACTGATATAACTACGACAACTATGTTGATTATGATACAAGAACCTTTTCTTGACGCTAAATACCTGCTCTGGAGCTGCGAGAAGAAGACATCGATCGCGACGAACGGTTGCTCTTCCGCTGACTACATTCCCGCCGAGGCCCGCTCTCTTCTTGTCCACGTTTATCAGAGCCACCACCAGACTGCTGGAAATTCGAGCCGCTTATCAAATGCAAAAATGTCTGGGTCTGGAAGATTCCGGGATTTGTGATGCATATTTTGTATGATCCATGACGCATGTAATGCATGATCTAGCAGCACAAATTTTTAGAGGGCTTCCTGATGCCTTTTCTGCATGAGAAATGCCTTCTCCGCGTAACACAAGCCGGACTCCTGTTGCTGGTCACGCAATACAGATTTTCTTGGAATCCAAAGACAGCATGACAAGTTGCAATTTTCCAGACCCAGACATTTTTGCAATCCATACCGCTTGACCGCACACCACGACGCCCAGGAGATCGCCCGTATCCTGTGCAAAAGTATCGTATTTGTATATTAATGCAAGTCTTGCATTACAAATCTTTGTCTTAAGGTAAATCCGCATTACAAATTTTTTTTCTCATGCTGAGAAAATTTGTAATGCATTTATACGAGTACGATACTTTTGCAATCCATAGCCCGCGTGGTGGTTCAAAACTGCTTGCTTCCGATCGAGAACGACACGACCTGGAAGCCCTCCTGCTCCCAGAAGATGAAGGGGCTGCGCGCGAGCTATGACCCGATCCAACATATGCATTGCAAATATGTCTGGGTCTGGAAACTTGTGATGCAGGTTTGCGGATCACAAGGAGCAACCTCCAATTATATGGGGACACGCATGACCACAAGTTTTGGTTTTCGGGCGACTAGGTCTTGCATAAACTGCACGAGAAACTGCGCTTTTCGAATTACAAAAAAGCAGCGCGGTAGCGCAACATGCATCACAGATCTTTCTCTCCTGTTAGCGGAGCATTACAAGTCTTGCACGATCCCAGACCCAGACATATTTGCATTTGATACGACAGACGAAGCCGCAAATCGGGATGATGATCTTCCTGACTCAACAGAATATGGAGTTCTCAAATGTTACATTCTCAACTGTTACATGATTTGTCATGCAAAACTCTCATCAGTATCTACATCATCAAGCTGCTTCGCATGACAAATTTCCGAAGGGCTACACAGCATCTAAATCTGTGTCAAACCTGTGATGCAAAAAGCGAAATCTTGCCCCTTGCACTTTTGCCATTCTTGCATTACAAATTCATGTAACAGTTCAGAATGTAACATTTGAGAACGCCATACAGAACCAGACCTCCTGCTTCGGCAGCTGCTGCTTCGGTCAGCACTGCATTGATCTTCGTCAACATGAGAGTTGTTGTCTTCTGCTTTTCTCCTCCGGTAGCTGCTGTACCGACCACTGGTGTCTACTTCCTCCTCCTCCTCGTAAGGAACCACCACCGCCGCCGCGCTCCTGCCACGCCTGTGTTTTTTTCGAGAATCTTCACTGTCGCAGGAATTATAGGATTCGTTCCCGTAGGAGAATGAGCGGTCGTGGGCACGATTTTTTTGTTGACCTGCTCTGTTTACTCGTTTAACGCGAGATCTCTTCCATTTCACCTGCGATCTGGCTCGGGAAGGCGTGCGAGAAGATAAGGATGACCGGCTTGTCCTGGAATTACGAACTCTGCATCTGCTGGGGCTTCCATTGCCACTTCTGCTACTACCAGCATCGTCGTCAGCATCATTCGCCGAAGAGCTGAAACGGCCTTCTTGACTGATGTTCTCGTCCCTACTCTCATTGTCTTCGCGTTCTTCGCACCATCGGCGGTTTGTTTCCCGCTTGTTCTTTCGCCTAAGATTCTTGCGCTTGTTGTGTTTCTTTCTTTCGAAAGCCTCGACGCAGCTTGAATGACTGCTAGAAGTGAAGCTTCCATGTTGTGCACCTCCAGCAGCACTCCTTTCCCTTCGTTCCTGCCTCTCCTTCTTTTTTTCTTCCCGCTGCAGCCTGTCCGCCCGTCGCAAAGCCTGCCTCGCTTCCATTTTCAGTTTGTAACTCGGCAACTCCCGGTAGTCCGCGGGGCAGGATTTGGCGTTTCGCTTGGTCGGCTGCCAGTCGTGGTCTAATCGGTAATATTCTCCCGCGCGCCAACCCAGTGCCCGGCAGTATTTGAAAGGTTTTTTTTTCGGATCCTTCACTGCGTCCTGCAGCATGCCGCAGTGCTCTTGCGTCAAATTGTCGAAAATCTGGATTTTCATTCTCAACTGTTCCTCTGTGATGGTTTTCGCGGTAGTCTTGATGCTGGTGGTGTTGATCTGCGACGCGGATGCATTTGCATTTCCGCTTCCACCAGTGCGACCCTCCTGCTCCTCCCTCATTTTCTGGGCCAACATGGTCGCAAACGCCTGCGACCCCATCTGAATCGCCAGAGGCACGGAGGGGGTCATGGGGCAAATCGAGGTCGCCTTCCCCAGCGGTTGCGTGTGAAGCAGCATGTTCCCCTTGGGGTACAGGGAAATGTGTTCGGCCAGGCAGCCCTCCCAAACGTCTCCGAACGGTTGAGATGAACCGAATAAGCCACGGAGTGTTGGGTAGGGTGGATCATCGTGTAGTTCCACCGCCTCGTCTTTATGGTCTGTCGCTGCGGATGAACAATCCTCATCTGCAGCTGTCCGTACTTCTGGAGGGAGGAGAAGTTCTGTGTTGCTCGGTCGTGTTTCTACTGTAGTTTCAGCACGACAAGTTTCGTTTGCTTCATCTCCTTGTACCACAGCCGACGGGGCAGGAGGTGCGGACTGTTGGTCTTCGTGCGGAGTAGATCCTGCTTGTTCCGCCGCTGGTTCCTGCAAAGTTGTTGCTGGTTCTGGCGGCACTGGTTCCTGCGGAGGCGCTGGTGTTTGCGGAGATCCTAGTACATCTTCCGGCACTGGTTCCTGCGGAGATGGAGATGCTGGCCCTTCTTCCGGCGGGTGCTCAACATCTTGCGGACGTTCTACTGCCTCTACTTCATACTCTTTTGACCTTATCACACAGAAAAAAGCTGGCAGGGCATATTTGTAATGCAAAAATAAATACACAAAACAGCATGCTAGGAGGCCACCCATGACAAAATTTTGTGTGTATATATTTTTGCATCACAAATATGCCCTGCCAGCTTTTTTCTCTGGGATAGACCTCTCCTCCGTCTTGTGCACGAGTTCGTCCTTCAAGCTCGGCCTCCTATGCATTGCAAAAGTATCGCACTAGTAGAAATGCAATACAAATGTCCTTAGCATGAGAAATGGAATTTGTCATGCAGATTGGCCTTAATAAAAAGATTTGTATATGCAAGACTTGCATTTATACGAGTACGATACTTGTTTTGCACAGGATACCTCCCCTGCAGCATCAATTGCGTGATTTCGTGGAACGTCGGGTACGCAAAATACCGGGGCGCCGTATCCACCACGTCGTTAAACAAATCCGATAGGTAGGCTTCTTCGCCACAAGCCACATCGTACCCCTGCCTCGCGGCGTTATCGTCTAGTTTTGGGTTCCGCATCAAATTTTCGTCAAAGTGGGAAAACCCCATCAAAAGGCCTAAGACCGTCGGGTGGAGGACGTCGTTATTATGCTTTTGTAATGCCGCGAGAATGTCCGGACAATATTTTTCCCCGACGAGATTGATGTGCTTCACGACCGCCTGGGCCATAAGCGCGCCGATCTCCCCATATCAAGTGCAAAAGTGTCTGGGTCTGGAACGGTGTAAACTTGTCATGCAGATGCTCCATAACCCATGAGGTCTGGAATGCGGGGCTTAGCATGACAGACTCTGCGAGGTAACTGCCATGCCTGTCCTGCATGAGAAACTTCCTTCCAACTTGGTCAAAAGTGGGCAGCTTTTGGCACTCATGCAACACAGATTTTTGCATGCTTCAGATTTACCATGACAAGTTGCCGCCTTCCAGACATCCAGGGATATTTGCAATTGATACCCCATCGTCGCCAAACATGTTTTTGTCGTTCCTTAACAAGACGGAAGTTAAGCAGCTGTAGAAAATTTTCACGTAGCCCGCGTTCCAGGGGTATCCTGAGTAAAAACGTACCCACACCAGAGTCAGGATGAGGATTTTGCAACACAAACCTAGGAGTTTTGTGAGTCACGCATGACAAGTTGCACTATGCAGTGTAGTGCAGGTTAGCAAGTGCAGCCGCATCACAGACTCATCTGCTCATCCTGTTCACAACATCACAAATTCCAAAACACAATAGGAAATGGATCTCATGGGGATGCGCATTACAAGTCTTCCTGTCTTTGCAAATCTGCATTACAACTCTGGTGTGGGTACGTTTTTACTCAGGATAAGGGGACCGTGTCAATCATGTCCTGCGCCCGCTGTTTCAATTTCTCCGGCAGATCCGGCCACAACCGGAACATGACCTCCTTGTCAAAGGTGGCCAGATTCATCACTCCGCCGTGAAACCGCTGGCATTCCAGCACTTCCTCATACGTCCGTGGGTCTTCTGGGTCGTCGCCAAGCGCGGCGTATGACAGTGCACAACTCCCGATCCCCCTCATTTGTCATGCAAAACCCCGACTCCAAGCGCTGCTCTGTGGTATCGTTTGCATGACAGATTCCGGAAGCCCAAACAGTACTACGTACAACAGGCGCATGCAGTTGTCATGCACAGGCTCCACAGGTGGGGGTGTTTGTATTGCTGTTCATGCAACGCAAGTGAGGCGGGAGGGGGAGTTGTGCACTGTCATACAGCGTGCCACAGTGTCATATAATGCCGCTCGAATTCCACGGAGTGCCTCTTGTCGACTTTTCGGCAGTCGATTAGCATTGCGAGGGCCTTTCTGTCTTCCCAGAGGCTGATTTCCAATTGCGTGAAATTTCTGGTAGGGAGTTGTGGGAGGTCCTGACGTTGTTCAACATTGGGAAGAACATTTTCTTCTTCTTCATCTTCTTCTTCTGGAACCGTAGGAAGCTGCTGCTGCAGAACCAGGGTAGTTGTACTAGCAGCTGTCGAGGCAGATGATGGAGCGGAATAAATTCTGGAAGAAGTAGTAGACGACGCGCTGGGTGGTTCTATTTCGTGGCTCATGTCGTCTTCGTCAGTGCGAGTAGCAGTACCAGCATGATCGTCGTCGTGGTCCGGAGCTGCACTAGTAGCGTTAGCGTCACGTGCCGCTACAATTTCCTGCGCAGTGGGAGCGGGATGAACTGTGGGAGGTCGTGGGGGCGGATTGGTCGTTTGATGTTCCGGCATTGATGTTGTTCCTTCTGGAAGAAGATGCTGAACCGCTGCAGCGACACGTCGTTCCTCTTGCCGCTCCGCAGCTATATCTGCTTCGATGAATATGGATGTGTCAGGATTGAAATCGACAAAGTTGAAATAGTTTGTCATGCATAAAATGCAGCCCACAATAAAGTGCCTGTCTTCCAGAGTAGGCAAGTGAGGCAGATTGCAAGCCTGCTAAGGGGTAGAACCTGAGCTGCTCAAGTAACATGGCAAAAGGCGTCTTCCTTACCCAAACAGCGCGACAAACTGGATTTCACTTCTACCCAAATTTGCCTTGCGCCACTTGCAAACTGGGCCACGACTGTTATCCATTTTGTGCATCACAAACTATTTCACCTTTGACGATTTCAATCCTGACACATCCATATCAACCGCGGTCCGGGACGCCTCGGCCCAGGCCCTCCCGTGACGTGCCATGTACTCTTCAATATCCGCAACCACGGATATTTCCAGTTCCTCCTCGGAGCGAGAGCGCGTCAGATCTTGTTCGATGAACTCTTATGCATTTTTGCAAATGTGTCTGGGACTGGGTCTGGAAGTAGAATGCAAGTTTGTCATGCTTGTCTGGGGCGGTGACTCTTAAATCTGTCATGCACGTTACCCAAGAAGAGCCCCATTGTTCTGTCATGCAGAGACGCAATTTCTCATGCAGAATAGAAGGGAACACCTAGAAGTAGCTCAGAAACTTTTCATGCTCAGCCAGCACTTGTGGCCTCCTCCTGATATTACGCCACTCAGCATCACAAGTTCTTTCCAGACCCAGACATATTTGCAGTTCATAACTCTGCATATCCCGCGGCCCGGGCCTCTTCGGCCCAGGCCTCCCCCTGCGCTAAGCCCTCTTCCAACTCAACTACGGATATTTCCAGTGCCTCGGCTACGGATTTCTCCAGTTCCTCATCGGAGGTACTAGAGCGACCCATATCTGCTTCGATGAACTCTTGCTATGCAGTGCAAAGACATCGCACTCGTATAAATGCATTACGAAGTAGTTTCTCAGCATGAGAAATAAAATTTGTAATGCTGATCTACCTCAAGAAAAAGATTTGGAATGCATGATTGCAATACGAGTACGATACTTTTGCAGAGGGTAGTACTTGCGGGGTATCAACAACAACGACATCAGGTTCGACGTTTTCCTGCTCCTCTTGCTCGTCCCGTTCCCCTTCCTCGCTTTGGTTTTGTTCGTCCTCATCACTACACGACCCTCTCCTGCACGTGTTGGTCTGTCGCCGTTTCCGGGACGTAGTAGTAGCAGCTTGTCCTGAAGTGGTAGTAGTCGGGAGTTGTTGGCCTTGTTGATGTAATATGGAGGGTTGTGGTTGATGTGCAGAAGAAGATGAAGAAGAAGATGAGGGCTCTTGCTGTGCCTGTGCTGAAGATGTAGTACTAGTTCCTGTTGTTGGCAATGGAGCTGCTGTCGCTGTTGTAGCTGCTGGTGCCGATTCTCCTAGTTGTGCAGCTTCTTGATGTAGTGGTTGTAGCTGTTGTACTGGTGCTTCTTGTAGTAGTACTTCTTGTTGTTCCACTTCCTCTTGTACGCCTTTGGCATCCGGAAGACCGTCTAGCGCAGCCGTTGATGGAGAATTTTCCGCTCCTTCGTGCTGGTGGGAACCTGCGGTCGTTGCTATTTGGCCGGGTAGTTCCTTGTCGGCTGCAAGTTCTTCCTGCCTCGCGGCCACCTTCACGAGGGTCTCCGTCATGACCCGCACGATGGCGAGCACCCGGTCATCGTGCCGGGACAATGGCCCTGACACCATCGTCCCTTCTGCCTCGGAAGCTGGTGCGCAGCTGTGTTGTACTTCGTTTGCATCGTCTTCTTGTTGTGCTTCTTCTTGTTGTGCTTCTTCTTCTTCTACTTCTTCTCGCAGGTGGCCTTCTTGTTGTACAACTTCTTCTACTTGTGCTTGTTCCTCGGGTTCATCATCCTTCATGTTGTTCTGCTCCCCAGGAGCATCTTCAACCTGCTCCTGCTCTCCCTCTCCTGACACCAACGTAGCTGGCTGTATATGCACTGCAGAAGTATCATACTCGTAGTCATTGGAATTGCAATACAAATTGAAATTCGACGGCCAGCATGACAAATGGAGTGTGTCATGCTGATTTGCCTCGGGAACGGGATTTCCATTTGTGGTGCATGGCAGCTGCAAGAATTTTTACGTACGAGTATCAGATACTAGACTTTTGCAGTGGATATTCATCCTCCTTCAGTTCGTCCTTGTGGCAAATCAGGTCGAAAGTTTATCAAATGCAAAGATGTCTGAGTCTGGAAGGATGCAACTTGTGATGCTATCTTGGGATTCGAAAAAAACCTGTATTGCATGACAGGCAAGAGGAGTCCAGTTTGTGCTACGCGGCGAGGGCATTTCTCATGCGGAAGAGGCATCAGAAAGCACTCTAAAAATTTGCGATGCTAGGTCATGCATTACAGGCGTCACGGGTCGTGCCAAATATGCATGACAAACCTGGCAATCTTCCAGACCGAGACATATTTGCAGTTGATAAGGTTCTCCCGGTAGCATCTCTGACCGTCGCAAAGACCACCGTGTCCGGGCTGTTCGGGTCGAGGGTAGTTGTACTGGTGTTCGTGTTCGTACTCGCCCCGTTTTCTTGATGCAGTGACGATCCTGATCCAGCTGTCGCTGTATGAAGATTGTTGTCCTGCTCTTGGCGTTGTAGGCTACTGGTCCTCGAGGTAAGATCTGTATGGATTGCAAATATGTCTGGGTCTGGAAACTTGTAATGCTAAAAGTGAATGGTAGGCGCACTGCAAGAATACGCAGCTACGCAGGACAAATTTTTTGGCTCCCATGTCTTACGTATTCCGCATGGCAAACTGCGTTTTTGCATGACAGGTAAAAAGGCCTTTTCGTGCCTATGCAACACAGATACACGAGTCATGCCAGACAAGCATGACAAACTTGCATTCTTCCAGACCCAGACATTTTTGCATTTGATAATCTGGTTGGCGAGGCATCTTCGTCAAAATCTCGCTCATTTCTTCCTCATCAATGTCCACGAACATGTGGTCTTCCGTATGCAACACAAATCTCCCGTACACGCACAAAACGCATCACAGACTTCGCCGTAAGCTTAGAGCTTGTCATGCTGACATAGAACTGCAGATAAAGTTTGTGATGCAGCAGTCGCATTTTCCTGTCGTGTGGTGGGAATTTGCTGTGGATATTCGGCAAGTGGTGGAAGGACGACGGGGCGAACCTGCTCCAAACTCGGCCGCTCCCTCATCAGGGTGGGAGGGTCGTTACTGGTTCGTTGTTCCCTTGGTCTTGATGTTCTTTCCTCGCCATCCGCATGATGTTCTTGTTCTCGACAGGTTTCTTGCTCCTGGTGATCCTTGATTTCCGTCGACTTGCTAATATCACGGCTGTTGCCCTCGTCGGAGGCAGTTGTGAGTAGCGAGGGAAGCTGCTGCTGCGGCTGTTGCTGTTCCACCGGTCGTTCTGGAGGACGAGCACCACGAGGACCATTCGTATTTGCTGCAGAAGATGAGGAGGAGGAGGAGGAGGAGACTGAAACACGACCCGTACCAGTTCCTGCAGCCGTTTCTTTTTCTCCATTTAATATCGTAGATGAAGAAGAAGAAGCTCTTGCACTTGTACTACAACTATCAGGAGCTACAATTGTCTCCACCCCGAACTTGTGTCTCAATTCCATAAGACGAAAGAAATCCTTCTCGTCCAAGGAAACGCTCAGCCCAGTTCCACACTCGGACTCGTGCACGTTAAAGTTCACCGGCGCCCTATCCTGTGTAAAAACGTCCCGACCCCATAGCCAAGATGGCAAATCTGCTAGACAAATCTGCAAGCTTTGGCTGGTGCGCATGACAAGCTTGGCATCGTAGTGTAATCCTGTTTAGCTAGGTCAGCAGCATCACAGATCTACCTTGTTATGCTGATTGGAGAATGGCAAACTCCGACACACGGCTAGAAAATGCTTCTCACGGGGCTCCGCATGAGAAATGTTTTCAACATGCAGATTTGCATTACAACTATGGGGTGGAGGCGTTTTTACAGAGGATACGCCCCTGCCGGGCCCACCTCTTTTCCATCCTTGTTCAATGGCTGCAGGGACAAAACATCGCCTATCGCAAGGAAAAATCCCCCCTCCCCATATTGAAGAGGTAGGTTTTCGAAAATTTGTGTTGCTGCTTTGAGGTCACAAATCGCGTTTGTGTTGCAAGAAGACAAAGGCAGCAGCTTCCGTCCCATTATGGAGGCGGTTTGTCATGCTGTTGAGCCAACATCACGGACGCTTTTCATGCTAAGCGCCTAAGTCAGAGCCTCTCTACTCAGGCTTGATATGGGTCTGCAGTCCTCTCCAGCAAGACATATGCGATTTGTGTACTCAAATACAGCAACACAAATTTCGCTTTCGATATGGGGAGGGGGGATTATTCCTCACAATATCGCCTTTAGTGTAACTGTCCGGTGGGGGCATATTAACCCAGAAGTCGAAGCCAGTGCCGTCACCAGGCTCGACCCTGATGCTAACGCAGTCTATTTTTGGAGGTGTAGAAGTCTCCTCGTTTTTAGTTCTATCTTCACTTGCAGGGGATGAGGATGAAGAAGATGGTGCTGTTCTTTCAGGTCCACCAGAAACCGGCTGCTCTCCCGCAGTAGTTTCAACACCGTCTCTTTGTGCAGAAGCAGTGCCAGCAGCTGCGCCAGCGGAAGTATGCGTAGTTGGAGGTGCACGACCAGAGGTTTCGTTTTCACCAGGCTGCAGGTTCTTGTTGTTATCGCCGGGGGTCGTGGTAGTTGTACCGCGAGATGTTGACCGGCCCTCCGTTTTTTCTTCTCCCTCCACATTGCAGAACTCCTCGACCGAGAGCAGCCTCGTGCCCGCTCTCGTGGACGTCCCTGTGGCCGTCGTGCTTTCGATGTTGGAACTACCTTCGTTGTTCTGCTGATTTAGATTTGCATTTTGATTTTGATTTTCGTTTTGATTTTCCTTTTGCTGTTTCTGTTCCTGTTCTCGCAAGGGTATTATGGATTGCAAAAATGTCTGGGTCTGGACGATTGCCAGATTTTGTCATGCAGGTTTTCCATGGCCCATGAGGTCTGGTATGTGGGACATAGCATGACAGATTCTGCGAGACCTTTCTCATGCCTATCCTGCATGAGAAACTGCCTCTCGATTAGGTCAAAAGTGGACAGCTTTTGGTAAACACGCAGCACAGATTTTTGCATGCTTCAGATTTAGCATAACAAGTTGCATTCTTCCAGACCCAGACATGTTTACATTTGATAGATATCACCTCCTTCCGGATTTTCACCACCTCGGCCGGATTCCGCACCAGTTTAAACTGCTTTCCCCGCACCGATATCAAATGCAAAAATGTCTGGGCCTGGAAACTTGTCATGCTGAATTGGCGAGACTGAAATACTTTCCAATGCAGCCAAGCATGACAATTTTGCAGAGCACTTTCTCACGCGCACTCCGCATGAGAAACAGGGCTTTTGTATGACAAAAACGCGCACACTCTTGCTAGTCATGCAATACAGATTTTACAGGAGTGTAGGGCTAGCATTACAAGTTCCATATTTCCAGACCCAGACATATTTGCAATGCATAATCGAAATCGCCCACACCCCCGCGGAGAGCCCGAGCCGCGCACGGAAACGGTTGAGCCCTGTCTTGAAGTTTTCCGGTTTATTGTCGGAGATCAAAACTTCGCTCGGGAAGATTTTGCTCAGAATCGTGTAGCTGTCAGTTGTCTTGTTGTATTCCTCGACCTTCATCCCCCGGACGGTTCCCAGCTCCGCGTATTCCTCCTCAATGGCCTGCTTTCCGATTACAAAACTGGCATACGCAGTGCCGAAGGGCAGGCGGGGTACGGGTCGTCTGCGGCGTGGTGGAGGTGCGGGGCGTGGTTCTCGCACCTCGTCCTGCTTGTCTTATGCATTGCAAAAGTATCGTACTCTAGTATAAAATGCATTACAAATTTTGCCAGCAGGAGAAATAAAGTCTGTCATGCAAATTTACCTTTAAGGAAATGGAAAACATTTGTAATGCATGACTGCAATTACTACGAGTACGATACTTTTGCACAGGATATGTCTTTGTCTTTGTCTCCACCCTCGGTGGACGTCGGGCTCCTCGTTGACCCTTCATTATCAACGCTTTTGCCGCCGTTGTCTTCAACGTCGACCTGCTCGCGCTCGGTGGAGGGTGAAGATGGAGCAGCGCCGCTATTTGCTGCATTCTCCCCGTCCACTTGTTGAACTTGTACTTGATCATCGCATTTGTCTTTATTTTCTCCATCATTTTCCTCTGCTTTCTCTTCAAAAAGCTTTTCAATTGCCGGCGGGTTTTTGCATTCGAAGCTCCCGTTCACAATCCGGTCTCGGTTTGCGTCGTAGTAGTCGTAAAAGGCCTTCGTCCAGGCCAGGTTTATCTCTTCCTGTGTCTGGTGTCCGCGTGGTCGCCTCCGTGTCTGTGTCTGTCCCTCCTCGCGACCACGCCCACTGGCCTGCAGATTGTTGTTCATCATGCGCCTCTCCGCCGTTTCACGTTCCGCCATCGCGCCCCTGTCGTCCTCGAAGACACACGTCGACCAGTCCAGCGGCTCACCAGAGGTGTCCACGTACGACGAGCCATTATTTTGCCGGATGGTGGGCTGCGTTAAAAGTTTTGCGCCGACGTACTCCCTATGCACTGCAAAAGTATCGTACTCGTATAAATGCATTACAAATTTCCTCAGCATGAGAAATAAAACTTGTAATGCGGATTTAGCTTGAGAACAAGATTTGTGATGCATGTTTGCAATTACTACGAGTACGATACTTTTGCACAGGATACTCCCTGGTATAGTAGTTCACCAAGTTCGGGTCTTCCCCCGGGGGTAATGCTAATATCAAATGCAAAAATGTCTGGGTCTGGATGTCATGCAGATTTTACATGACACATGACGTCTGTAATGCATAACCTGGCATCACAGATTTTCAGCGGGCTTTCTGATGCCTATCCCGCATGAGAAATACCCTCTCCATGTAGTATAAACTGGAGCCCTCTTGCTGGTCATGCAAGACAGATTTTTGTATAATCCAGAGACAGCATCACAAGTTGCAATCTTCCAGGCCCAGACATTTTTACAGTTGATAGCTAATCCGCTGCTGCAATTGCTCAAGTCCTCTTGAAACCGCATCGCCTGTTCAGCGAGGCTGGCCCACGGGATGTCGTCGGTGGTACGGGCCCGGGGCCTTAGAGTTGACGTTATCCCCGGCTGTTCTTGCCGGTGCGAACCAAGTTCAAACTCCTGCCGTCTCGCCGCCAGTCGGCCGACCCTGGGGGACCGTCGCACTGCGTCCGGAGTAGAGAGGTCTTCACCTTCAGTGGTGCGTGCTACTACTGGAAGCTGTTGCGCTTCACGCAAGGATGGTACCTGTTCAAGTTCCGAGCGGTTAGTTGTATTCTCGGTCGTGGTCAAGGAATTGTTTGTTGCACTAGAACTACCCGGTGAACCACCGGGAGGCGGGAAAGCAGAAGTCTGTTGAGAAGTCGCAGTCGCGGAAGTTGCAGGGGTGTTGGAGCGTGGTCCAGTTGCAGCTTCGTTGCCATTTGGTGTCGTCGTGGATCCTGTATTGATAGAAGAGGAATCGCCGGCACCACGACGACGCGTGGGGCCCTGTGTCTGCGCCGTCGTGGGAGCAGCTCCTGCGAGTCTTCGTCTTGTACTAGAAGTGAAAGCTGATATAATTGCCGAGGGAGTTCCGGGTCCGGCTGTAGGTGTAGAAGTTTTCGGTAGTTGTACATGTAGTTGGTTGCTATCAGCTGGGAGTTGTAGTTGCGTCCTTGGCCGATTTGAATTATTCCTCGTCGGCGCGACGGTGTTTTGTACGGTGGAAGAAGCCGCTCCTGTTGCAGGTCCCGCACCACCACCAGCAGCCAGTCGCGCTGCTGCAGAAGCAGCTGCTGCAGGGGCTCGCTCTCTCGTTCTCGTCGCGTTTAATGTGCCTCCTGCGGAAGCAGTAGAAGGAGTGGAAGTAGCACTGGTACCAGAACCAGCCTGCCCCACAGAATTACTTGCCGGAGCTGTTGCTGTAATGTCGCCGCGCAAGTTTTGTTCGTTCTCATTCGCGTTATTGTCCTTCGCCTCCCTTTCCTTCTCGATCTCCGACGCCCTAGCCACGTATCCTGTGCAAAAGTATCGCACTCGTATTGCGATCACGCATCACAAATCTCTTTCTCAAGGTAGATCTGCATTACAAAAAATTCAAATAAATATTTCTCATGCTGAGGAAATTTGTATTGCCTTTCTACGAGTACGACAGTTTTGCAGTTCATACAACGACCGCCGACGCAATTTTTTGCGCCGCAGAAAGTGCTTCCGCCGGACAGAACGTCGCTAGCAGCGCCGCCGTCGCCTGGTCGAGGTGCTTGGGAAGGTCTTGCCCCAACGAAATTCGCGCTGCTGTGTCCCGGAAAAGTTCGACCAGGTGGTCTTTTGTGGCTTGGTCGTTCAGGTGGAAAACTGGAGCGGCCGGTGCGGGTGCTGCGAGCGCAGTTGTTGTTGTTCCAGTCGTCTGAGAGCTGGTTTGGTTCCTGGTTGTACTGGAGGGTTGTCCTGGTGTTGGTGTACGACTAGCACTAGCAGCCGGAGGAGCTACAACTTGCTGCCGAGCAGTTGTCGATGTGGTACCTCCAGACCGGCTTGCTTGTTCTTCTCGCGAAGTAGCCAGGGGAGGAGCAGCGGCAGTAGATCCGGGTCCGCCTGGTGCAACAACCACAGAGTTGTTGACGCGGGTAGAAGAAGTCGCGCTGGATGATGACGACGGTGTGGGCAACATCGCACCATTAGCCGGGCCGCTCACTGCCGCATTCGGTCCGCTGGTAGCCGGGACCATTTTGGTCGTGTTTTTGGCACGTCGCTTGTTGCCGGGCATGGTTTTTTTTAGGGGGGATGAGGAGCAATGTGTGAGATACTTGACAATGTGGGTTTGCAAGGAGTCGCTGTGAAGGAGCACTTGTGTTTGCTGGAAGTGGGTCGCTATACTGCAAAAGAACAAGCTAGGGCAATACAATAGAACTACACTATATAAAATCGCTTGCAAGAATAGGGTAGTAAAATGATTTTTTTCCGGCTTTTTACTCGTGCCGCCGAAACGGTCTAGTGCACAGATTTTTTGGTATAGATAACGTTGCGTCGCTTTATCAAGCCTGCTATCAGAATCAGACTAAGATATGTTGATCCCGGAACCTATATCTAGGTCTTCTTCATCAAGTTTTTCTTCCTGACTGGAAAACCTTTTTGTGACATGCACATGTGTGGAAAATAAGCGTCAGAAATAAAAGTTGAGGCAATACTGGACGATAGCCACCATTATGGTGCACAAGTTGTGATTGCAAAAATGCAGGGAGAGTGTCGGTTTCGCGGTACGTACGGTAGCTCAGCAAGTCTCGGATCTGTGGGTCTGCAATGACAACGCAACACCAACATGGAACAGCAGTTGCAAGGCTGCATAAAGTGCCTAGACGGCAATGCGGCAGGACCATCGTCAAACCGGCCCTGTTTTAGCAGTGCCCAAGCTGATCCGCCTCAATTCACCGCATGGGCGCCGGGCTGGGTCGCTGGGTACTCAATCTCAAACCAATCTCGCCCAGTGCTTCCCACACGGATACGGCCGAAGAGGGGCAGTGGCTGGCTGGGCCGCGCAGCAACAATGCCAAAAGCTAGGTGTTGGCGGTGCCGCGCATACTGCATGGGGGGCGGGCAAGCTTCGTTCTCGCCGGCCACTCCCACCCTCCGATGAATGTCAGGGCCTTCGTTCGCCGGCGCCCCCTTGGCCCACAAGAAACCACCGCGGGCCAACACCGACGGGCCCACAACCCTGGCCGCCCCCCCGGAATTCAAGCTCGGCACGCCGGGGCGCCCCGGGCTAGTCAGCGAGGGAGCGAGCGGCCCGGGCGCGCCGCCGGCGCTCCTCGCTCGGCCCCTTGGATTGTTGGCCACCTTGCCATAGGACGCCGCCAGGCGCCCAGGCCTGTCCAGCTGCAGGCAGACACGCACGCGCAGACGGCGCACGGCCGGCCCGAGCTCTGCAAAGAGCCGCGGCCCGACAACTCCGTCATCCCATCGGCAGGCGGCTCGCGCCCCGCTTCCCCTGCCGCGCCCGGGGCTCGGTTGCTCCTTAGCCTTGGCTGTGGCCGCGCGACAGGCCCCCAGCGGCCCCGCGGCCCCTTGGGCGCGCGGGCGGGGCCGCGCAATGTAGGGCCGAAGGCACCACGCGGCGCAACTTCGCGCCAGCGCGGCGGAAGGGCCCGGGGGGAAGCGCAGCCGGCTGCGGATCACATGGAAGAACGCGCCTGCAGGGCGTTCGCAGTCGCCGCCCTGATGCATGGCGCCACGCCCGCCATGGCGCCCCCGGTCTGCTCAACCTTCGGCGACGTGGAGGGCCGCTTCCTGTAGCTTCGCAGCCGTAAACCACTGCGCGAGCCCTTCGGCCGTGGCACGCCGCCGCATTTTCAGGATGTAGCCGCTGGCCTCTGTCTCTAAGGTCCTGCAGTAACTGCCTGGCCGAGGTCCGCAAGCATTTGCATTCCTCTGGCGTCTGCGGCCGGCTGCTTGATGCTGGCAAAGCCCCTGCCTCTCCCGTGCGCTCGCTTTAACGATTCCGCCGGCATCCACGCCTCGGGCTCTTCGGACTGGGTATAGTCCCAATTTTGGGCGACCTCGGGATCGTCGACCAGAGGGCGACCATCTTGATCGACCAGCCAGCTCGGCAAACGGCCGCCAGAACGGTCGCCGAATTTGCAGCGCCCGGCCGCCGGGGTGATGCGTCGCCAGGCCGCCGGGCTAGGACGCCACGGCGCACGTTCTCGCGCTGCTTGATTTGCGGAAACAGATCGCACAAAACTCCAGACGAAAATAAATGGAGGCCCCTGCAGCGAAAGCTGGTAGCGCTAGGCCCGCCGAACTCAGGCAGCCTCGGCTCACCTATTAACGAACATCAGAGAAAACACTTGGCGGCGCGACCGAACGGAACAGCGCCGTTGAGCATTCATGTTGACTCACGGACAAACTTATCTAGATCCTTTCACTTTCGCTGCTCGTGCGTGTTTCGTGTTTTTTCAATCTCAAGTCAATCTTTGGAAACAACGGAATGCAGCAGAAAACGGCTTCATCTCCAAAGTGTTTCTACTTCTTCATCTGTCTACACTTTACAACTGTTTTCAGCTTCGGGCGGTTTCAACAGACAGGTAAAAAAAATAATTATAAATAGTTTCGGAACAAAACAAATCCTACCGCTTCATGCCTTTCTATAACCTAGATATTTCTGTATTCGTATTATACCTGTAGCACGACAAAAATAAGTTCCGTGCCAGTAGCTGTAGTGCAGCTATAAAGGCAATTCCATCTGTATTCTCGCTTTAGTTATTCTTCCGTATAGACAAAGTACACCTACATCTCCCAGTTTCGAAACAGTGAACTGCCCCTGCAAGTCGTGCTGTCAACTTCTACTTGGCATAACCACAATAACAAAAGATTCAGATCGGACTTCGCTTTATCAAACCTTCATCAACTATATTGAGACATCTGTATTCATAGATCTTTTTTTTTGCGTTGTATTAGTACGAGAAATTTCTAAAAAGGCGTTCACTCAAATCAGAAACAGGCCCTTTCCACCCAACTCCGCCTCCGCGCCCTGCTCTCGTTGTTTTTGGTTGTGCTTATTATCGCTATCTTCCCGATTAACTCCCCCGTGCCCCTGCGGCACACTCCTGTTTGTAGCGTCTTTTTGTAGTACTGCCGGACCCCCTTGTTGCACACTAACTGGGTGGTCGTGTTGAGCCGTGGCAGAAGTCAGGCCAGCATCATCGTCCACGATCCGATCCCGCATTTTCTGCAACTTCGCCTCTAATTCCGAGGAGCAAGAACCCGTGCTCCCCCCCGCAGCGGATGAACCTCCAGGCTGCAATGCTTGTTCCGTCGAACCAGTAGCAGTACAACTCGGGGTGCTGGTTGGACTTGTAGACGTTGCAGACACGAGTTTGGTGTTCATGATGTTCCCTGTTGATGCACTTGGACTGCGGAGTTGGAGTAGCGGTTGTGATGTTGATGCAGAGCTCGGCGAAGCAGGTGTTGCTGTTGGTGTTGTTCTTGTTCCAGCAGTTCCTGCACAAGAACGCCCAGTGTCAGTGGTTTCGTCCATCGGAACTGGTTTGTACGACGGAGAAGAAGAAGAACCAATCCCGGTGGTCAGCAGTTCTTGTAACGGTCCTTGTTTCATCGCGTCATGAGCCGCGGCTCCCAGTTGGACGGAATTTATTTCACCACGACACCCGCCGTTCTTTCCACTGCTATTCGGGCTGACAATCACGAAGCTGACTTCCGGCGAGGGTGAGCGGTCAACAGCGGACTCAGCACAGTCGTTCTCTTTCATCTTTTATGCACTGCAAAAGCATCGTACTACGTCGTGTTGATTGCATTACAAATTGGCTCAGCATGAGAAATGGAATTTGTCATGCTATTTTCCCTTCAGAAGAAGATTTGTCATGCGTAATTGCAATTACCAAGAGTACCACGATACTTGTTTTCCAATGCGTATCTTTTTCGAGAACGCCGAGCTCTCCTGAAATTCCTTCCGCTCCTTGATTTCCGCGTCCAGAAACTCCAACCGCAAATCAGAAAACCGCTCCCGCTTCCGCAAAATGTGGTCCACAATGGTGCGGCAGTTGATGTGCCCCTCGGTGAACGCGTTCTCCGCTTGCTCTAAATCCTCTCTCCGCCGGGTGATTTCTTTTTTTCTCAATTGCTGCAGTAGCTGAATCTCCTCCTTCGGTGTGGGTAAATCGTTAAGGGACGAAGTGGAGCTGCTCGTTGTGTCAAGTTGGTCGCTTTCGTGTCCCATTATACCGGTGATGCCATTGTCGACGCTACCTCGTCCCGTACTGCACCCTGCTGGGGAGGAAGGTGTTGTTAAAATTGCCGGTCTTCCTCCTGCTGCGTCACCTGCGCTGCTCTCCGCTGGAGGCGAGGATTCGTCTTCATTACCTCCACTCGGTGAAGAAGATCCCCCAGAACTCCCACACCCGTCCACGCTCATCCTACCTCCGGAGGTAGTAGATCCACACGTGCTGTGTCTCCTGCGTCTCCTGGGCAGCACCTGCAAGTGCACAAAGTCCAGTTCCTCCCCGGCGAAAAACTCGTCCCCAGGCTGGTAATTCGTACACGAATACCCCGCGGCCTTTCGTTTTTTCATCTCCCGCAACTCTCGCGAAACGTAGTCCGGGTAGGTCGCGTCAACCGTGAGCTGGATTTGCTCGCCCGGGAGGAGGTTTTGCAGCCTGCTGGTGGAGGAAGAAGTTGTGGAAACCTCGTCGGCTGCTCCGGAGGACCTTCTAGATCGGCTGTTTTTAGTACTACTACGTGTTGCACTGGCCGCAGAAGAAGTAGTTGCGCGACCCCCGCCTGCCCCGCCGATGAGACTCAAATCATGCAGTCCCAAACTGTTCAACCGCCGCTCGATGTCCAACGTATCGAAATTTTTGTTCAGAACATTCGAGATCCACTTGCTCGTCTTCGCAAGCCCGCCAATTCGGCTTGCGGAGCTGGACCGCGGCACGGCTTTCAGGTTTGGCTTGCTCGAGGCGGCGGCCTTGATAAATTGCGAAGACGGGGTTTGCTGAAACGCCTGGTAGGCTGGGAGGGTTGGCTCGAGCAGGCTGTTGTGGAGGGTTTTCAGCGGGGACGGGGTGCTGGGGAGGTTTGGGTCGTGGTGACCTTCGGGAAGATCAGTAGTTGTTTCTCCGGTCGTGCACGACCGGTCTACTTTGGGGGAAGCTTCACTTGCACCACCAGCTGTTGTCATAGTTTTGGTTGATGTTTCTTCTACCACGAAGATTTCTTTCGCAGCATCAACACAACCCGTCCCCAAGGATCCTTCTCCACCAATGGCCCTGCCACTACTGGACCGCTGTTCTGGGTCTACTACATCCATGGCGGAAGCAGAACCACCTCCGCGGGTGGGTCGTGATAATGTACCAGCACCATCACGGCCCTCACTCGTCCACGTTGATGACTCTTCGTCTCGCCCCGAGGCGCCGTCCGCTGAAGTCATCATACCTAGTTGGTCCACTTTCAGCCTGCGGGATGAAGTAGCTTTCGTCGCTGTAGAAGAAGGTGGTCCACCGCCCGTAGCAGGTGCAACAGAACAACTGTTGGAGCCTTGTTCCTTCGACGGCGCTCGACCAGAATTGTAACCAGGGTTCGGAACTTTCGGGATGGGAAGCTGATGTTGTTCCACTGCGTTCTCGCCTGCTGATGCTGAGCCCACCGCAGTATTTTCTCCCATACAAGCTTTCCGTTTTTCCAGCATCCGTTTCAATTCGTCTGACAGCTCTTCCTTCTTTTTCGAAGCGGCGAGTACCGCTTCACCAAAGCCCAAGTTTGATGTTGTACTTGTGTCTGTTTCGCCACTATTACAATGAAAGATGCCCCCTCCCCATATCAAAACGGAAATCTGTGATGCAGATTTGTGCCCACAAATCAGCTTCGTGATGCTAGAAGGCAAAAGATGCGGACTGTAGTGCTGTCTAGCGTGGGAAAGCCTTGCAGCTCCAGGATGACAGGAGGCAGCTGGAAGTGGGAAACAGCATGACAGATTACCTGCACTTTAGGCCGCAGCTTCGTCTCTTGGCCTTCTAGCAATACAAGTCGATTTGTGTACTCAAATACAGCATCACAAACTCGCGCATCTTCCGTTTCCGATATGGGGTGGGGGCTTTTTTGACTTTGATAACCACCACCTGCTGACCCGTCATCCGCCCGTTGTCGACGGAGCTGTAGCTTTATGAGAGGGCACAATCCCCCTCCCCATCATTTGTCATGCAAAACCCCAAATCCAGATGCTCGACTCCTGTGGTATTGTTTGCATCACAGATTCCGGAATCCCAAACAGTACTACACTAGACGCATCATGAGTTTGTCATGTACAGACTCCACCCGTGGCGCTGTTTCTATTGCTCTTCATGCAATACAAATGAGGGGGAGGGCGGGTTGTGCACTCTCATAAGCTTCGTCCGCAATTCCTCACTGATCTCTTCGGAGAAGTCTAGCCCGGAGGTCGGCGAGATTGGTTTATTACCTGGTGCTGCAGCGGACAGAGAGTCAGAGTGATCCTGAGCGGCTTCGGTTCTGGTGGACGGAGTAGCTAATTTTTGGTCAGGGTGCTGGTCCTCTGCAGCGGAAGTTGTTGTGCCCACTGGTATTGTTGTTTTGCCCGCATCCTTTTCTGCGTTGGCCGGGCTGGGATTACCTGACGTGGCCTCGTCGTCGTCCGGTTGCTGTGTACCGAGGGAGGACAGTACGGACAACGCAGCGACGAACGGGCAACAAGGCGGTGGGGCGACGAAATGAAGAAGGGTTGATGAGCAGAACAGGGGTAGCCGACCACGCCAAGCGTGTAGCCGCATCCTGTTTGATATATTGCCTGCAGCAATAAAGCAAACAAAAAGAATTGCTCGGCTTCGGTAAGTGCCGTGCTCTGGTGAGGTCTGGTTGTTTACTTGCACTTTACCTCAGTGGTGACGCCAATTTACATATCTGAAAACTTCGATCAACACCCGCGTCGATCATTGCTGATGATCAACATGCCACAACGTCAAACTGGCGACAGAACGGCCCCCGTGACAGCTCAGCTTCACAAAGGTGATTTTGGATCGCGCCGGGTGGTGAACACTTATGCCGCTTTTCCGACAAGAGAAAAACCCCGCCGACAAGGGCTGCCCTCGCCTTTTCGCGACAAGAGAAAAGCCCCGCCTTCTAGCTACCCTCGCTGCTGCAGCGGCGTCCGGGGCTTTATTTTAGTTTGTTTTTGAAATTTGGCACGGAGGGCACACTAACCTAAGTGACACATGGACAAATCGGCGAGGGCGAGATGTCCCGGATAGTAGACTCCAAGCCGCGGCCCCGCTCCTTACCTTGCTCAGGCGGGAAGGCTGAGTAGGTAGGAGGACAGCAACCAAGAGGCGCGGGCCCTCCCTGGCTGGACAACAGCGAACAGGCACCGACCCACGGGCCCGACACGCCAGCGAGCGCTCGCAGGGTGAAGACAGACCGGGCGCTGCGTGCGCTTTGTTTCTTTGCCTGCGCACGCGCGCCGTTTTGCGTGGGCAATCAAGAATAAGCGAGGCCCCTCCACCCCGCCTGACCGCAACCGGGCGCCAACGGCCGGCGCGTTGCATTTTTTGCAGATCGAACGATACCCCTGCCGGGCGGCACGGGGAACGAAGGGGCGCAAAACAGAAACAGGCAGCCCGAGAAACGAGGCCGCCACAGGCGCGCGGGGGCCACACAAGTGCCGACGACCGACCCGACCGCCCGCCCGCCGGCGCCCTGCCTGGCTGGCCACCAAGGCCGGGCAACCATCCACCAAAACACAACCCGGCCCCGGGCGAGCGCGGAGGGCTCCCAAACGGGCCCACGGCTCGCTCGGGGGCGTGGCGGGGCAGGCTCTTACTTTGTTCGGGGCCGGCGGCGCGCAGGTCCTGCGGGTTCTTCTTTCGAAACGTTAGCGCGCGCGCGGGGTTGAGCGCTCGCGCGCACGTCCTGCGCTGGAAAGCCTCGCGATACACCCCGGCCGCGTAACCGGCCAGAAACTGACCCGCCAAGGCCGGGGGCAGGTTGACCGCGCCCGCAGCCCGGCCAAACCACCGCGGCGCGCCTCGGTCGCTCCCTCGGCGAAGACCTGGCGACGACATTTCTGCCTACGCAATGCGCCCGCCGCTTCACGGGGCCAAGAGACGCACGGAACCACCGCTCGGCCAGGAGGCGCGCGCAAAAAACCAACCGCCCGCCATTGCGATCGGGCGCCCTGCTGTATCGCTGCCGCCCCGCGCCAAGCAAATCTGCCAGCCATGGGCCTCCGCCCGCCGTTTCCTGCGCAGGCAGTGGCGCCGCCAGGCCTGCCAATCCCGCCCGCCCCGCGCTTTCACTTCTCTCGATTTTCCCTAGTCGCGTTTCGCTTTTCGCGTTTCGGGATCAAGATCGCGCCCCCAACAACAGAGCGCCATGCCCCCCGGGCAGTGAGTACCCGCCGGGGCCGGCTTCATGCTGCCAGCCTTGCGCAGCCTCAGAGGCCGGCAGGCCAGGGCGTGTCTGTGCCAGAGTGCCGGCCCGGCCCCGCATCGTTATAAGGTCGTAAGTAGCCATCGCCACGCGCTTGAACCTAGTGCCAAGTCTGGCGCCCTGGCCCTTCTCCGCGAGCTTAGTCAGAGCCGCGCCCCTGACGGTGCTCGTATCGCTGCCCAGCGATTTTGCAGCGGGGCACGCCGGTGGGCCACACAGAGCGCGAGCGATCTGCGTCGATGATATGATCGCCCTCGCGGGACCACGGAAGACAGGGTTACAAAAAACAACCGCAAACGCTTGCGGCCCCATGCGCCCCGGTGGACATACAACTTATCGCCATCGTTCTCGGTGCGGTCGATCGACAACGACGGCCGGGCCTGCTAAGCACAGGCGCGGGGCCGCCGGCTAGGCCCCAGAGATTCGCCAGCAGTTTTTTTGTTAAGGCGACCAACAGTGTCCACGCGGATCTCTTTCAAAATCATGAACACAATTGCCGTACGGCGGATGCGCTGACGGATCTTCGAACTGTGCAACAACCTTTTGGGTTGGCGTTGCGTCATGTTAATTCTCGTTCTTCGTCTTCTTGTAGTACGATCATGACGTGCTCTTGTGCTATCTGTGTTTGTCGTCTTGATATTTCCATTCTCTTCACGTACGGTTATTACTTACGTGTTGTTTATCGTCTTGATATTTCCATTTTCTTCACATGCGGTCATTACTTGTTGTTTGAAAATACATCATCTGCGTGGTGCGTATAACCAATCTTCATGTTCCCTTTCGAGTGCGAAGTGACTTGCAGTCATGGTAAAAAAATCATCAGCTTCGTTGTGTGATCAGGGTAACGTAACGAGCGCGTTCTTAGTGCTGCGACGTGATCTGCATCTGATGTTCTTTATTCTTCATGAGGAATATGTAAAACAAAAACTTCGGTATTGTACGTCATTCTTTATTCCCATTTCGTGCAGGTCGACAGCACGTCGACCGACGTCGTAGCTCTTTATTCTCTAATATACCACATCACCCCTCCACCCGAGCAAGAACAACTTCCCCACTCCCCACCTCGATGTCGCCGGACGCCCGCGCTGGTTCTACCGGTTGCTTCTCCTGTGGAAGGTGATCTTCATCTTTATCTTCCCCAGCAACACTACTATTTTGCACAGAAGTCGAGGATGTAGCTTTTATCGATGAATCCTGTTCAGCGAGGACCGCAGCTCTACTTCTGCTGACACCACTGTACTCCACTTCAAAACCGTACATCCTCAACACCCGCTCGCGAAACGCCGCCGACCCGGTGAGCACATAATCTGCGTCATTGTAGTTGCTCTTGTCCTCCTGTCTACGTCCAGATAAAGATTTCCCCCCAGCAGGAGCCCTCCTGGCCCCGCCCCGTATCCGTTCCGGCTTGCCTGCCAATTTACATATCTGAAAACTTCGATCAACACCCGCGTCAATACTTGCTGATGATCAACATGACAGACAAAACGTCAAACTGGCGACGAAACGACCGCCGTGACAGCTCAGCCTGAGGGATGTGAAGGAGTGTATCGCGTCCGGGTGGTGAACACTTATGCCGCTTTTACGACAAGAGGAGAACCCCACCGACCAGGGCTGCTCTGCTAGCTACCCTCGCTGCTGCAGTGGCGCCCGGGGCTTTTTTCAATTTGACACGGGGGGCATACCAAATAAACACACGGACAAAAAAATCGACGAGGGCGTGGCGTGCCAATTAGATTCCACGCCGCAGCCCCACTGCCTCCCTTCGCCGGGCGGGAAAGCTTTGTAGGAGAACCAGGAGAACAGCAACCAGCTACAGGCACGGACCAGGCACGCTAGCGCGGGATCCAGGCGGGCCGCCCAGTGCGTGCGCATTGCCTGCACCGGCGCCCACGCCGTTTCGCGTGGCCAAACAATCAAAAGCCCCGGCGCAAGGCGACGTGGGCTCCTGGGTGCACCCTGGCGGCCGCGCTCGCAGATGCCCCCGCCGGAACGAGGGCGGGGCGCCAAGGTAACAGGCAACACAAGATAGAAACTAACGGCGCCGCCGGCCGCGGGCGCGCGGGGGCCACACAACTGCCGACGGCCCGCGGGAGCGTTGTGGCTGTGGTTGGCGCATTCGGCTCGGATACCGTCTTGCGGGAAAGGAAATGGATGTAGTAGTTGATCTTGCGAGCGCGATGCCTGCTGAAGTTCCGATCAGCCGCAGCGCCGACCTGGGCGCCCTTGCCGGCCATCTAACGCGGGCAACCATCAAAAAACTGCCCGGCCCCGGGCGAACGCGCAGGGGGGGCGCCCCCCCTGCGGCCTGCGGGCGCGCGCAGGGCGGGCCGTTTCCCACCCTAAGAGAAGCGGACGGCGCGCGGACGCGTGATCATTCAAGGGCCCACCCACCTCGCGCGAAGGGCATGTTGTCGCCACAACCCGTTGGGGCAGGACCCATTGGCCCCCCACGTGTGACGGTGAAGCTATCCGCCTTCGCCTTTCGGGCCAGGTCGTGCAACACGCGCAGCACGCGAACAGGGTCCGCCCGCGTTCAACAGCTTGGCGAGGTTGGGGCCCACACCATTCCGGCCCCCCTCGCGCACGTTCCCACGCAGGTTCTGCTTCGTCTCGCTGGCCGGTCGGCGGCATGGTCGAAAATAGCCCGGCGCCTCCCTCTTCGCGTCCACCGCCTTCTGCCGCTTTGTTCCTTCGCTTAGGGGGGGCGGCCGCCTCTTCTGATGCGCGGGAGCGCTTCCGGCGGGGTTTTTGGCTTGGGCTCGGCGGGGGTATTTTTCGGATTCCATTTTGCCGCCGCTTCTTGAAAACGCCCAGAATGACAGAGCAAACGCCACCCGGGACAGCTCGACTCCCGGAACGCGTCCGGCGTCGCGAGATCAGATGGCAATGAATGCTGGCGCAAATCGGGCTGCGCCAGGCAGCCGGGCCTCGCCGAAGGCCTGGCGGCCCCATTTCTGCCCACACAATGCGCCCGCCGCGGGCGCCACATGGCCAAAGGCACGGAGCCGCGCCCCAATCAGAAGGCGCGCAAAGTGAACCAGCCATCCGCCAGGCGCGGCCGCCCGCCGTCACGATGAAACAAACGCCGGGCCAAGTTTGGCGGCCATGGGGCGCCACCGCTTCGGAAGTGCGCACGCTCGCAATGGCGCCGCCCGGCCTGCCGACTGGGCAACATAAATCCGCGGGACTTATTTGCTAAAGCGACTAAACTCGATCCCACGGACCTCTTGCAAAATTATGAACGCAAGTGTCGGTGTCGCCGACGGATCTTCGGACCACGCAACAGCCCTTTGGACCGGCGTTGCGTGTTAGCTTTTGTTCTTCTACATCTTGCGACGATCATGCCGTGCTTTCGTGATTATCATTTCATGTTTACTTTCACTTCGATCATTCATTCCATTTTTCTCTACTTCACGCTGAGTTTATTTCGTTGACAAGTTCAAAATACGCAATGTTCCAGTTTTCTTTCGAGTTAAAATGACTTGCACTCGCGCTGAAAAGTTCAGCAGGTTAGAGGAGAGTAACGTGACGAGCTAGTTCTTCTTCTTGCGACGTGATCTACATCTGATGTTTATGAGGAGTACTTTCATGAATATCGTTGTCGTTCACTGTATTCCCATAATTTCGTGCAGGTCGACAGCACGACCGACGTAGTTCTTCTTCTTTATTCTCTAATATATCACATCACCCCTCCACCCGCGGTAAGACCAACTCCCCCACTCCCCACCTCGGTGTCGCCGGACGGCCGGGCTGGTACAACTACAGGTTGCTTCTCCTGTGGAAGGTGATCCTGATCTTCCCCAGCAACGCTACTATTTTGCACAGAAGTCGAGGATGTTCTTGCTGATGAATCCTGTTCAGCGAGGACCGCAGCTCTGCTTCTGCTGACACCACTGTATTCCACTTCAAATCCGTACATCCTCAACACCCGCTCGCGAAACGCCGCCGACCCGGTGAGCAAGGGAACAGCAAAATGATCTTCGTCATTGTAGTAGCTCGTGTCCTCCTTGCTACTTCCAGATAAATATTTTCCCCCAGCAGGACGAGCCCTCCCGGCCCCGACCCGTATCCTCTCCGGCTTGCCTGCCAAAACCACTGTGCCCCTCGGCCTTCGGTTCCGCAGCACCCCAAACACGCCCCGACTGGTGTGCCCATAGAGAAGCAGCTCGCGGCAGGCGGATTGATTTTTTATTTCGTAGTTTTGATTGTGACGATTTCTGGCGAAAATAGTTCCGGTTCTAGTTTGCTGTTGTGCTTTATTTTTAGCGTGACTGTCACCCCCGTCCATTCCTGTTGCTGGTACCAACTTTGTGATTTTGAAGGGGTAGAGCGGGAGCTCTTCTTCGGTGGGAGTAGTAGATCTGCGGTTGCTCGGTTTGAAGCCGTCGCTTCTCGAATTTGAACTTGTTGCAGAGGAACTACAGGAAGAGCTGTGAGGAAGGTTCAATTGGTTTTCGAACCCAGCACTCCAGGTCGTCGTCCCTGTGTCGTTGAAAGTAGAAAAGGTTCTGTCCACCACCTGGTAGTATGCATTGCAAAAGTATCAAATATTCGTACTACATATGCACAGATGCATCATGACAAATCTCCTTGTCAAGGTGAATCAGCGTGACAAACTCCATTTCCATTTGTCATGCTGACCAAGTCTGTAATGCAATTTGAATTTCTACCTAGTAGTAGTAAAACGATAAGTACTTTTGCAATTCATAGATAGTTTCGCGCACCGAAGTGCGGACTGAACACGGTGTCGGGAAACTGTTTTTCCATCGCAAGGCAGAACTTCTCTTCCGCATCGGATAGTTGTGCAGGAAATGATTGTTCGATGATGTCAACGTAGTTACTATGCGGAGGAGGACACAACAAGTCCTCTCCAGATTCATCATCATCGAACGTAGTTACTATCCCCAAGCTCTTCCCCGCCCGGACCGCTGCGTGGACGATTTGCGCTTTGTGCACGTCTTGCGGTGAAAGCAGCAAAGAACTGGACGTCATACAGTCCGTTCCTAACAGCTGTGTTGCGATTCGACGATACAAAAGGTCGAAAAATTGGAGATCCAGAACGGGAGATGGCTGATGACTGCCAGAAGATGTTGTTGAATTTGTGTTGCAGTTGTTCCTGTTGCCGCGTCTTGGTCTTATTTCATCATCACTGAAAATCAATTTTGCGTAGTACAAGACCGGGATCAAGTGCATATCAACTGCAAAAATGTCTGGGTCTGGAAGATTGCCAGGTTTGTCATGCATATTTTGCATGACCAATGACGCCTGTAATGCATGCCCTAGCATCCCAGAATTTTAGGAGGCTTCCTGATGCTTATTCCGCATGAGAAATGTCCTCCCCGTGTAGCACAAACTGGACTCCTTTAGCTAGTCACGCAATACAGATTTTTTTGGAATCCAAACACAGCATCACAAGTTACCACCTTCCAGAACCAGACCATACATGTGATAGTGCACTGTGTGCAGCAAATGCGCCTCCTCGTTCAATTTCGTTGCTAGGAGGAACTTGAGGTCTGAAAGATTTGATGATGATGTCACTTTCATCGTTGCGGCCGATGTTTTTACTTCCACTTGCGGATTCATCGTGCTGTTGCCTTGTAAAAGTTCCTCGTTAATTATCCCGTTTTGTTGTTCCAGTGGTCGTGCACGAACATTTTTTGTCATGGTTCTTCTTCCTCCACCTAGTTCCCCCACGGCCTCGAGAATTTTGAGTAAGTCGAACAAATCCAAGTTTCCGTAATTCTGCCGAACGTAAAACTCCACAAAATTATTGTTTGCGGTCGTCGAATATGCATTGCAAGCGCATCGTACTAGTCGAAATCGCATCACAAATTCGATCAGAATGACAAATGCAATTTGTCATGCTGTTTTACGTTGAAATGGTAATTTGTAATGCATGACTGCGATTACTACGAGTACGATGCTTTTGCACAGGATATCGAAGAAGAAGTTCTACCGCCCGCCGTCACCGGCTCTGCCCATCTCAAATCCACACAAGCTTCCAGCAGCTTCCAGAACTGAAATGCGGTGGGGAATATAGTTGGTGCTGATGTACTAGGCCACCGCGCACGAAGTTGGTTGATTTGTGATAGTACGGTTGGCGGAGCAAGAGGGGAGGATGCTGTGGATGATCGAAGCTCAGCTAACGCACTTTCATCCTCTTGCTCTTGCTCTTCATTGTTACACAGTGTTGAGTCCGGGGGCGATGACGAGGGGTTAGCACCAAAGCTCCCACGACCTGTAGTATCCTGCTGGCCGGAAGAAAAGGCTTTTAGAGCGGTTTCTTCGCTCATTTTTTTTGGCTGCTCCCTAACATCTACTCCGACATCAAACGAAGTAATATTTGCATTGTTGCCAGAGGTCTTCCTCGTCGACGTCGGGCTTGTTTCATCGGAACTTCTTGAAAACACTTCCGCCTCGTTCTGTACCGGCATGAGCGTTTGTCCGATTTGGTCCAAAAGCAAGTCATTCACCTTCCGCTGCTGCTCGCGCCATGATCCGAACGCGATAGTCCTGCTATCTCCGGCTCCTGCCGCGTCACCTATTGTAGAAGTTCCAATGGCAACAGCCTTTTCTTCGCTCTTCGTGTTGAGAAAGTAGTCCTCTTCACTCGCCAACAAATGCGGGAAGAGGAGCAGAGAATTTTGCGAAAGACAAGAGAGTGGTTGCGGATCCTCATGCGGGAGGTGATTTTCCGCTTCAGGAAAAATAGGAGCGGTCGATTTATTTTGGCGATGATATAATAATGCCCGTAGTGGTTGCGCCTCGCATTGTCTTTGACTCCGAAGCAGTTGCAACATTGTGCCCTTAATTTTCGCCAGGAGCGGGAAGGTTGACATCATGCTCGTGCTGCTTCCGGACTGCGACAAGAACACAGAATTGGTGTAGTATTCATCTTGCGACGCGGCCGAAGATGTAGGCGTCATACCCCTACTTCGTCTCGATCCGTACCGATACAGGCAGCTATTCCGGACCAACCTCCGCACCTTCCAGTCCCCCCAACTGGGCTCAATATCGGGCGGATCGGAGTCTTCTGTTTCGCGGGTTCTGCGCTTCTTGTTTCGCCGAATCGCTCGATCTAATCCTTGCAGGAACCTTCTCCGGTTAAAGTAGTAACCGCTGTGGACAAAATCCGCGCAAAGCTGGATCATGTCGTCCAAAGAGGCATATGCGTTGCAAATACTTATGTCTTGGTCGGGAAGACTGCAGCTTGTGATGCTGTCTCTGGATTCTAAAAAAATCTGTATTGCATGACCAGCAAAAGGAGTCCAGTTTGTGCTACGCGCAGACGAGGGCATTTGTCATGCAAAATACGCATCAGAAAGCCCTCTCAAAATCTGTGATGCTAGAAGGCCATGCATTACAGGCATCGCGGGTTATGCAAAATATGCATGACAAACCTAGCAATCTTCTAGACCCAAACATATTTGCATTTGATAAGGCAGAGCAGGAGGGAGACAAAGCCCGTTGCTCCACCTTCTGAAACAACTCCGGTTCGTTATCCTGTGTAAAAACGTCCCCACCCCAAGATTGTCATGCAGAATTACAACCACAGGAAGACTTGTCATGCGCGTCCCCATGTTGAGAGGCATTTTCAATCATGTTATGCAAAAATTTGTGATGCTGTAAACAGGATACCAGGATGGCTTTGTGATGCGGTTGTCCTTGCTAACCCGCATTACAGTACAGAGAAAAACTTGTCATGCGTGCAGTACGTTGGAATGTTGTTGCTGGTTGAGATGTTGAGCATCACTACGAAATGTTGAAAATATACTGCGACAGGATTTTTGCACGCAAGCATCGCAAAAGCAAAAGCAAAGCAATGCCGTGCCCTTTTCCCTGTGAAAGCAAAGCAGAACATCCGAACCCGAAAAAACAACTCACATCTCTCCAAGCCGATGGATTGCGCAAAACATTCGATCGCCGGAAAAAGAACAATCCAAGGAAAAACAGCAATGCAATGGTCTACGGGAGAAATGAATTGCTAGCAACGGTCACTCGTAGTTGCCCCGATGTGGTGTGGTTATTTTCTTGCGCGCACGCAAAAAAGAGAGCAAGTCACGATATCAACGGAAGGGCTTCCCCGCTGTCGCAACAAAAGCTAACTTTGGAAAATGGGCGAAAGAACTTAAAAGAAGGTGCTTCACGCAAAATAAAATGTAAAGAAACGCACGCAGCGCAAAAAACAAAATAAATCGAAGCAAAACCAGCAATGCAATGGTCTAAGGAAAAAGCGCATTGCTGGCGCAAATGGCTACACCCACGATGCTTGCAACAGCGGCGCCGGCGCACCTTGGCCTTTATTAAATGCGAGCGCGAAAAGAAGAGCGCGAAGCCAGCAAAAGCGTGCGCTAGCTCTTATTTTAATGGATGCGCCCAAGGCGAAAGAAGATAACGTGGAGGGGAAAGCCAGCCCCTATAGAGAATAGCAATAGCTACGGGGGAGCGCTCCCTGCTACCACGGCAAGAGAGGGGCGGAAATCGGCGACGAGCTAGTAAGTTTGGACGCACGAGAAGCAGGGCGGCTGCGGTCAGTGGAGCTAGTTTGCTTCGGTGGGGCGAAGGGCAAAGCGATATTACGGGGGAGGGGGGGGGAAGGGCGCGGAGGTCTGCGCTTTCGCCGCGCGTCCGTTCGTTCCCCGTGCTCGGTGGCCTGTGCGCTTTCGATGCTCAGCGCGACGGCGGGCCTGGCGCCCGAAAAAAAAACCAGACGACAACAGCGCCGGCCCCCGAAATAACAAAAAGCACGATCGCGCCCGGCGCGGGGGCCTCGCAATACACGGACGAGCGCGCGCATTTTCGAAGAGGAATGGGGGAGCACTGAATCCCAAGGCCACAGAATTGCAGCAGGCACCGCGCGACCAAACTGGCTCCGACGCAAGCGAGGCGCGCAGTGGCGCAAAAATAGGGCGCACAAGGGCGCGCGCAGGCGGGGGCCCTACGTCCTCCAGGAAACAAGAGGGGGCTGCGCGCCCTACGAGAGATACGGGGAGCCGTTGCTGCTGGTGTTTTTCAAGAAAGCCAGGCGGCTTTTTCAGCATGGTCATAAGGCCAGTTCGGATGTAATCCTGGCGACTTTTTCATGCGTTTTTGTGCGTTTTGAAATGATGAAAAACAATTCAAATTGCGAGCAGTATTGCACTTTTTCAGCAATCACTTTGAACGAAAACGACATCGAAAGGTTTTTTTTGAAGGGGAAAACCACATTTGAACGCGGCGCGCGATGGAATGTCCAAACAATCCAACTAAAACAGCAACCGATCGCAGCAGCTGTTTTATACCAAAACTACATTCCATCGCAGCAACAATCGAAATTTCTGCATGCGTGACTCCCAAAACTTCTGGATCTGTGTTGCAGAATTTCCATCTTGGGGTTTTTACACCGGATATTCGTAGTAGTCCGCTTTCACGGCGATGCTCGAAACGACTCTCAACAGCAGTTTCATCGGTAGTTCCGCCATCACAATGCTGTCCTTCCGGCACAGCACTAGCGCACACATCCGGTAGAACCTTTCTCCCGTGATCCTGTGGTAAACCGTCTCCCGCTTCATACCGAGGTTGGCGCAACTGATCATCAAATCGCAGAGTAAAGTTGTCTTGTACGTCTGCACCTTCCGGGGGACCAGCCGCACTTATGACAGTGCACAGCTCCCCCTCCCCCTCATTTGTAGTGCATCTCCAGCAACAGAAACCACCTCAAAAATGCAGTCTCTGCATTACAAATCCACGCACGGAGCATAGTGCAGTTTGGGCTTCCACCAGAACTTGTCATGCAAGCACAGCCAAAAGACTTAGACAGGGTTTGGCTTTTTTGCATTACAAATGAGGGGAAGGGGCGGGAGTTGTGCACTCTCATAGAACTAACCCGCGTACCGTGCGCTCGTCCCCAACCTGCAAGTCGCTCAGCAGGCGTATGGAAGTGTCAGAATCGAAATCAACAAAATCGCAGTGCTTTGCGATGCATAAAATCGATACCACTTGGAGCCTCAGTTTCCAAGTGGCGCATGACAAATTTCGGGAGCACCAAAATCCAGTCTGTCATGGCGATTGGGCAAAGAACACTGCTCCTGTCAGGCTACTCTGGCAGCGCATCGTCTTCCCCCAAACAGGCTTGCAACCGGTCTCATTTGCCTGCTCCCCAACACAGGCATTGCGTGCCCTACATTTTATGCATTACAGATTTTTCGATTTTGTCGATTTCGATTCTGACACATCCATAAGGCGCAACGCCCGGGCCGGGTAGGATCCGCGCAGCGGGCGGTCTCTGGCGGTTACGTACTGGTAGAGCTCGCAGCCGATGCGCTCCGCCAGGTCGGAGTGGCTTTGTTGGAATTCTGCTGGGGTTACCAGGAATTGTATGAACTGCAAAAGTATCGTACTAGTAGTAATTGCAACACAAATTCGCTCAGCATTAGGTAATGCGGATTTACCTTAATAAAAAGAGTTGTAATGCATGATTGCGATTACTACGAGTACGATGCTTTTGCACAGGATACATTGGTACTCGCTGGTATTGTAAGGTATTGGCGAGTTCTTGTTGTGCAAGGAGTTCTGGCCGTCAAATATCGCATTCGATGCGGCCAAAGGATCTACAGGAGCGAAGCCAGTACCTGCGGGTAAGTAGTTGTTCAAATGAAAGTGGACCATCGTGGTCGCTGTCACGTCTAGCTTTCCGAAGAAAGAATTGCTACCACAGCTATTTGTGATGTAGTATAAATCAACCTCAAAAAATACCAGTTGAGCTGCCTCCGCTACTAAGAAGAGCACTTCCTTCCCGCCCCGCCCCAATTCCACCATCTCTGTAAAACAGCTTCGCGATGCTCTCTCCAATGTCGACGAGATATTACAACGAAAGATGCCCCCACCCCACAGCTTGGGGGCATTTGTATTGCAAGCATTTCCACATGAAACACTCGCCCTCTTGCATCTATCAGCATCACAGATTTGCAATCGTGATTTTTAGCAAAGATCTGTATTGCAAAAGATCCCAGCAAGAACGGCGCTGGTCATGCAAGCAATGCTATATACGCCTAGACTCTGCATCAGAAAGATTCATACTCATTTCGCTTTCTTGCATGACAAAAAGTTTTCATTTGGAAACCTCGCATCACAAATTGTTGCAACTTTGGAGGCATTTTTCACTGTAATACGAGATTCCAGTGCTTCAGTTCGTGAATTCGCTTCCGGAAATTGTATATCCTGTGCAAAAGTATCGTGTTCGTATAAATGCATGTCTTGCATTACAAATCTTTTTCTTAAGGCAAATCCGCATTACAAATTTTATCTCTCATGCTGAGGAAATTTGTAATGCATTTATACGAGTGCGATGCTTTTGCACTGCATATTGTACTGGTTCAGCAGGCAATTGTTAAAAAAGTCCCGGCTTGGATAGCCCAACTGCGCAAACCCCCGTGCGAGTCGCGCGTAGTCGTCTTCGCAATAGCGATTGGCCTGCATTTGGGTGAAGCCCGCTAGGGTTTGCAACAAGGGCTGAAGCTGTCGGCAGTGGTGTCCCTGGTTGGGAAATAGGGCGGCGAGCAGGGAAATTGTTTCGGTGATGGTACTATGCATTGCAAAACAAGAAGTATCGCACTGGTTGTACTTCTAATCGCATTCATGCATTTATGATAATCTCTTTCTCATCAAGGTAAATCCGCATTTACGAATTTCCTTTCCCGTGCTGAGAAAATTTGTGGTCATGCGATTTTTACGAGTACGATAGTACAACTTTTGCAGCATTTGATAAGTGCTGCTGCTAGAACTAGTCAAACCCCCGGGACAAGCACGATTCTGGTGCAGCAGCTGCAAGGCAACGTGATCTTCCGAAAATTGGTAACAGAGCTGCTTCAGCGTTTTCACCACCTGGAGCCGCAGCTGCCGCTCAGGGGATAGTATTCTTTGATTTTGCTCATCTAGTTCTACTTGGATAATACTAACATGACTGTTGCTGTTCCGTTCGTGAGGTTCGGCGTTGCAGGAGACTGTGTCGCGGTCACTGTTGTTGTCTACCTGGAGCAGCCCGGAACTCTGTTCGCGAGAGCTGCTCGCCTCAACAGGTCTCGATGTTGGTGACCGGGCGTGGGGGCCGTTCGAAGTAGCTTTCTGATGCGCTGCCGCATGGTACGCCACAAAGAGCGCCCCTTTCTTCTTGAAGATCGACCGTCTCGCAGCTCTCGGAAGTAGAGGTATTTCCCGTATGCCAGTTGTGTGCCTGGTGTGGTTTATCCTGTGCAAAAGTATCGCACTCGTAGTAATTGCAGTCATGCATTACAAATTTTTTTCTCGAGGTCGAGGTACATACGCATTACAAATTTCATTTCTCATGCTGAACAAATTTGTCATGCATTTATACGAGTACGATACTTTTGCAATTCATATGGTTCATTTTCCGCTGATGTCGCAGATGTTGAGTTTGATGGTTTCCAGTTGTCGCAGACGCCAGACTTTTTTCGATCAGTTTCGCCGTGCAGAGAACCTTCGCTCCGGCGGAAAGGAGGGGTAGAAAAGCCGCGCTGTGCACCTCGTTTGGCTTTTCTCCTATACGACAAAACAACCGGAAATATAGTTCAGCGTCGAAGAACATATGGCGTTCTCAAATGTTACATTTCATGCATTTGTAATGCAAGAACGGCGAAAGTGAAAGGGGGAAGATTGCGCCGTTTGCATTACAGATTCGGCAAAGATTTAGATGCGGTTTAGCCCTTCGGATATTTGTCATGCGAAGTAGCTTAATCACAGCGACCTTGGTGGTAAATTTGCATGACAAATCATGTAACAGTTGAGAACGCCATAGAACAGCAGCTCCCGGGCGCGCTTTTTCCTCGTCAACGTGCCAAAAGCGAGGAGTATCTTCACGCAGTCCGTAGGTGGTAATGTTAGGAAAAATTTGTTGTCCAAATAAGCGACATTATCGTGGCCGCTTGGAGCAGCTCTTACTGGTGTTAGCTGCTTTAAAATTCGCTTGCTGATGTGGCGGAGAAAAGTTTGTTCCCTCCCCCGGCGTATGAATTGCAAAAGTATCGTACTAGTAGTAATCGCATTACAAATTAGCTCAGCATGAGAAATGGAATTTGTCATGCTGATTTACCTTGAAAAAGAAATTTGTGTTGCATGACTGCGATTAGTACGAGTACGATACTTTTGCAGTTCATACGGCGCTTGAACGGGACGGTTTCGGTGATTAAGTGCACCAGTATCCTATTTGAAAACGTCCCCACCCCATTTTTTGTAATGCAAATCTGCATGCTGAAAATGTTTCTCATGCGGAGCCTCATGAGAAGCAGTTTCTAGAAGTCGCGTTTTGCAATTTGTCATGCTCCAATCAGCATGGTATGCTAGGTCTGTGATGCTGCTGAGCTAGCTGAAACAGCACTACACTACGAATCCAAATTTGTGATGCAAAACAGCCAAAACTTGTGGATTTGTCTAGCCGATTCCCCATCTTGACTATGGTGTGGGGACATTTTTACTCAGGATAACCAGCTTGTCTTGTTCACGACGTTTGGAGATCATGATCTTCTGTCGATGCAATGAAAGAAGATCCTCCTGCGAGGACGTCGCCGACGGCCCTGATCTATTGTGAGAAAAAGATCCCCCCTCCCCATATCGGACAGGAAATTTGTGATGTTGGATTTGCATTGGTTTGTATTGCTACAATGGCAAGACGAGACGCAGTTGTTGCCTTGTTTGCAGGCAATTCGTCATGCTGTTTCCTACTTCCAGTTGCCTCCTGTCATGCTAAACATGCAAGGCCTTCCTACGCCAGCCAGCACTAGAGTCCGGATCTTTATTTCCCTTCTAGCATGACAACATGGTTTGTGGTCACAAATCAGCATCACAAATTTCCAGTTTGAGTATGGGATGGGGGATTTTTCATTTTGATATGATGCAAGAGAATTTTTCGCGATGGAGGTGGCGCACGTGGACGTGGTCGAAGTGCCAGATGATGGTGAACAAACAGAGCCGCTAGTACAACAAGCAGATGCAGGTGGGACATCAAGACCAGCTGCTGCTGGTGCTGTGTCGTCAATCGGCGTCGCGGCGGCAGCCTCGGATGTTGTGGAGCATAAATTCTTAGTCTTGTCCAAGACTGACGTCGAGGGCGCAGTGGCACTTCTGCCGGAGGTGCCGGCGCCGGAGTTGTGGGACGAACCAGCGCTGGAGCTGGTGTCCGGAGATGTATCAAATGCAAAAATGTCTGGGTCTGGAAACTTGTGATGCTAAAATGTGCATGATGAAGACACTTCCGAATGCAGTCCGGCATGAGAACTTCCCAAAACGCTCTCTCATAGGCAATCCGCATGAGAAGCTGCGTTTTTGCATGACAAAAGAGGCTGCGACTTTTGTTGGTTATGCAATACAGATTTTCTAGGTATGGAAAGCTAGCGTTACAAGTTCCAACCTTCCAGACCCAGACATTTTTACAATCCATAAGATGCTGGAGCAGACGATGTCATGACAACTTCCCCGACTTCTGCTGCATGCGGTAGTTCTAGTTCACCGTGGGTTAACATCTCATCTGGTGGGGGTGCAGCAGGAGCAACTTCCAGTGCCAGCTGCGCAGGAGTTGTACAACGACCTGTTTCGAATTCGACGACACCAGGGACGCCATCTTCTAGGCCGGGTAATGCCGCACAGGGCGTGTTATGCATTTGCATTGCAAAAGTATCGCACTCGCATAAATTATGCATTTCCTCACCGGCATGAGAAACAAAATTTGTGATGCGGATTAAGCTTAAGAACAAGATTTGCAGTTCATGTTTGCAATTACTACGAGCACGATACTTTTTCACAGGATACGTGTTCTTGTCCAGAGCTAGCTGCTTTTCAACGTCCTCCACGCTGGTCTGTGGCACTTTGATATCCTAGGGAAAAACGTGTTCCCAAGCCCGCAGTTACTATGTGGAGTCATCTGCTACACAAATCCACAAGTTTTGGCTGTCGCGCATGACAAGTTTAGGTTCGCAGAGCCGTATTATCCTATTTAGCTAGTGCAACCCGATCACAAAAAAACAACTACCTCATCCTGATTCAAGCATGACAGAGTCCCAGCAAGCATCCCCATGGGGCTGCGCATGAGAAATGTAAATGTTGTAGACCTGCAGATTTGCATGACAACTTTGGGCTGGCGACGTTTTTACGCAGGATACTTGAGACTCACCTCGTGCACCCCGCCCTCGGGCAGCTTATGGAAGCGTCAGGTTTGAAATCGACAAAGTTGAAATAATTTGTCATGCACAAAATGCATGGCCCGAGGTACGTGTGTTGCAGAGCAGGCAAGTGAGGCCGATTGTAAGCCTGTTTGGGGTTACAGTCCGAGCTGCTGAAGTAGCATGAGAAAATCACTCCTCTTTGCCTAAACAGCATGACAAACTGGATGTAGGGACCACCGAAATTTGTCTTGCGCCACTTGGAAACTGGGTTCCAACTTGGTGCATCCGTTTTATGCATGACAAATTATCTCAACTTTGTCGATTTCAACTCTGACACATCCATACAGCTGGTACTTCCGGTAGTGCGGCAGCGGAACGGCTTTCCGCCCGGTACGCTTGAACCGGAGTTGCCGTTGATTAACGCCATATGGGGGTGTCAGAATCGAAATTGAGAAAATCAAAAAACTTGCGATGCACAAAATCGATGTCAGTTGGAGCCTCAGTTCCCAAGTGGCGCATGACAAATTTCGGGAGCACACAAATCCAGTCTGCAATGCTGTTTGGGAACAGAAGACTGCTCCTGTCATGCTACTCTGGCAGCACCTTGTATACCCCTAAACAGGCTTACAGCGGTCTCATTTTCCTGCTCCCCAATACAGGTCTTCAGTGTCCTACATTTTACGCATCACAAATTTTTCGATTTTCGCGATTTCGATCCTGACACATGCATAAGCCAGGAGTTGTATTTATGGTACTAAAAACTACGGGCCTCCACGACGAGCAGCTCGAGGTCGGGCCAACTATGGAGTTCTCAGCTGTTACATTCTCAACTGTTGCATGAATTTGTCATGCAAAAACACCACCATCATCCTCACGATCAAGCTGCTCCGCATGACAAATTTGCGAAGGGCTAAGCCGCGCCTAAATCTGCGCCAAACTTGTAATGCAAAAGGCGCAATCTTCCTTCTTTCACTTTTGCCAGTCTTGCATTACAAACTCATGTAACAGTTGAGAATGTAACATTTGAGAAGCGGTACGCTTGAACCGGAGTTGCCGTTGATTAAAGCCTATGAACTGCAAAAGTATCGTACTCGTATAAATGCATTACAAATTTTCTCAGCATGAGAAATAAAATTTGTAATGCTGATTTGCCTTGACAAAGAAATTTGTAATGCAAGACCTGCATTTATACGAGTACGATACTTTTGCAATGCATAAAGCCAGGAGAAGTTGTATTTATTTTCAAATCGGACCTCCACCTCCACGACGAGCAGTTCGAGGTCGGACCAACACCAACTTGCGTCGGATGAACCACGACATTGGCGGCCCGGTGTGAAACAAGCGCGTTCATTTCTCGACGTCCAAAGCTGTTGTTGATCAAGGCAGCTGAACGGGATGAAGATGGCTTCGACAGTACTAGACCTCTAGCAGTCGTGCTCTTTTGGCCGCGACGCTGCTGCCTACTACTTCGACTTCCTAGGGCCGCACAGAAGATGTTGCAGCCTCTAGTAGCAAAGGAAGGACATGTTGTACTTGTTGCAAATCCAACATCACGTTCTTGGTCGTACTGTTCACAACGTTGCGGAGATCACCTGAAGCCCAACCGAGGCCGACCCCCACGACGGAATCCACGACCGCATAGTTACATCAATCTGATCCTCGTCACACTGTGAAGTAGAAGTAGTGGTCGAAGGTGCGCACCAGCTCCATCCACAAATCTTCCCCAGTTATTGTTTCGGCAGCCACCTGCTCGCGCGACGACGAGCTTGAGCCAATCTTCGTCACTTCCAGCCAGCTGCACGGCTTGGTGCAGCCCCTTCTTTGCGCGAGAAAGAACGGCTCGCATGGCATTTCACGTCGAAGCGCTGAGGATATAAAAACTTTGTGCGCGACCACAGCGCCAGCGCATAGGAGCAACCGATGCTCTCGAGAAAGAGAATTAACACAACTGGAGGTGCTTGACACAACTGGACGAGGTGCGGTTTTTGCAGTTGTCTGTTTCCAATGTATCGAGGACGACACTTGGCCCTGCAATTGTAGTGTCAGAAAAGCAGTTAAAGTAGAACAATTCAATATGATTTCTCCGCAAGAAGTAGTACGTAGAACGGAGTAACATGTAATGCCAAAACTTCCGCGATGAAGCAAGAGCGTGTATCAAATCAAAAACGAAACGCCACGTAGAGCCGAATGTTGGACCATCAACTGAACAAAACCTCGTCTGACGCAATGCTTTATCGATTCTTGAACTGATTGCAATTGGAACTGATTTTGAACGCCAGTAGCCGATTTGCCATGTAGTATCATCCAGTGAACAAAGTAAAAACATCTTCTTGAGCAGATCTTGATTACGTGCACCTAGACCAGTTGTATACGACGGAGTTTATTCTCCTCTTTCCTCGAAATAGTGGCACGGGACCGGCGAGAGTTCTTCGGCGGGGGAGTAGCAACTAAATTTCTACACCCCGGCGGTCTTCTTTTTCTTCAAGATCCAGATCATCATACCTTGAAATAGAGAATGTGAATCGAAGATGGGGCGATCGTACTCTGAAAAAGAACAAGTGCCTCACTTGATGCCGAAGAAAGCCATGGGAGGCCGCGATAGGTACTCGATAGGTGCTCCTACATGTTGATGCCCATATCGTAATTATTTCCTTCCCTCTTTTTCCTTCTTGTTCTTTTTAAATCAGTAGACCGTACTAGCCGCCAAGATGTCACAGGCTGGATTTGGTGCAAGCGGTTCAATCGTGGACTGATAACGGTTGGCCTTCGGCACGATCCGCGTTTCAAGGCTACGCCTTTAACTTTCTATGCATCATACATGGTTAAACAGTGCTATTAAGTACAAAGACCGTGGTCAGCACAAAATGCGGCAACAATATCAAGAGCGAAACAGGTTGTAACAGCAGCACGTTGATGCTATTAAGATAAGAGTAAGATAAGTGGGCCCTAATTCATGACGGAATGGCTTCTTCATCTTCATCTCGTGGCCACTTCCCCGTAGTTTCAACTTATCTATGATGGTACTACTTACTCAATCCACCACTAGATGATCACTAGAAGATCACAAAAGAAGTACACAAACCAAAAGCTGCAAAAGGTAACTGTCCAAATCAAAAGCTGCGAAACAGGCAAAAAAAAATATAGGAACGCAAAACCAGACCAAATCAAAACTGTGCACCCCCTTAGCCAGCATGCGAAGGAGCACACTTAACATTTCTAATGATAGAGACCAATACGCTGCACCACCACCCCACACAAGCAAAGTCTTTGTATGAATATAGTGTTCTGGCTTTTGCTTTTTCGATCTGGGGCCCAGCACTACAACTTGTGGCGACGGCAAGAATTCGACTCTATTCTATCCGAGCCGAGCCGAGTAAATCCTTTAAGGTTTTCAATACGGAAGCCAGTGCTTTGATATTTTTTTGCGATAGCAATTTTACACTTGGCGCGGGGCCGCAATTCGGAACTGAGCCTCCAACCTCACCAGCTTCAGGAAAAAAGGCATGATACTGGTCGAAAGCGATGAGGCGAATTTGCGTACGTGTACTTGTATCTTACCATGAAAAGAAATAATCATACAATCGGAGCGCTGTATTATGCATGCTGCATAAAACTACGCACCTTTAGATCTAACTATCTACTCTAGCGCGATCAGTATATCCATTTAAGATTTGTAGTTGTACTTGATGATGTTGGCAGTGTGCCCTTTAGCGGACTGCTGCGTGCTACTCCCTCCTCCAGCCCGAGAGCAGCTGAACGCCGATCCTCTATGACGAACAGTTGATCTATACCATAAGGGCGCGGCTGTTATAAGGCTAGGTTTTTTCGGACTTGGGTGTGGGCCACACTCTCACACACGTCGTTCAGGGGGGACCAAAAACGCACACACCGCAGCACTGAGCATAAGTGTAGGGCGGGTCTGGTCAACGACCGAGCCGAGGCAATAAGCCTTGTTTTTTAGGTCCGGCGCGGGGAGCACTTAAGCTCCACAGCGGCTCGGTCGCTAAAGCTCGAGCACCGGACCCACTGCGTATGCCATGACGCAGCACATACATGAACGACGTCCCACAGTCAGTGATTACCTCTGGACGAGCTTGGCCAGAAGAAGCACGCACCGACCTCCCAAACCGGCAGTTGTACTTACTTGTTGTAGAAATAATAAGATACCGCTTGCATTAAATTATCATTATACATTGTACTTATGAAAATGACCAGAGTTGTGGTTCTTGTCAAGAATAGTAACTCGTTGTCGGAAAGTTCCAGTATGAACTGCAAAAGTATCGTACTCGTATAAATGCATGACAAATCTTCTAAGTATGAGAAATGAAATTTGTCATGCTGATTTACTTTAAGAAAAAAATTTGTAATGCAAGACTTGCATTTATACGAATGCGATACTTTTGCACAGGATATCCAGGGACTGCAGTAGATAAACGCTCGACGCTGCCACTTGCCAGAGTTTGCAGTGCTGAAGGACCGCACACAAGCATGAGGGCTTCCACTGAACAGCTTCACCAGTAGATCACTTTGGTAGAAGCAAGGAGCGAGAGCCTCTTTAGTAGGTACGTGCTAGATACCGTGCGTTGTCCCCGTCGATTATAGGTAGATGCTAGACGGCCTTTTAGGCTTTTCGACATCCGTAGGCATCAAGAGCTCAATGCTACCGAACAAACGGAGGGCATTATTCAAGGGGTCGCTGACGATCTGCAACTTTTCTACGGTCATCCCCCTTCCAAGCGCCGCGCTGTCAAACTTGAAAACGCAGTCTAATTGGTAGGACCTCCAGTGCCGCGCGGGACCATGGGCAGCGAAGCTGACGGTCAAATAGCGTTCCGTGCCACGAGTGGTTTCACTTGTTTCTGGGGTTGTTTGTTTCATCTCAAAGGCTCTTCCTTCCGGAGGCGTGCGTGAAAAGGAGGCGCGCACCGTGCTACCCGTCCGAAAGTCCCGAAGGGAGAAATTGTAATCGTTATCGCTTCTCGATTATCGACATTGCAAAAGTATCGCTGGCGTGACCGTACTAGCAGAAATTGCATGACAAACCTTATTTGCAGAAATTCCTAATAAAAGTAGGCGGTGTTAATGCTGATTCGGGTTCAGGCAAAGAAAGAAGAAGACTCGTCATGCATTACTGCAATTCGCACGATAGTAAGCGCCTGCGATTCTTTTGCAGAGGATATCGATACCTGGCTCGCGAACGCCCGGGTAACGAACACCCACTCGCCTATGGTCCACTGCTTGGATATCCTGAGTAAAAACGTACCCACGCCAGAGTTGTAATGCTAAAAGGAATTGCAGCACACTTTGCCCCCCCCTCTGCCCCAGGCCGCAGATGGCTTGACACGCAGGGGGGGTAGGTCAGGCGGACACCGAAGCGCCATCACCATCATCTCCCGGCCGCTCCATACTATACTCGCAAACAACCAACTTTTCGCCACCAACCAACTTTTTTGCCAACCACCAACATTTTTTGCCAACAGTATCAACCTCATTTCCTACCAACTTTGCCAACTAACGCCAGAGTTGTAATGCAGATTTGCAAAGACAGGAAGACTTGTAATGCGCATCCCCATGAGAGCCATTTCCAGTCGTGTTTTGGAATTTGTGATGCTGTGAACAGGATGAGCAGATGGATTTCTGATGCGTTTGCCCTTGCTATAGCCTGCACTACACTGCATAGTGCAATTTGTCATGCGTGACTCACAAAACTCCTAGGTTTGTGTTGCAAAATCCCCATCCTGACTCTGGTGTGGGTACGTTTTTACTCAGGATATTGGATGGCCGAGGAGCCGGTATCGTGGATACCGGCTCATTATCCTGTGCAAAAGTATCGTACTCGTATAAATGCAAGTCTTGCATTACAAATCCTTTTCTTAAGGTTAAGGCAGATCCGCATTACAAATTTCATTTCTCATGCAGAGGAAATTTGTAATGCATTTATACGAGTACGATACTTTTGCAATGCATACTCATCGGCCGGCAGATTAATCTTCAGCTGCATGGCGCTGAGGAGCGGTTTGAGCTTTTCGATTCGTTCTGCCTTCCGCCGCCGTGCTGCCGCGAGCTGCCTTTGAAATCTCTCAGACTGCTGCCAGCGCGTGAGATCGGCGTAACCTGGCATCGCTGTCTCGTGGTCCGCCCGCGGGGGGCACAAGTATCTTCACATTCGCGTCGTCCTCCTCCTGAACATGCGGTGTGATGAAGCCGTAGGCCTCCTTGCCGGTCTTATAAAACGTAAACTGCCCGATGGCCTTGCCGTCCTCGTTTCGCATGAAAGCCGGAATGGGAAGGTCTTGTGGCGGGTCCCGTCTGGGAGTGTTAATGCGGTGCATCTGCGCCTGGCCCCGGTTCTCAGCAGCGAACTTTGTACTGCTCTGGCCCGCTGCCGTCGTCTGCCTGTCGGAGCAAGTGTGTTGACCTCCCCCATATCGTTGCCGCGCACCAGCAGACGGCCCTGCATTGTTGTTGTACAATTCCTCCTCATCTGCATAGAGATGCGGATCGTGCGTATATTTCGCGCTGCCCACTGAGGAAGACGTTGGTGGGCTGACGAAGTTGCTCTTCGAAGTCTGTAAGCTGTTCGCCCTACTCTTCTGTTGCAAATCGAAGCCGTTGCGCGAGAAAGAGCGATCACTTGTCAGGCGCACAGCGGTGGACGTTCCAAACGTTTGTTTCCCGCTTGACGAGGCGGCGCTCCTCAATATATTTTGACTGCCTCTATGCGTGGTGGGAGGGCCCATCATCATCTTGTTCCGCACAGTGCCTCTAGTAGTGCTGCTATGCGGTTCTTCTGCATCCTCCCCGTACGACATCGTAACCCGTGGCTCGTCTCTCGCCGGAGGAAGCAGTTTAGAAATTCATACTGGCATCTTCTCCCGACCCTCTTCAAAGCGCGACTCGTGCAGCGCGATTCGTGGCCAGTCCCACTTAGTCAAATCTTGCGTAGCCCGTGAAGATCACCGCGTCATCTCACGCGGAGAACATGACGCGCAAAAAAGAAAAAAACGTATCACAGTTCGTCGCTCGCCCTCGACCGAAACGCGACCTGTAGCTGAAGAAAGACCGCGCACTCCTTCAGCAAGCTCCCACCAGCTAGTGCTCGGCATTTAACGTCCTCCGCAACGGTAAGAGAACGGCAAAAGCAACGGTAGGAGAACGGTAAGAGAACGGTTACGCAGCGTTACGCAGCGTTTCTCATTTGTAGTATAATTTGTCCAAGTGAAGTGGCCGCGGCCATCAAAAAGGAGCCATTATCATACACCCGCGTTGATCATCATACACCCGCGTTGATCATCATCACTGTCTCGTGGTCCGCCCGCGGAGGGCACAAGTTCGGACACTGTGGGGCACGAAGACGATCGTCGTGGACACAGAGGTTCTCTTCTTTCTCGAAAAACAGCTCGGGCATATCAACTGCAAATACCGAAGACGGATCGGGGTGTGAAAGTAGAGTGCAAGATGTGTCATGATGCGTCTCGCACTCCATAGTACGCAGCATGGTCTAGAATGCACACAAAGACATCACAGATAATTCTACTGCGAGATCTTCCTCAAGCCTATCCAAAATGAGGAGTCCGCACCTTGCCTAGCAAGAAGTGGGCAACTACTTTTGGCGTTCATTTACGCAATACAGATTTTTATTTCGGGAAGATCAAGATCGAAGCTTGCTTTATTTATGACAATCTGTTTCCTGCTTCCAGACTTTAATCTTCGATATTTGCAATGCGTAGAACACATGGCGCAACAAAAAGGAAGCATCCATTTCGCCGAGCTCAATTCGCTCGCCATCAAGCATATCATATGTAAAAAGGTCCCCACCCCGTAGTGAAGTTGCTGCGAACTCTGCAGCACAAGTCCGGAAGTTTTATTGGAAGCCACGCATGACAAGTTGTGGTCCGTAGTGAAGTGCAGGGTCCTAGGAAGGACAGCCGCATTACAAATCCATCTGCTTATCCTGTTCACAGCATTATACAAATTTCCAAACACGTCGATTGAAAACGTAAACGGCTGTTGTGGGATGCGCATTACAACTGTTCACGTTCCTGCACCCGAAATTACCAATCTGCATCACAAGTCAAACTCTGGGGTGGGGACGTTTTTCCACAGGATAAAGCATAGTAATTCTATCCGGCTCCCCCTGGCCGGCATCTAGCTTTTCTTCGAACGTTCTGCGAGCCTGTTCCAGCCGTTTGCCCAACAATTCGTGTACAGGCCGGCGCAAAGCGTCCTCTTGACCACCGAAAACCGTCTTGACAAAGTGGCTGTAGAAGTGCGCCACGCCAATGGCGCGCATCGTGCGGTTCACACGCTCCAGATCTTGGGAAATAAACGGGGACGGTGCGGGAGAATGTAAAAAGCTCGCAATCTGCTTTCCGTGCAGGTCCAGCCGAAGAGCGCCATTGGTCTGGCTCTGGTGGCTGGCTTGTAGTTCCGCATGACCTTCTTCTTCCTGCGAACTACCCGTCCCGGAGGCCAAAGTCAACCCGGCCGAGGACGACGGCGAGGCCTTCAAGGCGACGACGAAAAAGTCTTGGCGCCCCAAGAGCGTCGCGACTGCCAAGCGCTTCATCATTGTGAGACTATATCGGTAGTTGACTGAGCAATCCTAATATCCGCCAACAGTAGTAGAGAAAGTTGCTGTAACAATAGTTGTCACGTTCTTGCAATAGAAAGAACGCGAATGAAGTCGATCCGTGAGAGAAACGAAAATAGAGCAATGCAACCGAAAGGAACTGCGAGAATCTGTGTCGTCGGTATGGGTTTACACATGAAAGACGAGAGCAAGACGAAAATGAAAGTATTGCGAAGTAAAACCCCAGGGCGATGAAGTTTGAATTTTATTCAGTAGCGAAGCGAACCATAAGTTTGCAATGCACGATTTCCTGCGAGGTGTGGGTTGGAATTGGACAAGAAGATGAAGATCTACTTAAGCCAGCCTGGAACTTGACAGATTTATTTTTCTCAAAAATTCTACTGCGCGTACCGAGTGGCGACTTTTTAGGTCGCAAGCACAAGCCGTGACTGTTTTTGAGTCGGATTTGGTGCATCAAAGCGTCGAAGTCAGGATTTTGAAATGTTCTTTGTCTTTGATCTTTTGTGTACAGATCTCATGTAATTCCATGATTTCATCCTTCCCGGATCTCGATCTCATACTAGAGCCCCGATTTACAATTTATTTAATCAATCTGATTTCATCTCCGTCGACCGATGCAAGTAGTACTACAAGGATCTGCTCTTCCTCCATATTCAAAGGAAATACTGCTAGACTTTTGGTTTGTAGTTTTACTGGTGGATAATTCAAGCTCTTTACATCATCACAACTACGACCCTGATACAGGCGCCACCAGTAAGAAATGAAATAACATGTCGGCCCCAAAATGGAGTGCGTCGCGCTGCACGCCTTGCCTACACCATGGGACGACAGATCCCGGGGGTGACGTTGAAGATGATCGGGGGCCGTTTCATTGTTTTTCTTTTTTTGTACTTATGTTCACCTTGCTAGCCACTTTCTTTTTCTTGTCTGATTGATGTAGTACCTGATTTGCGGAAAAAATCGGGGTGGTTCAGCTGTGACTGCTTCTGCTTCTGCTTGCTTCGAGAAAGTTTTTCAACAGATGTTGTACTGTTTTTGGGAGCAGTGTTTCACGACGTTTTTCTCTTTCCATGTGTTCCTGCTGGGGAGTTTTTGCTCTTAAGCATACATACCGAGGATAGTACCTGCTTAGCAGTTGTATGTATTTCCCTCCGTGCAATGTAGTTCCACATCAGGACATGCTGTGCAACAGAGTTTTCGTCCCAGTACGTGCCGTGCAATGGAGATTCTAGTTTTTAATTCTTTCGTCATAAAAATAAATTTCATGGTGATAGTGCCACGTCGTCCAACAGCAGTGGTAAGTAGGGTGTTTTCAAAAAAAGTTCCCCGCTTTTAAAAAATCAGTACTCAGTCCGGGTCACGAAGAACAACTGTTGCTCCAAAAATGATATCGTACTCGTCGTGGATAGAAGGAAAATAAATAGCTACAACCGGCGAAGGAAAGTGAAAAACTTCTTGAATAGGACGAGGTTGGTATAGAGACCCTCTTCGTGAAAGTGCTCCGTTTCCTAATTGGGCTGGCCGCCAATAGACTGCACCAACGAAATTATAGGTTGGTCCTGTAATACGTATAGAGAAATGCTGGTTTGTTGTAGGAAGAAGAAGTAGAAGTCCCAAAAGAACTATCCAGCAGTGCAAATGAGTACCAAAATGTCAAATCGTTCTACTGAGCAGCAAAGAACCTTGCTGACCTGTGCTGCTCCACCTGAATTGAAGTAGAAGTCGAGCCTGAGCAGCAGCATGAAAGTGCAGCGGAACGCATTTTTTGGACAGCGTGTGAAACGTAGGTGCAGCCACTGTAGCAAGGTAAGTCAATGCTCGGCGGGGTGCAGTACTGATGCCGTTTGCAATCATAAATTGCGTCACAACTTATCATGTGGCGTAGCAGGGTGGTCAAGATTCTTGCCGACAGTGGCCAACCCCAACTCTTGCTGTGTAGAAGGGAGAGTTGGCCACCGTGGTCATATTGCTACATCCTCTCTCTACTCCGAGTCTGACCCATAAGAGGCCATCAACATCCCAGGTGGTTGTAAACCTCCGCCCGCGTGGTACTCCTGGTCCTGGTCCTCCTGCCCCAGCCCGAAAATTTCCGCAAAACTTGCCTGCGTGCTCTGCGTGCTCGGTGCCGGAGATGGTGATGTTGAATTTGAATTGTTTTTCCGCCACTCATATCCTGTGCAAAAGTATCGTACTCGTAGTAATCGCAATCATGCATGACAAATCTCCGTCCTAACCTAAATCCGCATTACAAATTCCATTTTTCATGCTGAGGGAATTTGTCATGCGATTTATACTAGTACGATACTTTTGCAATGCATAACTCAGCACCGAAAACCCCCTCCTCCTCCGGATCGCCGTCTTCGCCGTACATGTCTGGCTTGTCGCCGCGCTTTTCCAACTCCTCCCTGCTGTATGACCGTGCGCAAGAAGATGAACTCCTTGTCAGCTGTCCCTCATTTTTTTCATGCAAAAAGTCTTTGCATTTTTGCAAGATCTCCGGCTATACTATCATTCTAGCACCAGAGGACTCACTTCGCAGTATGATGACAAGCAGCAGCTCGGACGATTTTTATAATTTCAAGACATTTGCTGAACTAAAAGCCGTGGCCGTGCCTGGGATTTTTGTCATGCAAAATAAAAATTTACAATGAGAGAGTTCATGATCTGTCCATGTGGCCTTCTCCACTTCTGTTCATGCACTTTATTTCATTCGAATGAGGACGAGGGAGACCCCACGACGAGTTCGTCTGCTTGTTGTGCACTCTGATATAATGCTAGCGGCGCTGCCCGTTGCGCGGTTTGCCTGCCGCAACCGGCCCAAGTCTGGCGTTTGTAGAAAGGTGGCCACTGTTGGCCAGAAGGTTTCTTCACCGGACGAAAAGTGGTCGTCATCCGCATGATCTCCCTGCTTGTTCTCCTGCGTTTTTCCCCCGGTCCGGGTCCGATTGAAGACAACAGCATTACTGTAGGCCGGCAGCGAACAAGCATGAACGAAAAGAACCAATGGCAATGCCGCCGCGCGGCTGGGAAAAATCATTCTCGGGCCAGCGCCAACCATTCTCCCTGATCCTGATGTGGTCCTCGTGGAAACAATAAATTTGAAACGGGGAGTTGAGATCCTGGTTGCGGGTATGGTATGTATTGCAATGTAAAATCAAAAAATGTGCTCGTCGTGTGATATGTCAAAACAAGTAGTCATGGGCTAGTACTTTGATTGGAAAGAATGCAGGTCGCGTTTCTGTGCAAAATCTAGGCAGAGGCGCTAGTGGAAGACTTATGTGCCGTGTTTCTTTTGTTGTGGCTAAAACTCCTAAACCTCGTCGAAATTTTGGTTGTGATTTTAGATTTGATCTTAATTTGAATGGAGTTACGAGGACGGCTCAGCCTCAGCTACACAATACGACACGAAAACCGATCGAAGAAATACTTAGGCGGATTCAATTTTTCTGTGCCCAAAAATTTTACTCACTTATACTGAAATACTACTTGCAACTGCGAATGGTGTTACTACTGGTGCATAAAACCGACGAAATGAGATTTCGTCTCTCCCTGTTGTGTAGTATGGTCGACATCAATGACTAGAGCTTGTTTCGGCCAGGTTGTGATCGCACCATACTAAATGTTTGTGCTTTGTGTGTTCGGAAGAAGTGCATGAACTTAATAAGGAGCAAAAAATGAGGATTTTGTAAAAAGGACCGCTTTCTGAGCGTACAGATTTGATTTTCGCCACACGAGACTTGAAAAAAAGACCGAATTCATTCATAGGTGCGAACTTGTTTGATTTGATTCAGATTTGGAGTACAAAATCAGGACTTTTCGTTGATCTTGGGTATTTTTCTTACGGTTGCGTTTTGATGCGAAACTCTGGATTTTTCCACGATATTGACGTGATCTTCCACTTCCCACGACCACCTAGTACAGCATTTTTTCTTCAACGTGATCGCTCTGGTTTGTTGAATTTAAAGCTGACCGAGCGGTCGTCAACAGCTGCATCTGCACAAAGGCGGAATGAATGAATTTCTGAGATTCATTTTCACCGACGAGTTGTTCTTGATCTTATGATGGATCCAGCGAACGGAGTCGTGTCTTCTCCACCTAATATTTCGATTCTCATAATATCACAAAAACTTGTTCGCCGATCGTTGCGCTATGCACTTCGCAAGAACAGAAAGATTGTGCCCGGGCCGCCCGAGGTCGCGAACACCATCGGACGAGAACCTTGTTCCAAAGCCTCACTCTATATTGCGACAGCAGTTCTGGTTTTTTTCCTGTCTTTCAACATATGATGCGGTCGGACCACTGCTGTTCAACTTATGATGTAAAGATGATACGTATAGTACACGACTCGGGTGAAAATTTTGGGCAGTGCTCGACGTTCCTCCTTCTCCCCAATAAACTTCGCAGCGATGCGAGATGGGCTTTCATACAACTTTTCTCTCCTCTTCTTGGTTCGGGTTGCTCTCTGCGTTGTAATAAATGCCAATGGGTTTTCGTTTTCATAAAATGTGAATCGTACAATAGATATGTTGACTTCTGTGTCGTGTTTCAGCTCTACTACGGTGGTCGAGAAGATGTTTCTAAAATGATTTTGTGGTCAGCTAGAGAAAATAAAAAGACAGCACTTGTTGGCCGGCCCCGCAACAGCCAGCAGACGGGGCCCCGCCGGACTTCTCATGATAACGCACCACTAATATACTGCAGCGTCATGACCTACAAAGTGGGTCATGTCTTTTTTTGTGTTTTTTTTTTGTATGTCGTTTCCCTTACTGTCTCCTGCTGTACTGGTTTAATAGTACTGGTTATGGTTTATTACTGTTGTGAAGACTCGACTTTGCGCTAGTACAATAGTTTTCTTTTTATGCTGGACTTACGTAACAAATGAAGCGCGACCACTATGTAGTACCGTGTACAGCTACTAAAAGTAAAAGATGAAATCAACCCGAACTATAATTGGATGCAAAGTTACAGAGAACATGGCGACCTCGTCGACGGGCACGGGGCGGCTGCTCAACTTTTACCTGTTTGTGCAACAACTCCCAAGCAAGCACTAATGATGTGCAGCGAACGACCCTCTGCGGCCACATTAGAAACAAATGCCGACGGACAAGTACTAGGACAGCACATAGAAAAAGTGATAAATACGATAAAAAAGAAACTGGTTAATAGTATTTAGGCTGCAAATTCATCATATAGACAGAAAACGGCTTCATCTCTGATATGCAATTCGGCTTGATGCAGCCCCTACAACTACTAAAGACAACAACATTTTCTTTTTCTCAACAACGCCCTCATCCCGGCGTCCCGTATCTATAGAATGCAAGCAAAAAATAAAATAGCAGAATCGACACTAAGTAATGCAATGAACAAGAATAGTGCCATCATTAGCAGCGTGCTGACTACGGTAATGATGAAGATCATTGAAAATTATCACATCTTGTTCCCTTCTTCTCTAATCTGAGTGAGCCCCTACTATCCCCACCATTTTCCAGTGGTTGATCCCGTTGTGCCAGAGACGAATGCATTCGCGGTCCTGATCACACGACGATGTACCACGTTGTTGTAGTTCGAGTTCCTCTCGTCCCGCTTCTCCTCCTCCGACCTGCAGGTTCGGAAAGCTCTGCATGCTGTATATTGTGAGGAATAATCCCCCCTCCCCATATCGAAAGCGAAATTTGTGTTGCTGTATTTGAGTACACAAATCGCATTTGTCCTGCTGGAGAGGACTGCAGACCCATATCAAGCCTGAGTAGAGAGGCTCTGACTTAGGCGCTTAGCACGAAAAGCGTCCGTGATGTTGGCTCAACAGCATGACGAACCGCCTCCATAATGGGACGGAAGCTGCTGCCCTCGTCTTCTTGCAACACAAACGCGATTTGTGACCTCAAATCAGCAACACAAATTTTCGAAAACCTACCTCTTCAATATGGGGAGGGGGGATTTTTCCTTGCGATATTGTAAAAGTTTCGGTGGATCGGCTCGTAGTCTCCCGGCTCTTGCACCGCTTCCCCACCGCCGTCTTCGTGCTGCATATACAAGTGTACAACTCCCCCTCCCCCTCATTTGTATGGCATGAAGAGCAATACAAACACCAGCGCACATGGAGCCGATGCATGACAAATCCATGTTTTTCCTAATGTAGTGCTGTTTGGGCTTCCGGAATTTGTCATGCATAATAGTGACGCAAGGGAGCAACTGGAATTGTGAATTTTGCATGAGAAATGAGAACGAGGGGGAGTTGTGCACTGTCGTATTGCAGAAGGTCCCTGGCGAAGGCGTACACCTCGATCGGCAGGCCCAACACGTGGGACAGCGCTTCGATCTCGTTGTCGCCGGAAAAGACGCCCGGCTTGGCCAGCTCGTTCAAAATTTGTTTGTCCGTGCTGTCGGCTCCCAGCCGCAGTTCCATCTGAAAGTCCCGACGGTACGTCGCCCCGTGGGCGTGGGGGCTCACTTCGTCCAGCCTCGTGGCGAACCAGTCGCGGACCGCTTTGCGCAGGCTTCTTGGGGTAGGAGGTGGAGCACGAGCAGGAGCACGAGCACCACCACCACGTCGGGCGACAGTATTGTCATTTCCTGGGAACAACGAGGAGGACATGATGATTTGGTCTTGATCGCCACCACCGGTAGCAATCCTCTTCCGCTGTTGCAGAGCGCGCAAATTCGCGATCACAGCGTGGTAGAGACAATCGCCGTCTCCAGGGACGTTGACTGTGTAGATGGATCTGTTCTTTTGCACGTCCAATACACGCCGCCGACCGGGTCGTGGTCTTTGTTCAAGAACATGATCCACAGGGTAGCGGCTTTTTCCACTGCTAGTGCTACTCCTGTCTTCAGAGATGAATAAATCTTCGACTGTGTCCACCCCTGTCACCCGGTTTCCCGGTCGGATACTGCGCTGAAAAGCGACAAGCTCTTCCTGGGCCGCCCGGGATGAAGCAGCAGATGAGGTTCTGGAAGATACCCCCGTGGAGGTTCTTGCCGCACTTCTTAGGGATACAGCTACCTCACTGCTCCTTGCCGATACATCCGAGGGCACATGACTGTCGGCCGAGCCGAACGGCGTTTCTGGTAAAAATATTCTTGTTGCAGGACGATTCCACGCCGAAACTGAATGCTCGTACTTGTTCTTCTCAGCATAAAACATTAAATCTTGCTTCTTTTTTATCCTGAGTAAAAACGTACCCACACCAGAGTCAGGATGGGGATTTTGCAACACAAACCGAGGAGTTTTGTGAGTCACGCATGACAAGTTGCGCTCTGCAGTGTAGTGCAGGTTAGCAAGTGCAGCCGCATCACAGATTCATCTGCTCATCCTGTTCACAGCATCACAAATTCCAAAACACGATTCAAAATTGCTCTCATGGTGATGCGCATTACAAGTCTTCCTGTCTTTGCAAATCTGCACTACAACTCTGGTGTGGGTACGTTTTTCCTCAGGATATTTTTCACCCGTTGCAGCTGAAACAGAAAATATTTCTCGTTCCCCCGCAGATGCGTTTGCCCGCGTACCTTCTTGCGCACCGGAATTATGTTGTTGTCGGGACGAACATCAAAGGACGAGCTCTTGCGATTTCCGTTTCTACCACCTCTCGGTCGCGATGGAGACGACCTTCGACCACGGGTGGATGGGCGCGAGCAGCCTGAATAAACATTATTTGTGGTTCCTCGCGCCGCGACGACGGCGTATCGAAAGAAAAAAGTTCGTCACGATCACTCATGGGCATTTTTGCAATACAGAAAATGCCTGGCATGCGTAGAAATGCATCACAGGCAAACAACATACGGGATTTCTCTTAGTGTTTCTGCAATACAAGATGAAGCTGTGACGCTAAAAAAATCTGTAATGCAAAACCTCCAAGTTAGTGACTGTGACAAACTTTTTTCTCTCCATACGGCGGAGGGGAGTTGTAGTCGTCCTCGTCCTCTCGGCTTAGAAGTTGTTGTACTGGTGTTCAGATTAATACGCCTCCTCATCGTCCTATCAAATGTAAAAATGTCTGGGTCTGGAAATTTGTGATGCTGTGTGGCATATCATGAGGAGGCCACAGTTGCTGGCTCAGCATGACAAGTTTCTGAGCTTCTAGGTCGTGTTACCTATTCTGCATGACAAACTACGTTTCTGCATGACAGAAAAGTGGGGGTCTTTGGCGATGTGCATGACAGATTTAAGAGTCATGCCAGACAAGCATGACAAACTTGCATTTTTCCAGACCCAGACATTTTTACACTTGATACATCCTTTCGCGTGGTGGTCCACCACCTCCTGCTCCACCGACCGGCGCGGAATAGCTCCGAGGACGGGTTGTAGTAGTTGTTGCGAAGCCCGCTTTGGCTTTGCTTGAGAATAAATTGCTGGCTTTGGCTTTGGCTTTGACCGCAGGACGAGCCACAGCTGCGGGAAAATTCTCCTTAGCAGTCTGCGGTGGCAGCACCGGCATGGAACAAGTTGTGCGATTTATCATACCGGAATAAGGAGTACATTCTTTTTCTTGCACGGCTACTTGTGTCGATGTCGGGGCGCAAATATCACAGGTTGAACTTGAGTTTGTCCTCTGCTGGATCTCTCCCCGCGCGGAGTGGGAGTAGTTGGCGCTAGAAGTGCGACCTTGTTGCAACGACCCTGCTTCTTGGGGGTCGACGCGACCACGGGAAAGTATGGCGTTCTCGAGAAGAGTTGAGAACGTCATAGAAAGTTCTTCCATTTCGCATCCGCTTTGTTGTTCCAGCTCAGACGACGGTACAGCTGTAGAAGGTGTGTCCTCGTCGTCCTCAGCACAATTATAAACATGTCCGGGTGACGGTGGTCTGGTTTTCACGCGCTCCAGCCTCGCTTTTGTGAACTTCCTGTTCCTTGGTCGTGCGCAAGGACCTGCCCACGTTGTCCTTGCGCTAGTTGTGTGAAGATCGTCATCCGCCGGCGACAAAATACCAAATGGAAATGGCACGTCGACACTAGCTGGTGCACTATCGCCACTGCTGTTCGTAGCAGCTCTGTTGTTCCACCGGGGGCGCAGCAACCCTTCAATAACCTCCTTTGACGGCGGCCCGAGGTCGCAGAGGGGCGGGTCAAAATAAACACCAGTATCGGCTTTCGGTATTGATTTCCCTCTGGCAGTAGAGTCCCCTCGTGCGTCGTGGGTTCCAACTTTATTTGGTCCTCGCGCATCATGTTGCCCCATGTTGGCTCCTGCTTTCCTGGGTCCTCGTGCACCACCGGCACTCCGTTTAGCAGTGGCAATAGCAGCAGGCTGTATCCCAGGACGAGTAGGTTTTCGCGGCTGCGCCGTGCCCGTAACTATATTCGGGCAGCTGCAGTTCGCCCCTTTCTTTGCAAGGGAAGGTGGAGCAGGTCCTGCTCCGCCAGACGTTCGGGTGGTCCCTGTCTTTCCTGCAAGATTTTTTGGCTTCGTACTCGTACTGCTCCCATTCTTCTGGCCCCCGCCCAAACAGCTAGAGTGGCTCTTGTTCCACTTCCTCCACACGGTTTTGAAATAGCCTACCCAGGAGCCGAACCAATTTCGAAGCCACGCGACGGTCGTGCTGTGGCTCTTGCTTGTCGTGGTAGTCTTCTTGTTGCCGGAGGTCACTGTCGTAGTTTCTGACCTGCTGGTGGTGCTGAAGGTAGTTCTTGCTTTGATGCCCGTGTTCCTCTTGTCGAAAGCTGCACTAGTACCACCATCTTCCGGCAATTTCTCATCTGCACCAGCTGGCCTGATAACTGTCGGAGGTGGCAGAAGGGCGGGGGCAACAGAGGTGAACGTGTTCGTATTTCTGGTCTCGGCAAAAACAACGGAGAGGTTGGAAGTTGTTGTACTATATACGGCCAGAAACAGAGCGGCGAAATAGGAACGTGACGTCCCGAAGCCGCAACAGCGCGATGGGAAGTCAACGCTGTTTCTTCTTCCCATCGACATGAGCAACATCTCCCCCCTGCGTGAAGATGATTTGGCGGACTCAAGATGTTGAACCTGGCGCTGTTTCAGTCGCAGAGGTGCCAGACCCATTTTTTCTTTCCCTCTCGCTTTCAGTATTTTTCTCTTTTGGTCGTAATGTTACTACTTATTTTCTAGTTGATGTACCAATTTACTTTCTATGAATTATACAAGTTGAGGCCAATCTACTTCTTCGTTCTGAACTAAGCGTGTCGACGACAAATAAACCTCCATTTACTGACAAGGCCAACATCATCTTACTTTTCCATTCGATGAAACGCAGTGCCGATAAATCTACTGAAGCTCATCGACTCAAGAAGACGAGCAGACAAATTTTACACATACTAGGTCAACCTGACCTGCCGCTGTTTTTTTTTTTTTCGGGAAGGGGAATGGATAAAGCGGATACTTATCGGCATGGAATGAGCTGCGCGATTTTTCGGAACAAGCAAGTAGCCTAGATTTCTACAGGTGGATTCTTGGGAAGAGAGATGCACGATCTTCTTGTTCTGCAGACGTTTTCATTTTCATCGCCAACTGATCTCTTGGTGTCAGACACTGATGGATTGTCGCTTTCAGGTGGTGGATCCTTTTGGTGATAGATCGTTTCTTTTTCGGAAAATAAAAAAGGAAACTTGCAGCCTCGGCTGCGATGCCATGATCTCCGCGACTAATTTTTCTTGCAAACTACACGCAACCCACAGGCCGGAATTCGTTCTAGTCCCTCAGCGTTAAATAATGATGATCTGATGATCTTCGAGGTACGTTTTGAACACGTAAGAGTCAGATACTGGGTCCCCCGGGAAAAAACTCGCGGTGTTATTTTTGCTCATCTTGAGCCAAAGGCTCACAAAAGTTACAGTGTGTTTGTCTTGCGTGTTCTGGCTTCCAGGGACTATCTAATTGTGTTTTTCATGTTCCGGAAAAAACTTTCTCGTGCAAAGAAATACGAATCTGTGATGCGTCTTCGCGATATTGCGACGCAAGAGAAAAAACTTCACTACGAGAAAAAAGTAGTCACAAAAAACACAGACAGTGATCACGTGCACCGATCCGAGGTGAGAGTGAACAACACCCCTCCTCAAACTGGTACTAGATCGACAATCTGCGTGGTGTCTGTGTATCTACTATGGAAGATATGCCACCTCGCGCTGCTCTGTCGATTGAACTGGTTTGTGAAAAGAAACACTACTATGCTACTAGTACTACTTATTTGCCCCATGTTATATTTTACTGGTGCTCTTTTATGGATTTATCATACTGATCAAAAAATTATGCACCTTGATCGGCAATGATTTTGTGAGAATGTCTGCATACTGGTACTTTGTTGATGCATGTATTACTCTAATTTCTTTTTTCTGATGAAGATCCTTGATGAAATTATGTCTAATGTCAATGTGCTTGGTCTTTCTCGTACTATCTGTAGTATGTATTAGGTCTATGCAGGACTTGTTATCTTCGAAAATTGGCCATAACTTGTTATAATACACGGCTATAGGCCAGCGCCAGCGAACAAAGTAGAGACATTCCGAACACAGTTCTTCAGTACGTGCAATATGATTCTTCTCTTCTTAGACTTGCACGCAAGCTCTACTTCCAACCCCTGTAGAACCTAGTTTGTGAAAAAGGAAAATTCTCGGTCTCGCCTCATCATCTTAGTCTTCGTAGGGTGGTCTTTTTCGGGTGTGCTTTCTACCGGATACTATCTGTGATGCGAAAACATTGTAATGCGAAACGTTGAAATCTAATTTCTAATGCTGAAGCGATGAAGTAAATAAATTCCGGAGACAGTTTGTTCTCACTAAAGCGACGAAGTGTAAAGACGAACGAAGTTTTCCAAACGTAAAGAAGTGCTAGAACATCGGGAAAGTCCATACGAATCTACCTTGTAGTAGCTGCTGCTTATCCTGTTACTGCTTTTCAGAAGCGAGAAAGAAAGATGAAAAAAGTCCGTGGGCGTTCTGCAACGTTTTGCCGTCATCATCGTCGCGTTCAATTTTTGTAGTGCTCGTTGCTAGAACTCAGATCCATCATAGCGTCGCGAAAGGGCAAAGACCACACTTTTTATTTTCAGACTGTGGTTAGCTCGGGGAGATAATAATACTTTTTGATCACGCGCGCTATCATCATCATCATCATCATCATCTTCTTCTTCTTCTTTCACAACAACAATCCAGCATCACCGGGGCTCGCTGGAAAAGATAAGCATTTTCGGACATCGAACCCTAAAAAAAAATAAATTTGTAATGCTGAAACGAAGTAAACTTGCATTGCTGCCCACATGCGCCACACGAAAATGCTTCAAATTTCTATTGCTGATTCTCCCCCCTTTCACCTCTCTCTTGTATCCTCCCCATCGACGATAGAACACCACCACAAACAAAAAAGGAGAATCACTTCACGGTCCTGGAACAAAACTACGGCACGGCGCGCAGTGCGTTTTTCCAGGCCTTTTTCGTCCTGGCGACGTGCAACATGAACTGCGCCGCACGACCTCCGTCGAAAGCGTTGGCGCGTATGATTTCCTTCGCCGTGTCCAGTGCGGCCAGGTACCGCTCCTGGCTCGCCTGCCCCTGCCCCACCATGGTTTCGATTCCGCCCGCAATCGAGGTCGCCTGCAGTGCGTCCGGCCCCGGGTCCGGCTCGGTCTCACGGGGGTCGACGCGACCGATCCCCACATAAACGCCGACGTTAGCGCGGCTGATGGCCACTGCATTCGTACGCTGTTCGGGCTGGAAGGGAAGTGCGACCACCGGCACCCGGGCCTGCATCGCTTCGCCCAGGCTCGAAACGCCACAGGAGGAAGCGAAGACCAGGCGGCGTTGGGCACCAAAGTAGCAGAGCAAAGCGGTCTGGTCGATGCTGTTGCGCTCGAGTCGGATGAAGGGCGGCAAAGCCGATGCGGGTACAACATCTTTCTTTAAGCTCAGGCGGAGTACCACGTAGTACTTGGCAGGGCCGAGGTGCGAAAGGTCGGCCACGATGTTGTCAAACACCTGTTTTTCCACGTGGTAAAGCGTCCCGAGCGACAAATACACGATCTGCCGGCCCCCCGCCGCGGCTTCCAAGGATTGCAGAAAAAGCTGCGTCGTGTTGTCGGGGCTGGTATAGGAAGTTATCTTGGTTCTGTCCGTAGGGCAAAAGCCGGTTTCCTCCTGTCCGGAAACCATCAACGCGGCAACGGGGGCTTCATTCGAAAAAACGCCTTCATCCTTAGCTAGAAAGGGAGCTGCAGGCGGGGATCTAGTGTTTCCGCTCGCGCCGCGGATGGGAAACACGCGACCCACGAAAATTTCTGCACCCTGGAGGTGTTCCTGTGAAGAAGAAGATGCTGAGGATATCATTTGTAAAAACGTCCCCAACCCAGAGTTGCAATGCAAATCTGCATGCTGAAAATGTTTCTCATGCGGAGACCCATCAGAAGCAATGTCTGATCGTGTTTCGGAATGTTCATGCTCCAATCAGCATGACGTGCGAGCTCTGTGATGCTGCTCTGCTAGCTAAACAGGATTACGCTACTAGAGCACGCCTGTCATGCGAAAGCACCAAAGCTGGCTGATTTGTCTAGCAGATTTCCCATCTTGACTCTGGTGTGGAAAGTTTTTACTCAGCATAGGGGACCGTCCTGCAGCCGTGGAGCAAGTAGCGGCAGAAGTGGTCTGAAGCCCCGGATCTTCGGTAGTTCCTGAGCTGTAGAGCTCCGTATGCATTGCAAATATGTCTGGGTCTGGAACGCTGGAACTTGTCATGCTATTTCTGGATAGTGCAAAAATCTGTGTTGCATGAGGACCAAAAGCTGTCCGCTTTTGACCAAATTGAGAGGCAGGTTCTCATGCAGGTGAGGCATGATAGAGGTCGCGCACAGTCTGTCATGCCAGGCCATGCATGACAGACCTCATGCGTCATGGAAAATCTGCACGACAAACAAGGCCCACCCGAGCGTGGGGCCAGGGTCCCCACGCTGGGGCCTTGTGCTCGTCCCTAGTGGCGCTAGTGGGGGAAGGGTGTTCGGCATCGGGGCGGACAGCGTCCGCCCCTCGCCTCACACCAGGCGCGCGCGTAGTGGCTTAGTGCGCGAAACGCTAGTGGGGGAAGGGTGTTCGGCATCGGGGCGGACAGCGTCCGCCCCTCGCCTCACACCAGGCGCGCGCGTAGTGGCTTAGTGCGCGAAGCGCTACTGGAAAAAGGGCGAACTAGGCGCACTGCATTTTGCAAGAAAAAACAGAAATAGAAGCAAAGTGAGTATCTCTGTGTGGCTGCTGCAAAAAAGTTCTCTAGTGTTGAAGCGCAACGCCTTTCCGATTCCACAGAGCAAAGTAAGCAGCTGTCGCCTGGCCGTGCATTGCAGTGATAGCCGCTTTTTTATTTTTGCATCGCAACGCAAAGACTTCTTTGTTTATGGAGGCAGTTTATGTTACGGCTTTAATCATTTTCATTTTTGATTTTGTTCGCGTCGCATTTTTTTGTTTGGGCGCTCTTACTTTATTTTTCACGTCAAGAGCGGAGGTTGGCTTGAAAAATAAATATTTGCGCCCAGGCCCTGGTCTCGCCTTTGCTTTATCCTCTCGCTTCGCCTGTCGCGGCCACCTCTCCAGGTCACCTGTCGAAGTCACCTGTCAAGGTCACCTGTCAAGGTCACCTGTCAGCGTCACCTGTCAAGGTCACCTGTCGAGGTCAGCTGTCAAGGTCACCTGTCAAGGTCACCTGTCAAGGTCACCTGTCAGGGTCGCCTGTCAAGGTCACCTGTCAAGGTCACCTGTCGAGGTCACCTGTCGAGGTCACCTGTCGCCGGGGGGTAGGCGGGACCAGAGCCCGGAAGTCATCAAGCAATGTAAATATTAGTCTCGCAGTCTTCCAGACCCAGACATTTTTACATTTGATACTCCGAAGGTAGGCACAAAACCGCTGAGTCCTCGGCTCGCAAGGAGGGCAAGGTGCTCGGACGCGGGTCCCCCATCACGTCTGTCACCCACTCCACGTAGGCCTTTTCGCCTTTCCCGTCGCCGTCAAAGCCCCCCTGCGCGCGACTGTCCGGGCTTCTCGCGTAGTCTTTGGAGTTGCCATACTATCACAGGAAAAAAGCGGTACAGTTACACATTTGTTGGAATTTCAGCATCACAAAGTTGCTCTGCATGGCTGATGCGCAGACTATAAGGGAAAACACGAATGAAATGTAAATGAGGCTGCCTGGCATTTCCTGCATGACAGAGGTTGTCTGTCTTGCTTGTCTTACATCAGAGTGTGTAACTGTAACACTTTTTTCTCACGATACATACCAGACCGACTGCGCAACCTGCGCGGGGGTCCAAGTCGTGGACGCATACTGGGGCATGGCCGAAATCCAGTCAGCGATCCAATAGTCCACGTTTCCCTGCACTTTCTCGCGGATGGTCGTGTCTAGCCACTCGCGCAAACTGGGGCGCATGTCCTTTGCCCGCACGTCGGAACGGGTCCTGAGCCATTTTCTCGCTTCCTCCACCGGGCCGCGTAGGATTTCCACCCGCGGCGCCACTTCTTCTACCCTCGTGGCCAGCAGCGCCGAAAAGGTGATGAAATACACCCTCGCCAAGCCTGCGAAATCTTCGCTGAGTCGCTTCATGACCAGCGTCGCTTGCATAATTTCCGTGTCGAGGAAGCCGCCCGCAAACACGATGTTCACTTTTCTTGGTAGTTCTTTTTCGAGCTCCGCCTGTGCCTGTTCCAGTTCCTCACTCAGCTCCTCGGTCCGGTGACGCAACTGGTCCGCCGTGGCCACCTCCTGTGTATACAGTGCCTATGAACTGCAAAAGTAGCGCACTCGTGTAAATGCATTACAAATTTCCTCAGCATGAGAAATAAAATTTGTATATGCGGACTTCCGTTAAGAAAAAAAATTGTAATGCATGACTGCAATACGAGTATCAGATACTTTTGCACAGGATAGCACCAAGAACACGGCAAAAGCAGCGGCAAAGAGGACCGCCAAGGCAAAGAGCGCGACCACAACTGGCAAAGCAGTTATCAAATGCAAAAATGTCTGGGTCTGGAAGATTAGAACTTGTCATGCTAAATCTGAATGATGCAAAAATCTGTGTTGCGTGAGTACCAAAAGCTGTCCGCTTCTGAACAAGTTGAGAGGGAGTCTCTCATGCAGGAAAGGCATGATAGAGACCTCAAGGAATCTGTGATGCTGGGCCTCGCATTCCAGACCTCATGGGCCATGGAAAACCTGCATCACAAATCTTGCATTCTTCCAGACCCAGACATTTTTACAATCCATAGCAGTGGCGAACCTGCAAAAAGAACGGGTGCAGCAGGAAGGAAATGATGATAAAAATCCCTGGATGTCTGGAAGAATGCAACTTGTCACGCTAAATCTGAAACAAGCAAGAATCTGTGTTGCATGATTACCAAAAGTCGTCCAGTTTTGACCAAGTCGGGAGGGGGTTTCTCATCGACAGGATAGGCATGAGAGAGGTCGCGCAGAATCTGTCATCGACTAGGTCCTGCATTCCAGAGGACCTCATGGGTCATGGAAAAGCTGCATGACAAATCGCTCATTCTTCCAGACGTCCAGGGATTTTTACATTTGATAATGCTGTCGTTGAGTCGACGTCGTCTTGCTCTCCAGCCTTATGAAATGCAAATATGTCTGGGTCTGGAATAAACTTGTGTTGTTAATACTTGGATTGCATGATACTCTGGCGGCTTGTACGGCAGAACAGCATGAGAAATTTTTGTCCTCGGCTGTCCTTGGGCGAAAAATTGATTTTTCGTATTTGGCATTACAAACTGCAATCCACCACGACAAAAAACTGGCCAATGGTATTCATGCACTACAGATCTTGTTGTCCTTGAAGTACCGCGTCACAAATTCAGACCCAGATCGGTATTTGCAATGCATAAGCCTTAACATCATCGTACAACAGCTCCAGGTCGTCAACGTCCTGCTGGTCGTCGTCCCAGGTCGGGCCTGAGTCGTTCTTCTCGACATGGTTCTTCTCTTGCTCGTCCTTCTCGACGTCTTCAGGCAATAGAGCTTCTACCCCAAATTCATCTTCCACGTCCTCGACGACATGGTCACGGCAGCAACTGCTCGAAGAACTGTTCTCGCGCATTTTTCTTCACCTACTAGAGGTACTATTTTTCTCTACTATACTTCCTCACGTGATGATGAACGTAGGTTTTTAGTTGCAATGTCAAATACAAACGGTGAATTGAAATTACGTAGACGTACACATGGAATGAAGAAAAAATAAACAAAGCACCGGAACAATTTTACTCACCACAACAAGAAAATCATACGCAAACAACTAGCCGATACTTCGGATTTTGAATTCTTCTACTGCTGCTCAGCCTGGTTTGTTTATAGACATCTTTGCGCCCTGTTGAGCATCGATGGGAGGAGCGCTTTTGTTTCAAAAACATATTTGATCTGCAGCAAGAACTCTGCCAGTCAAATTTCTTCTCCTTTCCACATGAAGTAGAAGAACCATGGACCTTTTTCGATCGGATCTTTGATTTAGATCGGTCTGAAGAATTTCGAAAGGGAACCTGATGTTGACATTTCGACGTCCACCGACGAGATCATCGATCACCGACTGATGTCTAGTACTAACTGTGGATCATTTTGATCATACTTTAGAGCGGCAGGCTGAAGAAGATGGAGAAAGCTTTTATTCTCTGACCTTCAAAGAGGAGACCGTCTCTTCTTTCACGGCAGGTCTCGCCACGACTTCTGTTTTGGCCGCTGTTTTGCATGACAAAGTTGGACTCCGAGTGTAGTTCTGTTTGAGGTAGTTCAGCAGCAGCATCACAGCTCTAGTACATCATGCTGATTGGCGCATTACAAATTCCAAAACACGTCAGAGTCATGCTGATTGGCGCATTTCAAAGAGCAGACCGTCTCCTCTTCGTATACCCAATCCACGGATCTGAGTCCGTTCTTCGAGTACTACAAATTGCTCAGTTCGGAATACACGACTTCTATTCCAGCGGCCAAAGGAGAGGCATTGATCCGTTTCTTGATCAACAATACAGTTGCAGTGTCGATGAACACGGCGAGGACCCTTCGGCCAGCACTGGAGGTGCATTTCAAGTTGCGAGCGACTAGTAGTACCTTCGACCATTGCTTTGCCAGCTAAGCTTTTAGCTTTTAAATCGGACGCACCAAGAGCCTGTGAAGAACTTCTAAAAGTTTAGTTCAGGCGCGGAATGCGACGCCATGGGGTTCCACCTCAGGCCAATAGTTTTCATCATCCCATTTAGTGTTTCATGTTTTTTGTTTTTTCAGTACGACGACCATCATCTTTTTGTTGTTTTCAATTTCCTTTGAAAGCGTATCGGTATGACGATCACTATCCGAGAATCTATCCTTCAGTGAAGGATAGATTCCTCCATCCTTCAGCGTAGCAGATAGACTCCCAGATGGTGAAGTTCACCATCTGGGAGTCTATCTGCATCGTTCCTGTGCAACAGCATTACTACTACTACTACTACTACTGTCTGCTTAATCCGGTTATTAGTCTAATAGGCTTTCTTTAACTTAAGGCTATATTCGGATGCGCAGCGTGACACTATTTCCTGGTGCCCGGGCGGGCGTTACTGGCCGGGGGGCAGGTCGTCGGCAACCCATATCTTAGTACTGCTGTCTTGTCTAAAAATGGAGCCATAGACCGTCGCCTCCTCCTTTCCCGCGTTCTCACAGAAAAAGAAGCTACTGACTCGGAACTGCAGCTCTTTGCCGTCGTCCGTTTTTACGAAGAAGCTGTACTTGGACCGTGGTCGCTTTGTCCACACTTTCCCGCTAATTCGCTGCAGCGTTTCCCTGTTCCTCTCTTCCTGTTCCTCTCGCTGCTGTTCTAGTCTTCGTCGTCTCTCTTCTTCCATCGCTGTCCGCTTTTTGCTTTTTGGCGCGCCTGCCTTTGCGCCTTTTGGCTTTTTCGGTGTCTTTACGCGCCTGGCTGCGTCTATTGTGGCCCGGATTGCGATTCCCGTCGGCTTTGTTTCTTTGATTACTTCCAGCGGTATTGCGTAGTAGTCTAAGTCCTCCTGCGCTTGTCTCCCCCAGGGAGTCTTGTGTTTTATTTTTGCCTCGATGCGCGCAAAAGACCCTTCGTTTTCGTCTCCCCGACGGGCGTGGGCAATCCACGCGACCCGCTTCGCGCGGATCTCGTCCTCGATAGGCTGCACCCCGAGCTCGTGGCAGAGCTCGAGCCTGCTTTTTCCTATCCTTCGTTACGGAAGTGGCCCCCGAGGATTTCGCGAAGAGCTGAGTCTTGGAACCGCCGCAGCGCGGCGTCCTGCGCTGTTGTGGTGGTCCACGTCTCCGCGTTGTACAACGCTATGCTCAAACTCAACGCCCGATAGAGGTCGGACTTGAGCCTGGTCGGCAGTGTGGCGTCGCGCCACACCGGGGCTAGTTGTTTTACGACCCCGGCGGCAATTGCGCACCGCCGTGTCGTTTCTCCCTCTGTGCTGCCGTCCCGCCCGACTTCTGTCCCTAGGTATCTGAAGCAGCCCACTATCTCCACCGCCCCGCCATTGTACTCGAAGGGCGGGACGCTTTCCGGCGCCAAGGCTTTCGCCTTTTGCTTTTTCTTCTCTTCCACCATGCGGCTGACCCGCAGGGTTCTGAGTTCTTTCAGCGTTTTTACTGGGCGGCAAAAGCCGGTGGCTTGGTGGAATTGCAGCGCCGTCTCGTCTGCCAAGATGCCGCCACACCGCTCACACACAAACTTGTTTTTCTCCTCCAGCACGTACTTCCTGTGGCCCAACATTGTTGTTCTCATGCTTTCCCCATTGTGTGTGCGCGCCCACCCGGACTGCTTGCATGATAAAACTTCTATACCCAGGCTCGGGTCGTCCCACACGAGAAAATGTGTGGGAGCTAGATCGCCGGATGCATCCCGCGGCGCTGGTAGCTGCTGTATTTCGGCAGCCCACTCTGAACACCAGTCCGCCCCGCTCCAGTCGATCAGCCACCCCTCTGCTTCGTCTACTACTAATCTTTCCATTACTGCCTCTGGATTTTTCCGCTTCTCCACTTCCGGGTTGACCGCCATGACCTTCGTCTTTTTCACGTTCAACTCCAGGCCGACGAAGCGGCACGCAGCCGCCAATTCGCGGAGCGCAAACTCCGCCGCCGCCCTGCTGGCCTCTTTGACGACGAGGTCGTCGACGAACCCCAACCAGGTCAGGGCGTGTGCCCACGCCTCGTCTTCGGTCCACCCGTACTCTTCCGCCATCGTCTTGGCGAGTTGTCGTATCGCCCAATCCAGGCATAACGCAAAAAGGAGCGGGCTCAGGCCGCTCCCTTGCCTGATCCCGCTCTTTTGCTTGAACGCTGGGGCGCTCTTGTTGTCGCCCAGTCGTGTGACTACCTGCGCGCACTTTTGGTACATGTTTTGCACCACTTTGCAGACATTTTCTGGTAGGCCCTGCTTCCTCAAAATGGGGAACAAGACCGACCACGCGAGGCTATCGAAAGCTTTCTGGAAGTCTATAAACGTGTAGTAGGCCCGGCGCCCCTCCCTGTTGTTCTTCTCTATGTCCCGCAACAACTGGAAGACTGCGTGCCGGCAGGACAGCCCGCGGCGGCAGCCCTTCTGCTTTGGGCTCATGTGCTTGTTGGCCTCGTCTTCGATCCGCCGCAGGATTACCAAGCAAGCCGAGCAACTTCTCGCCCAGGGTTATCAGGGCTATGGGTCGGTAGTTCTTCGGGTCCCGCTTCACCCCGTCCTTGTGAAGCATCGCCACTACCGCCTCACCCCATTCAGGGGGAATGTCGTCCCCTCTGAATATGCGGCGCACTAGGGACACTAGTACGGCCTGCGCCGTCGGGCACTCACGTGCGAATTCCGCCGGGATTGGGCCTGCAAAGGCCTTGCCCCGCTTCAGCTCTCGGAGCGCGGCAACAATTTCGGCTTCGGTCGGAATTTCGTCCAAGCCGCTGCGCCATGCTTTCGCCGTCTCGTCTTTTTCTAGTTCTGCCGCGCACCTTTTCCACGTTTTTGTTTGCTGGACGTTGGGTGGTGCTGTTGGTCTCTCCGTCCCGAACACGCCCCCCCAGAATTCCGTCCAGGCTTCTGGGGGGCCGGGCAGTTCCTGCGGTCTCTGTCTCCCCCGCCCTGCGAGCTGGCGCACTGTTTCATACACCATTTTCGTATTGCCGCATTGGTCTGCCCGCCTGAGAGATTCTACTTTGTCTGCCACCCATGCTAATCGGTCGCGTTTCACCAACTTATTGATCTCCCTGGTTAGCCCGGTCACCTTCTTCTTTTGCTGCTTCGCCCGTCTTCGCTCTTCGGTCTTCCCCCAGGTTTCTGCCGTGATCCACGGCTTGCGCGGTCCGGCCGGGGTCAGATTGTTCAGCTTGTCGAGGGTCGTGCGGGGGTCTTTCTGAAATTGCGACCAAAAGGCCGCCGCGCTTGTTTCCCCCTCTTCTATTTGCGCGATGGCTTCCGGGGTGTATTTTGTTGCTAGTAAGTTGTCTGCTGCCTGTGCTTTCTCCTTGCTCCTGATGATCTGGGGGGGGATCTTCCTCACCACCGGTTGCTTTATTGCTCCCAGCTTCATCTCCACCACCACTAGGCAGTGGTCGCCCTGCACTGCAGTTCCCCGCACTACACGCAGTTTTTCGAAAAGGCCCTTGTCTCGAAACGAGACCAAAAACCTATCATATTCGCGCAGCCTCCGCGCGCCCTCCGACTTCCATTCCCCCTCAAAGGTGTGCCGCTGGCTCCATTTCTTTCTTTGGAGGCTCGAAAGGTCGACCAGGTGGTTTGCCGCTGCCAGGGCGTGCAGCCTTTCGCGATTATCCGAGCGGAGAACAAAATCGCTGGTAAGCCCACATCTTCCAACTACATAGCTTAAGCCTGCGTCTGCAAGCTCCGTCTCTGGGCCCCCCAATTCACAGTTGTGATCGCCGCCAAGGATGGCGACGTCGTATCTACTGTGTCGCTGCATCTCCTCCCGCGCCAGGTCGTAGTAGTTCTGCTTTGCCTCTGTTGCTGCTGTGTTGGTGGGGGCGTACACACTGTAAATGTGCACTCTCTTCCCGAAGCCGCCCCGGATCGAAACCCGGACCAACCTCGCCTGCTGTGTGTCGCTGACGTCCTCGACTTTTATTCCCGATCTGATCACTATTACGGTGCCTCCTACCGGTGCCCCGCTTGAATTCGACGTCGCTCCCCCACCATACGCTCTGCATCCGCCCGGCCATTGTTCTCCCACAAGCCACTCGCGAGTTTTTGTTTCTTGTAGCAGCACTACATCCAGCTTCTGCCGCTTCGCGTCGTCCACGAGCGAAAGAAGCTGCACCGACCAAACGTCGCGACCTTCGTCGCGTTTCCCAAGCGTCCTGACGTTAAATGTGCCCAGCCTTATCCTCTTTGTTGTTTTGGTTTTCGTTTTCGCCGTCGTCCGCCAGTCTCGGGCGGGAGCTTCCCATCCGGTGCTCTTGGCACTGCTGCCGCTGCTGGGGAGCTCCCCCTGCAGGGGAGCTGACTGCGCGGCGTTTGTGTGGTTTCTCGGTGGTTGTTTTTCGTGGTCCATCTTGAGTCGGGTCGTAGTTGTTGTTGTTCCGCTCCGCTTGAGCCACTTCCCGCTTGAGCCGCACTCCTTGAGCCAACTCTCGAAGCAGGTGTAGCTTCTCTCGAGCAAGAAAAAACGCTCTCTCCGCCTGATGCAACCCGACGCTTCCCGCCGACCGCTCAGTGCTCTTCCCTCCGCCCGCTCAACGTCCAGAAGTTTCTCTCTGCCCCGCTTCCGGCGGCAAGGAAAAATCTAGATAGATTAAAAAATTACTTCTTCTGTCGCGTATAGTACTGATGCTAATAGCTTCGAATTCCCGATCGAACGCAAATTCTTCTTTCGTCACTGTTAAAAACCGCGCCCGGGGGACGCTCTTACTTCATTCGCGGATAGTGTCACAATTAAGCCTGCAATAAGAACAAACGGATTGGCGATCCGATTGTCTGAATGACGCGCCTTCTGTGCGTCGTGCTCACAAGTCAAGGCTTGTGTGCGCCATTATTCCGCTCCACGTTCAGCTATCTTCCTTCAGAGTAAAAACCGGCAAAGTGCCGGGACTTCTTGGTTGCAAATGCAAGGGCTGACCCGCTGGGCCCGCCCTGGGATAATCTTCGTCGCTCGTTGGTTCGGTCTCTTGGTTAATTTCGGTCGGGACAGATGAAAACGATCTTGCTCTACGCCATGGCTATAACAACAGCCGCGGCCTCGCTTACTCGCCCCACAGAGGTGTCGAATTTCTAATTTGCGTGCTCCGGAGAGAGAAGTACTCAGCAGAAGAAATGGCGATCTGCGCGGCGCAGATCAACGTCGCCTCGAACCGCCGGCGATGATCCGCCTCGGCTTCTCCTCCGCTTTTTTCGTGGTGTTTGTGGCCCCGCCAGTGGTGCTGGTCCCGCTGCCACCACTGGTCGTCTTGTCTTTTTTGTTTTTCTTATTCGTACTCTTGCTCCTGGTCCGCTTATTCAATTTGTTCTCCTTGTTGCCCCCGGGATCTTCGGCTTCGGCGGGTGAGGGGGAAGACGTGTCTTCCTGCGCCCCGTTCTTGGGCCGCTTTGCGGACGGATCCGCTTTGTCACCCTCGCCCTCTTCGTCTCCTTCCTCGATCCCTTCCATCGCTTTCTTCTCGTCCTCTTCCGCCCGGTTCGTGATTTTTCGCTCTTTTTTCAGTGTGTCCTCCGGGTTGCGGACGATATGCTCCTTGACCTGCAGGGAGGTCAAGTGCTGCTTCGTGACGTTTCTCTTGCGGCTCTGCACCAAACTGCGCAGCTTCATCGTCTCACTGTTGGGCTTCAGCATCACCTCAATCCACCCCGACTTGAAAACTGCAATGCTGGCGATAAAGTCCGGCTCGATGCGGCGAAAGGCTTGCGCCATCTCCTCCGCCAACCGGTCGCTCTTTTTCTCGTCTTCATCCCCGTATTCGTCCATTAGATCGACCAGCTGCAGCTTACCGTCGTCGTCCTCTTGCAGCTCCTGCACGTTTTCGCCCTCTATGACTTTAGCGTGCGAAACTGCGTCGCCGACGGTCTCAATGAACTTCTCCTTCCACTTGTCGACTATGTCCGGGAATTTCATCTGCGAAATTGTGATGATCGAGGTGGAAGTCGAGTTCTTCGTGTGTCCCGGGGAGAAAGGCGGTCGCGCCGCCTGTACTGCACTACTACTGCTGGCAGCCGCGCCATTCTCGGCTTGTTCTGCGGCGCGTTTCTCCTCCTCGGCTCTTTCCTCCTTCCACTCAGCGAGAGGTAGCCAATCCACACCGTGGATGGACACAATGTTGCGAGCTTTCAAGACCGCAGTGTCGTACTGCGCGCGGGTGAAGGCCTTGGTCTGGGTCGGGGCAACGGCCGGCTGGTCGGCTTTGTTCTTTCCGCCGCCCTTCCTGTTCTTGCCCTTGCCCTTCTTTTCTGGTTTGGCCATTTTGAGACGTTTGTGCGTTTCTTACGATGATGCTTCTTATGGTGCAGAAGCGAAATAAAGTTGCAGTGTGTGTGAGCGTTGGGGTGCAGTGTAGGTCTAAATGTGTCTTACTTCGGTAAAAATTGGTCGCAGTTCAAGAGAGGCACAGATGCGTAAGAACGGTCTGACTATAATTCTTCTACTAGGGCTCTTGGCGAGGCTTAGGCTGAGCGTTTTATTTTTTCATCGTGCAACTTTTGTATCTTTGTGGTCTTTGGATCTTAAAGCTTTTGGATTGTGTTCCTACTGATTCAAGTTGTCAATAAAATTGCAGCTTCTACACTAGTCTATCCTTCACGGGGTCGCTGTCGTGATAGTGAACTGCTCAGCGGGCCCCCCCCGGAGGGGTTGGTATATTAAGGACCTTGAGCCAAAATGCAACAGCATTGAATATACAGAATACTTCGAGTGCTACATCTACATCTAATCGCCGGATGATATCTGCTTTATCACATACTTTCCGCACAGCCGGATGATGTCTGCTTCATCATATCTTCCCCTGCGCCGCTCTCAAACATGGAACGCCCAGCGCTGAGTCTCAGGACACGACAGCAGGGTTTGGCGGTGCCACATTTCATCGCCCAGTTTGTTCCATATCGCAAAAACGACGCTTGCACGAAGAAGCCCTTCGGTCTACCTGCTACTGTAGCAGGCATCTAGAGGTGGATTCAGATGTAGTAAACCTACTAGGGCAGCCCCTTGCTGATGATGTACCCGGCTGCTCCTTGTTGATAAAAAGTTTGCGGAGTGGATCGCCATGCGATTTTCCGGCACGAACGGCGATTTTTTCCCAGCTCGACGGAACGCATTGCCATTCCTGTGGCCGGTTTTCCGGCATGGCGAGAGACCCGCCGGGCTGGAGGCAGTTTTTGTAAATTGCCTGCGTAACGAGGTTGGTCATGAACTCGCTAAAAGGGGCATCCGCGTTGTAGTTGCAATACTCATCGATCACTGCATGATAGCCCTGCGGACCCGCGCCCCAACATGCAGTCTCCTGAATTTCGCGCTCAGTCGTGTCATCCGTCAAGGTCGAAACGCGAATAGGCTATGCATTGCCACTACCGATCTGGGATAAAAAGGAGGAACTTCTGACGCTTGTCTGGCAAAAATAGTCCGGCAAATTCATCAATAATCTGTGTTCAACTTCAACGAGCAGCAACAGCGAAGTTTCGTATCAAACGGAAACGAAACGCAGTTTGTATATGCTTATGCGCGTATGTACATACGAAACGAGAAGGAGAAAGCGTTGCAAAAAAAATCTCATGCTTGGATGCACTTGGAAGCTCAGCATCAGAAGTTTCGTCCAGGCCCAGACCAATTTGCAATGCATATTGGCGAAGCGTCTTGATCTCGCAGACGTTTGAAGACTGCGATGTCCGCTAATCCCACCCCAGGTTCGCGAACTGGATGGGCGGCCGTTTCTTTGGACACGATGTAGGTCGGCTCGGGGCTATCACACAGAAAAACTCAAGCAAACCACATTCAAAGTTGATTTGTCATAATATAAATACTTTTGGATTTGGCGTCACTAAACGCCTACGGTTCGTCCGAGTGCAGCCCTAGATAGAAATTAATTTTTTATCACCGTTTGTATATGTAATCCCAATTTCATTTCCAACTCAGCGTCGTCTGCATCTCAACACAGGACAAAAGATTACCTCTCTGCTCGCTGACTCAGTTGCAAGAGCTGTTTTGCTTTTCATATTTCACTTTCAGTCGCGTTGAGCATGAGAAATTTTTACTTTTTTGGTCATATGGGTTGTGGTGTGCTGGTGCTCTTCTCCTGAATCATAGAGGTTGTCGAAGACGGCAAGGGAAGGATCCTGAGCGAATTGCGCCGCATATGGACGTAGAAAATCCTCATAGTATACCCTGCCCGCGATACTGCCTGCGGTCGCGCAGAGCACCAAAACCTTGCGCTTCAGTTCCGGCAGACGAGCGGAAGTAGTTGGGCCACTCACGGGGACCTCCGTCGTGGTAGAAGGCGGAAGTAGTGGTCCTCGCGCACCACGGCCTGGGCTCCTAGGGCCACTCGCTGTAGAGCCTTGTCCCCCACATCGTCGAGGACCCCGCGGCCCGTGAACATGATGAACGTCCGACGCGGAAGGTGCTGAGCCCTCGGGGGTGGATTCACGGGAACTTCCGCGAGATTGATGATGAACGCCCCCTGCTCCCTCCGATCGATCCTTGAGGAGGTAAAGCATAAAAGGCTTGACTGGCACCAGATAGACCAGCTGCGTCGACGACGGTATGCTTATAATTAACAACCACTTCGTGTAGCAGCATGGTGGAAAGCAAACCGCGGAAAACGAAACTCTTACTCCGGGGATGGAGCACCATTTTTGCCTCTGATCCGTGGATGTGGGTTGTAGACTTCAGATTTCTAAGGCTGCGCTGCGCCCAATGTGCTGAAGTAATGCTGTAAGTTTTTACTTCTCAACCTTAATACTCGTCCCAGTTCTCGTGGTCGGGGGCTCTGTCAAAAATAAAGCTGCTTGCTTTTTCAGTAGAATGAATATGAAAACACTGCCTTCGTAGTTTTGTGCACGGGAAAGATACTAGTCGAAGTTGTCCTTTGATGGAGCGACGCGATTCAAAACGGAAAAATGATGTGCGGAAGTTGGGGCTTTTACTGTTCAAAACTTATCCTCAAGGACGTTCGAGAACGGAGCCTGGTGGGTGGAAATGATGAAAATGAATCGGGAAAAAATATACGTATAAGATTACGTCAAGCAGAGCAACAGGCGTGGCACACATGATTCAAAACTTGCACTTGCACTACCGATACAAATCAGCCCCGTCTTTTTATTTCTTTTTACCTTCTTGAGGTTGACCTAGGAATAGCTCGACGTCCTTTGCCCCCTTGCGTTTCTTGAATTCGCAAAAGGAAGATGATTAGTTCGCCTGTTTTATTTTCCGAACCAACCACCTTCATCGCAAGGTAGAACGCGACCTCTGCCTTGCTGGAGGAGCAAATACCGACTGATTTCCGATCTGGATCTTCATCATACTTTAGACCGGCAGGTTGATCGATATTAAAGCTACTTTTGTCTGGATTTCAAAGATCAGACCGAGTGACTGCTCTCACTTTGATTGATGTTGGTGCTGAGGCGACTTCTGCTTGGCTGATCTCGATCTTGATCATTTCCAACGAAAAAAGTTATGTTCCATAGCACCGGTGGATCGCACGTCGAACTCGAAGTACAACATCCGAATGCTGCAAAAATGAGAAGTCGTGAAGCGACTACACGACGCCCACAAACAGCTGATCAAGTAGAAGCAGGCAACTTTGTGTGCTAAGAGACCTCTCCTCTTGATCTTGTTCCTTCAGAAAAATTGTACCTTTTACTTCATCTGCTCTGCTGTATTCTCAAGAAAGACAATGTTGCGCATCGGCATTGGAGATGGTATTCCAAATTTTTACTTTCGCAGAAGAGGTTGCAGGAGATTGCTCTTCCCACCGGCTTTTACCGGTGCCCGAGCCCGCCTGTTCTTTGGAATTAGTAGGTGAAGAAGCAGTGTCGAATTAGGTGGTAAATTGAATCGCGAGCCCGCACGAGTAGAATCGCGTCAGCTCCTGCGCCATGTTGTAACTATCGCTGCGCCGGTGGTCCGCTTGCGGCTCGTAGGTACTACAGTACAAGAATTGGTTAGTACTTATTCGGCTCACAGTTATTTTCGTGTACTTACAGCATGTAGAAGACACGACCGCGGCGAAACTTCATCTTCATTGCAAAACTTCAACACCATAGTCCACCACGTCCCCCACAGAGAACCCGGTCTCCTCCGTATCCTATGTAAAAACGTCCCCACCCCATAGTCACGATGGGGAATCGGCTAGACAAGTCCACAAGTTTTGGCTGTTTTGCATGACAAATTTGGACTCGGAGTGTAGTGCCGTTTCTTTGAGGTAGTTCAGCAGCATCACAGATCTAGTATTCATATCATGCTGATTGGCGCATTATAAATTCCAAAACACGTCCAGAGAATGCTTCTCATGGGGCTCCGCATGACAAACATTTAGAGCATGCAGATTTGCATGACAACGCTGGGGTGCGGACGTTTTTACACAGGATACTCCGCAAACCTGGGATCCGGCTTCGTCGACAGAAAACGCAGCCGGTCCGGCCGGAGTATTGCGAATTCTGATTTACGTTGGGCGGCGGCACTTCTTCTTGGGGACTGCTTCTGTTCTTGTGGTCCTTGTTGATGAAAAGGTTGTGAAGCAGGGTCGTGACGACCACCTTCTGGTTCTGTCCGCCCCACTTCTTGATCCTGCTCTGGGGACCAGTTGTTGCTACGTCCAGCAGGTTATGAACTTCAAAATCATCGCACTAGGACTAGTTTAAATTGCAATACAAATTAGCTCAGCGTGAGAAATAAACTTTGTAATGCGGATCTACCTTAAAAAAAGATTTTTATATGCGTAAAAGCAATTAGCACAAGTACGATACTTTTGCACAGGATACAGGAGACACAGGTGAAGAGAAGGTCCTCATTATTGTTGACAAGCCTGCCAGCACTTCCCTATCCCCGCTGGCTCTTTCGTCTTGACACGGCTCCTGCTCGAGAATAATGGTAGTCCCGAACGTATCCTGAGTAAAAACGTACCCACACCAGAGTCAGGATGAGGATTTTGCAACACAAACCTAGGAGTTTTGTGAGTCACGCATGACATAAACAGACTGCGCTACTGCGGGCGGGACATTGTGTATCAGGTGAATTGATCAACCCGAAGACGCCGCCCCCCCCGGGCCCTATGGACCAGGCACTCCCCACTATACTCCTCACACAAAACGCCACCAATACAACTGTAGGACATAGCCAACCACCCCGGAGCACCAGCACCAGCAACGGGGGCGGAAACGGCCCCACCCACTTCACATTCCTATCTGTGAGTCACGCATGACAAGTTGCACTATGCAGCTTAGTGCAGGTTAGCAAGTGCAGCCGCGTCACAGATTCATCTGCTCATCCTGTTCACAGCATCACAAATTCCAAAACACGATTGGAAATGGGTCTCATGGGGATGCGCATTACAAGTCTTCCTGTCTTTGCGAATCTGCATTACAACTCTGGTGTGGGTACGTTTTTACTCAGGATAGAACGAGTCGCTGTCTGTTCCTGTTGTCGGAGGCACAGCATGATCTCCTTGGTGCTGTACTACAGATCCGGCTGCACGAGGAGCCGCAGAAGATGACGAAGTAAAAGCGGCTCCTGCAGTACTACCGCTACTTGCTTGCTCTGGTGCCGCTCTACTAACTGCCAAGTCGGTTGTTCTCGAAGTCGGGAAACAAACATCTTCCAATGGAGTGGCGAAATAACTGTTAGCTGTGCTGTAGAAAACGCTCGGAACAGAGAATGCTGTCGTGCTCTGCTCTTGCCGTCCTCCTTGCTCTGCAGTTAGTAAATTTTCTCCTCTCTTCTGCAGAAAATCGTGCGCTTCGTGAAGAGGACCGGCGGAATTTGATGCACTATGTTGGCCAAATCTAGTAGTAGTACAACTCCGGTCCTCCCCCATATAATCTGTCCACTGGTACACCGCCGTTGCCGAAGCCGGGGGCGTGCGTAAAGGAGAACCAGCTTGATGATCATCCTCGGGGGCACTACTTGGAGGTGCCGCAACGGCAACACCTCGTCCCACTGGCCCCTGCGATGAACAAGGGAACGAGAAGACACAACCTTCTTGCCCTGGTGCTGTTGACGGTGCTGTAGTAGGATGGGCAAAAACTTCTGTAGTACTTCCGTCTACCGCCACGGCTGGCTGTTCGTGCTGGTTCAAAAATAGCTCTTGCGCGTAGAAGAAGTTGCTCTGCGGGTCGTGTGCCGGGCGCGCTTCTTGTTGTGTGTCACAATGATGCCAAAAAGTTTCAGAAGGTTGCGGCATCACATATGGCCTGCTCAAAAGTTACAATCTCAAATGTTACAATAGAGCCTGGGTTTTGTGCTGCATGATGAGCATAACAGACGCGCACGGCGTTCCACGTTTTGCAATACAAATTTCGCCAGATTCTAGTGCGGATTGGGGCTCCAGAGCTTGTCATGCGCAATCCTGTGGGAGCAGTAGAGTAGATCATGCACTTCTTGCATCACAGATTTTCATATTCTGTTGTAACGTTTGAGATTGTAACAGCTGAGCAGGTCATATTACAACGCCGCCCACGGGAAGACAGGCAACGCTCCCCGCCGGGAAAAGTGCAAAATTGTTACAGCTGTACGTCGCAAGAGGAAGAGCGGCAGTGGCTCCAGGTGCAGCTGCGATTGTGCTTCTTGCTCCGATCATTCTTGGGTCGCTGGAGGTGCACTGGAAGTAGTCCGCAGCCGCAGCTGGTTGGTGTAGAAATCTGTTTGCACAACCGCGCTCCTGTGCTGACGTAATATTAGTCGATGAATCATTGCACTGAAAATACTGCGGAAGTGGTGGGTTTCTGCGGTCGCCCGTCCGAGGAGCTTGCTGTCGTGCGGTGTTGCGGTTGTGATAGGGCCTTTGAGGTGGGGTTGTTGCGTGTTTTCTAGACTGCGGATGATGGTTTTTCCACTGTCGCGGACCGGTGGAGTAGGCATGCCAATCTGGTGGAACTGGATCCGCTGGTGGCACTTCGGAAATAGACCGGGGATGCGTAGTTATAGTTTGTTGGAACGAAGAGGCCCTGTTCACCATCGCAGGGGCGCGAGTACCACCCCACCCGCCACAATTGGAGGACGACGACGTAGCAGCACGACTCCTCTGTGGCCCGTTGCCCTTGTTGTAGGTCCAGCTTTTCGACGCTTTGTGGCTGCTCCTCTGTACAAGTTCGCCGCCAGCGCAGCTGTAGTTCTGCTCCTCGTAATCTTTGCCGCAACCGCTAGTGGGCGACGTCCAACGGCATTGCTGCTTCCATGATTCCTCTGCACGCTGTGGGGGTTCTATTGGTGTTTTCCTTCGCGGGCTTAATATTGCTCGAACCTCTTCCTCATCATGCTCTGGAGACAGCTCGTCCTCGTTCACTTTTACCTTCCGGGAAGACGGCCATCGGGAGGACGTGGCCCCGTCACAAGGACTGTGCTGGTTGCTGTAACTACTGTCTTGCCTGTTGTAGTTCCAGGCCTCTTTCGCACGCCGACGACGGACTGGATTTTTGCGTTGGTGCTGCTCCTGCTGCTCACGAGGGCCATAATTTCCTGTGTCGTCTGCCGAGTTATTAGCTTCATCATGCGAGACTAGGAGCGACTGCGATCCGGTTTTGGAGGGGTGAGCGGCCCCAGGTAGATGCAGCTGGTCTTGAATGGGATTTCCGTTTTCACCTCCCGGGGGCACATAGTAATCTTCAAGTCCTCCGGCAACATGAAGATGGCCCTCCTCTGCCTCTTCCACGTCGGCTCCAGCACCTGACTGGTGTTCTACCACGTCAACCAACTCGTCGCTCCAGCGCGGGCGGCGACTGGAAAGGACGCGGTGCTTCGGCGCCAAACCCCGCGACAGCGAGGGGGAAGCGGAACTACCAGCGAGGTGCTGCTCTTTGACGAGTCCTTCCGGATGAAGGTAGTGGTCCTCTGCGGAATGAGCTGCTTCTTTCGTGACCGATTCAACCTCTGCACCTAAATTCGCCTCATCTTTGTCCGCAGTTGTAGTACTGGGAGCTGCTGGGGAATTTGCTGCAGCTGTGCCTCCACAACTTGCGGCGCGCAAGACTGAAGATTTTCCGGTAGTAGACAAAAATAAAAACGTCGCCGTCCAGCATCTGACAAAAATGATCACTGCTCCACACCGAATGGACACGCGGGGCCGGACAGTAGGCTGGGTGCGATTTCGATTGAAAGACCTCAACGGTGAGAAGAATGTAGATGCCATTGTGTGTCTGGTGTTACGAGCTTGATGGGTGGTTTGAACAGGAGAATGAGTTGTTGTGAACGTAGGCAGCTTGAAGAAACGTGCTGCTACGGATGCAATAAGTACGGATCAACAAACGGCAACGTTCAGCGACGAGAAAATTGCATGTGCAAGACGGGCAAGGGTAGCACAGCGCCAAGTCTATGTCCGGTCGTGCTTGATGTGTACGAATCACCCATCTGCAACAAAAAAACAAAAAAGGATCGCCTGTTCATCATTTTAAACGCGAGTCAAAGTGCACGCCAACGCGAAAATGTCAAGCATAACCGCTGCTACATAACGCCAGACCAGGTCACCACAGTGCTGTTCTAGTGGTCTTCTGTGGCGTTGCCAGTGGCGGTCCTGCGGATCTCGTGTTTTGGTCTTTGCACACAATAGGAACAATATCCCAATAAAGAGCACGGATTTAATATTTCCAGCTCTCATGAAAGGCAGCTTGATGCCGGAGAATCATATCAAGGACAAAGACGATTCTTCCAAGTGCAATTTCACATGTGGTGCAGTTACTATGCACTTTTCGTCGCTCTGCACCTGGGAAAGAGATTGTTGCTCATCATCAGACAGCGAATGAAGTCAAAAGCAGGTTACTCTTCATCTCACAGCCGAAGCTGTGATGCAGAAAAGAGAGAGAGTGCTAAATTTTCTTCATTTGGGCGAGAAAAAGTTGTTTAGGTGTCACTACGTACCATATCGATCTCCCTTCAGAGGTATAGGAGGTACGAGTCTCAAAAAAAAAAGTCTAGCTGTCACTACGTACCATATCGATCTCCGTTCAGAGGTAGAGGAAGTACGAGTTCCAGACGACGAAAGTAACGCTCAAAACGCTCCCTGTGTGTGGTTGTAACAAAATCGTACCGAAAAGTGTTGTTGCAGACAAATGTGACGGCAAGGACAAATCGCTTTTAAGCCACCAGCACACCGAAGTTCCCTCGGAAATGTGAGCCGCACACAACATGACAATACCAACGACAATTTTGGGGGATGTACGTAACTTCTCTATGCTGCAGCTCACACAAGACCGAATCTGAATCCCATGATCTGGACAAATACTATAGCATCACATGTTGCGAGTCAGCAGGGTTTAATACGCGCTCCGCCGAACAACCTCGTCCGAATGTGCGTCACAGCTCAACACACCACGTGTGAGGGAGGGCGGCACACTACCCGAAGCACTTTTTTTTTCTTGCTTTCCTGGCGGAAACTGAATCTAAATCACACGGCACAGCTTGTTGCTCAACATTGTCTCACGAAGAGTTCAACATTTAGGCACACAAATCCTTCACTCTCGCTGTCACAACAACTGCTCGGGGAGGAATGATACGACAGGACCATATCTTCTACCCCCAGGGACCAGTACATGTACAGGTAAAGAATGCGGCTTGCAAAAATCTAAATCTGCTCTCTCGAAGATGATGTCGTTGTGTTTAGTTAGCGCAGGTAGGAATTATGGTAACAGAGGTATAAATATTTTTCGCGAAAAAAAAGGCACAATTCTCAGCTCTGTCCCATCCTATACTTCTACCTTGTATTAAACCGATGTGATTGTTTAGTTCCAGATCAAATTTCAATCTATACTTTACGAATCCACACGACACAGAAGTTTCACCAACAGCAATTCCAAAGTGACTGACTTAGAAGCGCAGCTTCTTCTTCAGGAACAACACCGCGGATTTGCCGGAGCCGGACTTGTCGACGGCGATGGAGGAGGTCGGGTTCTGGAATTTCTCCTTGAACATACCGGACAAGGTCTTCTTGGCCTCGGTGCGGCCATCGGCGTTCTCCATCTGGGCGTCAGTGACCAAGCCCTTGGCGTCCATGTCACCCGGGATCGAGTAACGGGTCGGCATCAGGTGGGTGTAGTTGACGTACTTCACGAAGGGCTTGACGCGGAGGCTGCGTTTTGATATTGCGAGTGAGTTTTGGGGATATTTTGATGTGGTTGCGGTGCCGGTGCATCACAAACACTAGCACAAATGCTGTTATAGCGCAACAAATAGCATAATGCCGTTATGTACGACAAGACCTTGTCTTCACAGAGACATAATGTAGGAGATGTCGCTTTTCTCATGTACGAGGTACTATAATCTGTCCCGCTCTACATGAAGTCGAAACGCTTCATCCTGTAAAACCAATCTAAATCTAAATTCTCATGGCAGGAACTCTCTCGACCACTCGACCTAAACATAGGTGTCAATACAGCTCCTTCTATTTATATGATCATCCTCAAGCGTCACACTGTCCACCTCAGAGGATGGCAACAATATGCTCTTTCTAATGCTAAAATGCTACATTCGTGAATCAAAAAATCAAAATTACGCATTGCAAAAGCACCGCACTCGTAGAAATACATTACAAATTCCCTCACCATGAGAAAGAAAATTTGTAATGCGGATTTACCCTATAGCAAAAAATTTGTAATGCAAGACTGCAAGAATAAACTCTATACCGCTTCATCTGCTTTTTCTTGCTCATGGAAGTGGTGATCTTGAGCGGCGCCTTCTCGATACCCGCAACCAGGCAGTGGCCGAAAGCGCGGGACTTGGAACCCTCGTCGAAGGTCTTGACGCAGACCGCCTTCTTCCCCGCCATGCGACCGGAGGTGATGATGACAATACGTCCGGCTTTCAGGAATTTGCCCATTTTTTTGTGTGGTTTCTGTGTGATTCGATAAAGTACGGAAATTAGAAATTCCGTTCTATTCGCCAGGTAAAACTCTGGGTCCCTGTGAGAGGTGGTTTGAAGGAGAATTTCGAAATTGACGTTGGGATACGGAATTTGCTTTGTCAAAATTTAAAGATCGGATTTGAAATGCGGATCATTTTCGATAGTACAACAACTCATGCAGCAGAACTGAACATTTTTTCAAGCCTTCCAGATTTAGGATGATCCCTTGGAGGATTATACTGGTCGAGGGCGGACCTAAAATTTCTGGAGGAGTGTGGAATTTCCCTAATTATGTCGTGTGATCTGGAACTCTTTCATCTCTACGGCCAAAGATGTTGCTTTGTCCAATATTTTCACTTCTAAAGAGCCGAAATTTAAAAATCTTGTTTGTCAACGTCAAGCGAAGCACTACTTGATGTTTCATGATCCATGTTTCGATTTATTCTTTGCTGCCATTTAGAGTCTGGAACTGGATCTACGCTATAGTGCTGCGCATGTGCTTGCGCTCCAGAACCAGGTCGAATCGGTGAATTGTTCAAAATGCTCCGAGATCCGTAGAAGTGCTCAGATTCAGAAAGGAACTGTCGCTAGATCGCGCACCTTGTTGCACAGCCACTTTTTTTGAGGCGCACTTCCGATAGGACGCACAATGGCGACCAAAGTTCTACTTTAGATTCGCGCGACATGGATGATCACAAGAACCTCTCTAGCTCCGAAGTACTGAAGACATAGCAGAAAGTGTCCGATCAAACAGGTCAACAGATGCTGTCTTGGTGAAACAGCAAGACAAAAAAACATCCGGTGGTTTTTCTGAGCTGCATTTTGTTGTAGCAAATCCGTCATCAATTCAGAGGCCTATGATTTTGCAAAAAAGGCGGACCAAACAGTTCACGGTGCGCAGGGGAATGTCAATGTAGTTTGTTCTTGATCAACATGACAAAATCCCTTCCCCAAGCGAGTTGTACAAGGCAACGTGTCCGCTCAGACAGGTCAACAGATGCTGTCTTGGTGAAACAGCAAGACAAAAAGGCACCCGTTGGTTTTTCTGAGCTACTTTTTGTTGTAGCATTGTTCCGTCATCAATTCAGAGGCCTATGGTTTTGTAAAAAAGGCGGACCAAACAGTTCACGGTGCGCAAGGAGATGTTTGCTCTTGATCAACATGACAAAATCCCTTCCCCAAGCGAGTTTATGCAAAACAAACTGTCCGCTCAGACAGGTCAACAGAAGCTGTCATGCTGAAATTCTGCAAGACAAAAAGACACCCGTTGGTTTTTCTGAGCTGCTTTTTGTTGTAGCATTATTCCGTCATCAATTCAGAGGCCTATGATTTTGCAAAAAAGGCGGACCAAACAGTTCACGGTGCGCAAGGACATGTTTGTTCTTGATCAGCATGACAAAATCCCTTCCCCAAGCGAGTTTATACAAGACAAACTGTCCGCTCAGACAGGTCAACAGATGCTGTCTTGCTGGAAACAGCATGACAAAGCGGCACCCGTTGGTTCTTCTGAGTTTTTCGTTGTAGCAAATCCGTCATCAATTCAGAGGCCTATGATTTTGTAAAAAAGGCGGTCCAAACAGTTCACGGTGAGCATGGGAATGTTTGTTCTTGATCAACATGACAAAATCCCTTCCCCAAGCGAGTTGTACAAGGCGAAGTGTCTGCTCAGACAGGTCAACAGATGCTGTCTTGCTGAAACAGCAAGACAAAAAGGCACCCGTTGGTTTTTCTGAGCTGCTTTTTGTTGTAGCAAATCCGTCATCAATTCAGAAGCCTATGAGGAATGATCAAGGCGGTCCAAACAGTTCACGGTGCGTAGAAGAAATTTGTTTCCGGCAAGTACTAGATCTGGATAAACAACAGATTTGTTTCCTGCAACCACATATGCTTCTCCTTTCTTGTTGTGCTTTAGATGAGGGCGCGATCGGAGAAAAAAAATTTATCATCGCGGCGCACGAAATTCGCAAGCAGTTCCTGTTGTTAATACCGAAGTATCTTCTGTGATCTACTTGCCCGACGAATACATCGAAGTGCAGCCAAGGTCTTCGAACCTGCTGCCGTGCGACAGCGGTTCGCTAAATTTCGGCCCTCTTGCTACTTTTTTCTTCCCGCCCAGTTTCGCTATTTCTGCTATCGCCGGTGAGAGTCCGCGCTGTTCGAAGAAGTCCTCCGCATCAGCGCAAACCCGCTCGGCGAATGCCTGCCTATCCTTCCTCTTGACCCATTTCATCAGTTTGAGGATTTCAAGGGCTTCTGCTTTTTCCCCAGCCGCCAGAAGCCGGCATCTTTCCTGCCAGAGGTCCGTGAACTCGACCGAGATCCACGGCTTCCGGTCTGTTTTGGATTTTTCGAAGACTTTGGTGCCCGCCTCCCGCAGGCTGTTTTGCAAGGTGTCGCCCTTCTGTAGTCCTTTTTCAAATTCAGAATTGAAGAAGTTTTTTTCGTCCAACGTAGCTGCTTTCGCGGTAGGAATGCGGGGTGTGGGCTTGTTTTTCTTCTTCCTCCCGAACCACTGAAGGTCGCGCTGGCTTACTTTCACCACCACCAGGCGGTGATCAAATTTACTTTTTTCGGAGGGGTCCAGTGCTTTGCAGTCCTTTATCGCGTTTTTGAAGCCCCTGGGCGCGATGGCGTGGTCGATTTGATGGTAGCCCCGGTGCCCAAGATTGAGCGTCTTGTGCCCCGGGTGCCGCCATGTTGCGTAGCTGCGGAAGCTGTGCCGGAAGTATGACGCCAAGCTGCAGGCGTTGTTTTCTTGAAGGAAACCTTCTAGCAGGGGGGTGTTGCGATTTGCGATTTCGTTTCGGCCCCAAGGGCCCGCGAAGTCCGTCCGGAGCGGGAGGCGGGCATTGAAATCGCCCAGGAGGAGGCACTTTGTTGCTGGGGCGACGGTCGCGCTGAGCTGCGCGTAGAATTCCAGTTTTTGCGTTTCGTCTTTGTCGTCCGTGGGGGCGTAGCAACATATCACCCGGAACGGCCTGCCGGCCTTGATTTTGAAGTCGACGTAGACTATTCGCGGACTGACTTTCCGCCAATCCACGACCTGCCCGGGGAATTTGTTGCTCACTGCTATCGCTACCCCCGCGTTGCATTTTTGCCCCCCTGCGTGGTAAATTTTCCAGTCTCCTGCTGTCTCCTCCCCCGTTTTTGTTCCCTTTGTCTCCGCGATCGCAAGACAAAGGATCCCGTGTAGTTGTGCTTCCAGTAGTATGCTCTTCTTTTTTACGTCGTCCTTGGCTTTCAACCCCAAGCCATTTACATTCCAGGTTCCAAACACAAGGTCAAGGAGGCGTTTCTTTTGAACAGCAGCCATTTGCCTAGATCGCCACCGCGGTGCTCACAAGAACACCAGTAGCGCGAGCTGTTTCGCTTGCTTTCGGTTTTGGAGATGTAGAAGAAGATTTTGGACGGATTTATAATTCGTTTTTCACATTGACTTTGCTGTGGAGCAAAAAAAAAAATGCTCCACGCTAGCTCTTTGGCTAGCCTTTTCCGGTTGTTGTCGGACTGCTTAAAACGTAGCTGCTTTCTAGTTATTGCATGGTGGCTCTTTTCGCAGTTGCAGTGCACCGTCCCCACACTGACAGACTTTGCAGCGCGGGCACAAAACTTGTTTCCGGGCGACGGCTAGAAACGGGCCGCGCTTCAAGGATTAGTCGTTTTCGCAGATGGAGCAGTGTTTCGCGTCTTTTCGTAGTACGAGTTGAAGACCGCGACACGCTGCAGCTCGAACTGAAACCGTAGAAAATCTTCTGTGATCTACTTGCCCGACGAATACATCGAAGCGCAGCCAAGGTCTTCGATTTTACGCACACGACACGACGAGACAAACACTGCGAGGGTTGAAAACAGGTCCTAGAATCAGATCAGAATATTACCGCTCGGTATGCTCGCACTCGTTGGTGCGGCGGTGCAACAGTTTTTTGGAGAGAAACTCAACAGACCCCCAGTGAGAGATAGATAGATAGAGCTGGACGGACTAGTGGAAAGAGAAAAGACGAAAGAGAGCTATAGTGGGCCACTACCTGTACTCAAAAAATAAAAAAAACGCTGATAAAAAGTAAACCTCGACTGAGAACTAGCTTTTTTGTTACAGTTATACTCGTACAAATCCCTGTGCTCGTGAGTGAAAAGTACAATTTTAGATGGGGACCAGGCGAGCTGTGCGAAGTCTACTTTTTGAACCTTTTGTAGTGAGGAGAACTAACTTTTTCACGTGATTTTCGGACCCTAGCATGCGGACAAGGCGAGACGTTTCTATTGGTTTCTTCGCGGGAAAATTATTAGTGAGCTGCTGTTTCAAGGTTTTTCAAAGAGGAAGCGTGAAAAACGAGTTTTCGGTCGAGGAGATAATATAATTATAATAATAGTGAAACGAACTTGGCCTCCCCCTTTGCTATAATCTATAGGAGGCACTTAGAAAAATAATTCTAAACGAATGTGCTTAGAAGGTCTCATCTAGACGCTTCGTGTAACAGATTGAACGCGTTCCCGTTATCTGTACCCCGTACCGTCGTGCAAAGTGTTATCCTGCACGCCCTGGCGAGCATGTGAATGCCAGCACCAGAATGGCCAGAGTGGCCGAATCATGTGAATGAATGATGGCCAGAAGCTCCTTGCCCAGCCGGGCGGGGCAAAAGTGACGGCGAGCGGCTCCTTGGCCATCACCTCCGCTCGAGCAAAGTTGAAACTTTTGGCCATCACTTTCCGGCCGGGCAACAGTGGTGGCCAAGAGCTCGTCGGCCACCACTTTCCGCTGGCTCGGACATAAGTCATGGCCGAGAGCCCCTTGGCCATGACTTTCCGGCCGGGCAAAAATGATGGCTAACTAAGGGCCCCCGCCGGCCTGGCCATCAATTTTGGCCATCACTTTCCGGCCCGCCGGGCAAAAGAGACGGCCAAGGGCAGGAGCTCCTGGGCCATCACTTTCCGCTTCCGGTCGGGCCCTTGGTCACTCCTTTGACTTTCCGGCCGGGCAAAAATGGTGGGCAAGAGCTCCTCTGGTGCCATCATTTTCCGGCGGGCCGGGTAAAGTGGTGGCCAGGGGCTCCTGAGCCTTCACTTCCCGGCCGGGCAAAAGTGATGGCCGAGAGCTCCCTGGCCATCGCCTTCCGCCCGGGCAAAAGTCCTCGCCAAGAGCCCGCTGGCCATCGTTTCCCGGCGGGCCGCTGGCTCGGGCTGAAGTAATGGCCTAGAGCCCCAGGGCTATCACTTTGGGCGGGCAAATTGTGAAAACCGACCTCAAGTCCGAATCCCCCTGCTGTCGTCGGGATGTCTGTTGTCGCGAAAGCCTTCGCGACGGCATCCGGGCGACAATAGGGGGACTCGGACCTGAGAGCGGTTTTCACAACTTGCAGCCCAAGCGTGAGAGCCATTCCCAACCTCGAGCCCCCCTGTTGTCGTCAGGATACTGTCGCGAAGGGCTTCGCGACAGTATCCTGACGACAGCAGGGGGACTCGGACTGGAAAAATGGGAAAGCCATTTTCTCGAGTCCGAATCCCCCTGCTATCGTCAGGATACTGTCGCGAAGCGTATCCTGACGACAGCGCGGGGCCTCAAGCAGCTTGAAGCTGGTTTCTTTCGATAAAAAAACCCTTTTCAAGCGCTGGCAAAAGTGATGGCGAAGAGCTCCCTTCCTGGGCATCGCCTTTCGGCCGGGCGCAAGTGATGGCCAAGAGCCCCCTGGCCGCCAACGTGGCCATCGCTTCTCGGCCGGGCCAACGTGATGGCCAAGAGCCCCGCGGCCATCGCTTTTCGTTCGAGCAAAAGCGATCGTGGCCATCGCTTTCCGGTCCGGCAAGAGTGGTGGCCGAGAACTCCGCGGCCATCACTTTTTGCCATCGCTTTCCGGTCGGGCAAAAGTAACGGCCAGAAGCTCCCTGGCCATCACTTTTCGGCCGGGCAGAGAAAAACGGTGGCGACAGCTCCTTGGCCATTACCTTTGCCCAGCGCTTTACTGTCGGGCAAAAGTGATGGCCAGTAGTTCCGCTTCCACCGCTTTTCGCCCGGGCATGCCTGCGAAAGTCCTCGGCCATCACTTCTGGCCATCCCATCGCTTTCCGGTCGGGCAAAAGTGATGGCCAAGAGCTCCCTGCTCATCCATTTCCGGTCGGGCAAAAATGATGGCCAAGAGCCCCATAGCCACCCAGCCACCGGCGTTCGCTCGTTTGCCATCACTTTCGTTCCGGGCGGGCAAAAGTGGTGGCCAGCAGCTCCTTGCCCGGGCCATCACTTTTGGCCATCGCCTTCCGGTACGGTCGGGCAAAAGTGATGGACAAGAGCTCCCTGGCCGTCATTTTCGGCCATCAGTCAGGCGGTAGCGCCCCGGGCGGATTTTTCTTCTAAAAACTGGCTAAAATTCCCGGTCTTTCAAGAATTTGCAAAGGCGCGCGCCCGGCCCCGCCCGCCCTCAGTTTCCTGCTGCCGCGCCCTTGTGTGGGCCCTGTTGCGATTGTGAAGCGCCAAGAGGCCCCCGCCCCTGGCGTTTCGGTTTGGCGTCTCTCCCGGTTCCCTTTGTCTCTCTCCCTCGCGCCGGGCGCGCAGAAAATTTAAAATTTAAAAATTCGCACCGTTTTCGGGGAAAACAAATTTTGGCTGGCATGCCGGTTGTCGGCCGGTTCGGGTGCGTTGCGCAGGGCGGCCCTGCCTGGGGTTGCCGGGTTATGTCGCAGGCAGGACAGTCTCGGGGAAAGCGTCGCCACACCTTGCTTGTGTTCGGGGCCCCCGAACACAAGTAAGGTGTGTTGCAGGGGATGACGCTTTGTAGGAGATGATGTGCGAGCGTGGTGTGGGAAATGATGTTCGACGTGCATGTCGAACATCAGCTCCAAACATCACCTACATTCAGCTACACCCGGCGGGAATGTTTCGCGTGATCCAGTTTTAGAAGATCGGAACGAATTCCGTTTTCGTCTTCTAAAACTGGTTATGTTCGGCTTCTAAAATCCCGGACGCGCGGCTTCTAAAATCACAAAACACGCAAATCGTGAGGGAATTTGCGTGCTCAGTGATTTTAGAAGATTTTTAGAAGCCGGACAGGGTCCGGGATTTTCCCACCTCCGGCTGGGAAATTAGAAGAAAGCTAGAAGATTTTTTAGAAGGAAAATTAGAAGCGCACTTTAGAAGGTTTTTTAGAAGGTAAATTAGAAGGAATTTTAGAAGGTAAATTAGAAGGTTTTTTAGAAGGTAAATTAGAAGGTAGGTGGGGAAGCCATTGCCATGGCCATTTCAGAAATGAAAACTAGAAGCCACCCCCGCGGGTGGCTTCTAGCATTCGCTTCTGACCTGGTTGTGAGCGCTATCCTGCGTTCTGGTTTTCCCTTGGAGGCGCGCTCGAGGTTTTCCTCGAGTACAGTGCCGGACTCGGAAGCTTCGCAAAATAGGCCGCCCTACTTGTGGTTGCCGCTTATCCTAGGTCGGGGCGATGGTCTGATGGTGGTGGTGGTTGTGTGGTGATGGATGTCCGAGGCCATTGTGGTGCCAGGGTGGTGACATGGGGATTCTTCGACGCAGTGCAGGTTGTCTGTCTTGTTTCGGGTGTGGGGCCTGGGTTATATGTTGGGCAGGAGGTTCGGGAGTGGCAAAATTTGAAAATGCCGGGAAAATTAGAAGCGTTTTAGAAGCAGAGGCCGCCCGGGTGTTTCCCGCCTGACATCAGCCAATTTCTTTCCGTGCGGGCAAAAGTGTTGGCCAAGAGCTCCGCGGCCACCACTTTCGGGTCGCGCAAAATTGTTGGCCAAGTGCCCCATGGCCATCACTTTTGCCCATCGCTTTCCGGTCGGGCAGCCGGGCAAGAGTGATGGCCAAGAGCTTCCGGGCAGGCACTTTTTGCCACCTCTTTCGTTCCGGCCGGGCACGCTTTTCCTATCCGGCTTCAACCACTTTTCTCGCGCACGCTTTTGCCCCTCGGCTTCTGGTGCATGGCATGGGCGGGGGGGCGCGAGGCAAAACCGCGCAAACAAGCCCCCGGAAGCGTGAGTCCCATCCCCATCCAGGGGCGGGGGTTTTCTTTACGCCGGCCGCCGAAGCCGCCCCAGATCAGAATAAGCTTCGCAACTGGCCCCCTCGCTTTGCTTGCCGCGTGCGGCTAAAGGGCTGACGGCGGGCCGGCGTCCTGGACGCCGGACCGCAAAAGGCGTTAAAGCGGCGAGGCCGCTAGGGCAAGCGCAGGCGCGGCAACGCGGCTAAAGGGCTGACGGCGGGCCGGTGTCCTGGACGCCGGACCGCAAAAGGCGTTAAAGCGGCGAGGCCGCTAGGGCAAGCGCAGGCAGGCGCGGCAACGCGGCTAAAGGGCTGACGGCGGGCCGGCGTCCTGGACGCCGGACCGCAAAAGGCGTTAAAGCTGCGAGGCCGCTAGGACAGGCGCAGGCGCGGCAACGATCTTCCTCGCGGCAGGCAGCGCTATGCTTTTCAACCTTCTCGCCACATGACATTCTATTCGACTCCAAGCCAGACCTTCTGAACACATTCCCATCTTTAGAATTATCTTTAAATCTACTAGCCCAGCGGGCGTCCGGGACGCCCGCGTCAAGAGGCTAGGAACTATACTTCTACTTACCGCTAAGAAAAGCACACACTTCTCCATACACAAACTTCTCACCTCTTGCAGCAACACGACCCTCACTTCCGCGCGCTCGTATGTCTGCGTATTGGTAGAAAAGCACAGGCGGAACTCGCATCAGGCATCGTGATTTACTACGCGCAAATCACTTACCGCGTGTTCTTCCTGGGGGGATTAGTGTTACCAAAACTGCTCCGCTGCCGTGTGTGAGGGTCGTGTTGCGTGTGCGTCTGCAGCTACTGCTGCGGGTTCACGCGCGCCGCTTCCCGTGCCGCACGCTGGCGCTTCAATCTCGAAATTTGTTGGTCGCGGGTGCTGATAAACTCGTCCCAAAGGAAGAACAAAGAACAAATCGCGTTAGCTTCCTCTTCCGAAAAGAACGTCCAAAGGAAGTGGGACCATCACTACCACTGCTCCTGGGTAGTGTGGCGCAATTTTTGTTCGGGTAAGACAGAAGTGCTGCGCATTCTTGATAAAACCCAAGCCCTACTTTGCTGGGCATTTGTTTCTAAGCGGAAGTTTCAACACCATATTCCCCAACATGATCGCGATTCTTCTTCCATTTTTTCCTGAAGGGGAGCGCTACTTCTTTTTGTCTTCGGAAGTAAAAGTATACAACAACTTTTAAATCATACAATGATTGCATTGTCAAAAACCCTGCACGCCTACTTGGAAAATCCGACAGCACGAACGAGCGACAATTTTGCTCCACGAAGGATCTCTACTTGCACTTTCCAAAGCAGGATACGGAAAGGACTATAGAGATCGCCTTCAATTATACAGCAAACTTTAAGTTTGTTCGTCTTTGTGTTTCAAAGGGCCTCGTCCAGAATAAAATCGGCGTCATTCTCAATAGGCCGGGCAACGACCATTTTTCTCCTCCGGCAAAACAAAATCCACACAGTTGTGGAAAACAAAACTCAGGCGGCGCTGTCTTCAAAACAGAATTGACTGTACCTACCGCCCTGCTACTTGCGCTGCCACCGTGGTATCAAAATCGGGGAACGCGGTAGTACGTTACAACTGCGGAGTCTAGAGGAGGGACTGCGGGAGCGAAATCGGCGTACCACGGGATGATCGCGGGGCGCCTTCCGTAGGACGAGGACCCGTAGCTGGTTCACGGTGCTGAGCGGCTACGGTTACAACCCCTTGCTTTGTCTTATCAACTTCAAATATACAATCCGGGTCTGGAGGAAGAGTGTGAGATTAGATTTGTCATGCACATTTTGCATGACCCATGCTGTCTGTGATGTATGCCCTAGCATGATCACAAGCTTCCTGAGTGCTTGCTTCTTGCTGCGTAATATTCGGCAGAAGCACTAATTCCCTGCTCTCCACGTAGTCAAAACTGACCTCGTCTTCCTCTTCGCTGTTCAAGCAAAATTTCCGATTTCTTCAGCATGAGAAGCTTCCATCAAAAGCAGCACCACAAGTGGCACTCTCGTCCCAGACCACCCAGACGTAATATAATTTGCACTGCATATGCCTCGTCCCAACACCGCGACGCGAAGTGGGAAAACTCTGTTCCCTTGTCCCTCCAGAAAGAAGCTTGGCTCATTGCAATAGCCGACGCACAAGCGGCAGGAAAGGCGATTATACAGTACTCGGAGCCAAACGCCAACGCCGCCACGCCAACAAGGAGGACACAAACGTTGCAGTATGGCGTTCCGAAGCGTAGTTACTTACACCCCCAACTGTTAAAGTCAAGTGAGTTCGCGATATAAGAATGGCAAAAGCGCGTCTTGCGTGATAGATTTGGTAGAGGTTCTCATCCTGCTTGGCTCTTCGAGAACTTGTCATGCGAAGCAGCTTGATTGTGATTTTGCGTGACAAGAAATCATGATAGAACAGCTGAGAATGTAGTAACACTGGAGAACGCCATATCTCACGCACACGCGCGCTTCTTCGGAATTGTTTGGCAATCGCGTCACGGCATCCAGCCTCTATGGCGCAGCGCAAGCTCGGCTGAGTAATGTGACGAATATCGTTGCTATTGATCAGCGCACCGCAAGCTGGGGGCTGCGCGTGCATCGCCGCCCAGGCACGTGTGTCCTCCAGCTCTTTGAGAGTGATCCCGTTCTTGCTATCCTGAGTAAAAACACCCCCAACCCATAGTTGTAATGCTAAAGGAATTGCAGCACACTTTGCCCCCACCTCTGCCCCAGGCCGCAGATGGCTTGACACGCAGGGAGGGTAAGTCAGGCGGACACAGAAGTGCCATAACACATAGTTGTAATGCAAATCTGCGTGCCAAAAAAGTTTCTCACGTGGAAGCGCATGAGAAGCATTTTCTGGTCGTGTTTTGGACTTTGCGATGCTATAATCAGCATCATGCGCTAGATCTGTGACGCTGCTGAACTACCTAAACAGGACTACACTACGAGGAGAAACTTGTCATGCGAAACCACCAAAGATGGCTAATTTGTCTTGCAGATTTCCCATCTTGACTCTGGTGTGGGGACGACGTTTTTACTCAGGATACATGTCTTCGTTTCTGCAGAACGGGCACCGCAGCTGTTTCCCTGGCTCCGTCCTTCTCCTCCACTCGTTCCAGCAGGGGCATCAAAGTGAAAGCCCCCCCCTCCCCACATCGAAACGAAATTTCTGACGCTGGAATTGCGCACACAAATCAAATTTGTCTCTGCAGGCCCATATCGTGCCAATGTAGAGAGGTTTTGGCCTAGGCAGTTGGCAGGAGGAACGTCTATGCTGTAGGACCAACAGCATTGCAAATCGCCGGCATAATCGGGCGGAGCCCGTGCCGTCGCTTTCTTGCAAGACAGACCCGATTTGTGGTCACAAATCAGCATTACAAATTCTCTGAGGCGTTCCTTTTCGATAAGGGGAGGGGGGATTTTTCCTCACGATAAGGAGTCGCAGAACCTTTTTGCGCAACACGGGGTCTATCCTGTGCAAAAGTATCGCACTCGTAGTAATTGCGGTTATGCATTACAAATCTTTTTCCTAAGGTCAATCAGCATAACAAATTCCATTTCTCACGCTGAGGAAATTTGTAATGCAATTCATACTAGTACGATGCTTTTGCAATTCATAGGGTCAATTTTACTTCGGCGATGTTGGATTCCCCACAGATGGGACAGCAATTATCCTGCTGTATGGGAGAGCACAACAACTCCCCCTCTCCCTCATTTGTCAATCCAAAATTATAACAAATCCAAGCGCTCCTGTTGCGTGGTGCCGTAGTTTGCATGACAGATTCCGGAAGGAGCCGAAACAGGTGGACTACATTCGGCACGACACACATTTACCATGAATTGGCTCCACCTCCACGCGCTGTGCTTGTGTTTGTATTTACTGTTCATGCCAACATACACATGAGGGGGAAAAGGGGGGGTTGTTACTCTCATATCCTGTTCTTGCCCATCAGCTGCTGCGGGCGCAGTTGTACTAGCCACAACAGGTGCAGCGGTTGCGGCGGGTGGAGCAGCAGAAGGATTGTCGGGCGGGTTTACTATTGCGCTGGACGAAGCACCTCTAGCTCTAGGTGGACTACGATTGATATTATTACCACGACGATGGCGCGGTGGCTGCAGAGCGGAGACAAAACTACCAAAGCAATATTGGTCTTCGAACAACCCGACGTGCTGGAAGAGAGTCTGCACGCACAAGAGGCCGGCGACGCAAAGACGACCGAAGTTGATGCTCTTGCAGTGGTGCGCCGTCATGATTGCAGTTTTGGGCTTAGGAAATGATGATTTTAAAAAATAAAAATGATGATTTAGGAAATGATGATTTAAGCTTCGGAAATAAACTTGTCCGATTTTTGCAAGGAGTACAGTAAAGCTCTGCTTCAGGATTTAGTTCGTACTTGTAGTTGTAGAGGTATCTTTTATTTGTAACGCAGGGTAAGCACGTAGTAACGACTTCAAAAAAAACGACTGTTCCGGTTACTGCATTTGTTGGTCCAAGAATGGAGTGGCTTAAATGTATTTTCTTTGGCAGAAACAATTTGCCGAAGGTGCGGCAGCACATTGATCCTTATTCTTAAACCGACGACCCGTCGACAAAAATTGATTCCGCAAAATTTGCATGGATGCACACTGAGTGGTCGTGGGGCTAAAGCTGACTAGTGTCCCAAAACTTTCATTCATCATCATCATCATCATCAAAATTTGCATGGATCTTTCTCCTGGTAGGACAACATTTCTTGCACAAGTATGGCGTTCTCAAACGTTACATTCTCAACTGTTACATGGTTTGTCATGCAAAATTGCCTTCAGAAGCGACACCATCAAGCTGCTTCGCATGACAAATTCTCAGAGGGCCAAGTAGGGTGATAATGGGCGCCAAGTCTGTCATGCAAGACGCGCAAGATCGCCCCTATCACTTTTGCCATTCTTGCATCACGAATTCATGTAACAGTTGAGAATGTAACGTTTGAGAACGCCATAACAAGGTAATTTGGATCGCGGTTTCGGGTGTGGATCTTCATCTTGCTTTGGTTTCTGTTCTTGACTCCTCACTAGTACCGCCGCCCGCGGTAGTATCAAATGTCTGGGTCTGGAAGAATACAACTCGTGATGCTACTTTTGGAATCTACATAAAAACTGTATTGCATGAACAGCAAAAGAGGTGTAATTTGTGCTACGCGGAGAGGGCATTTCTCATGCGGTATGAGCATCAGAAAGCCCTCGCAAAATCTCTGATGCTAGGGCATGCATCACAGACCTCATCATGGGTCATGCAAAATGTGCATGACAAACTCCTGCATTCTTCCAGGCCCAGACATTTTTGCAATCCATAGGTAGATATCAACGGCAATTTTCACTAGTAACCGACAGACTCAGTTCTGGAGTGCCTTATAATTGGATCATTCTGTTCCTCCTTTCTACTTGTTGTGCCTTACATTAGGGTCTGATCGGAGTTCATGGAGGGAAAATTTTATCGTCGCGGCGCACTGAATTCGCAAGCAGTTCCCGTTGTTACCGAAGTATCTTCTGTGATCTACTTGCCCGACGAATAAATCTTGGGGAAATTTCTGCTGTGCGGTTAGAGAAAAAGACCATTTGTTGACTTTTTTATTCCTTGCTCTAAGTTCCAGGCACGATCCATTCTTGGCACACACAAACACACCGTCGTCCTGGCGATCTCAGAAGTAGTTCTCTGGGTCATCAGAAATTTTCTTTCATTTATGTTTTTCCTATTTGGCAGAAATTAGCCACAGTGGCGGCACATTGATTTTCTTCAAGAAACCGACTCTACTTCGAGGAAAATTCGGAAAAATTTGCATGGATCAGGATCTAGGCCTTCACTTCTTGCTTAAAAAAATTTTGATCGCGTTTTGGGAAGTCGTGGATCTTCATCTTCTTTTGGTTTCTGTTCTTTTTAAAAGAACAGAAACCAAAGGAAGATGAAGGGAAAAGAGTATGGAAAGGGTAATGCTCTTTCCCCTTCGCGGCAACTACCATCTAATACGTAGCGACCTCCTGACCACCCCACTTCTCAACCGACTTCGCGTGCAGCTCCTTCGTGTTTTTAGAATCGACATTGCTACGGTTGTTATCTCGAAGTTAGTTACCGACGTTGCGCACAAAGTAAGAACCGGCTGTAGAAGCGCACAGGATGGGTGTTCCCACACCTCCACGTCCACACAATGTCACAACAAGACGACTTTCTTTCAAAATACCCAACCCACGGGTGAGTCCGTTCTACTTCCTCAATGCGGAATACACGAATACTACTTCTACCCCAGCGAACAAAGGAGAGGCATTGATCCGCCCCTTGATCAATACAATTGCAGTGCTGATGAACATCACCCTTCGGCCACTGGTGCACTTCAAGTTGCGAGCAACTACTGCTTACCTTCGACCACTGCTCTGCCAGCTAAGCTTTTCGACGAAAATCGGACGCACCAACAGCCTGTGAAGAACTTCTAAAAGTTTAGTTCATGCGCGGAATGCGGCGCCATGAGGTTGTTCCACCTCAGGCCAATAGTTTTCATCATCCGATAGTGCTTGATGCTTTTTGCTTTTCAAATACGACCATCACCGGGGAGGGTAATAGCGGTACTAGTAGTACTGGGAAATAAACGACTGTTGAGTCGCTAATCTGCTTGAGAAAGCTCCAAGTAAAAGGAGGGTTCCGCGCATAAAATGAGGCTACTCTTGATGTCAAGGTTTAGGCGTAGTTCATTATAGATACAATTTTTTCTAAAAATGAATAAAAATCCGTTGGCGTAGTCTTTTTTCCATTTTCCTCCCCGTTCTTGATAGAAATCCTAACAGGGAAGAAGTTTTCGACCTCGTTTTTGTCCTTACAACGACGCTGTGTTCTTTTTCGTAGATAGGCCTAGTCTACCTTAATTTATCACCAGGTGGTTGTTGTAAAGGTGGCCCGCATCGTCCATCAGGACGTGCTGATCAACAAAAACAAGACAATAAACCCCAACTACGTGGTGACGGTCTCGATCCCTTTAGGATTATGTACTGAATCAGTATGAAAGACGAGCAGAGCAAATTTTGGACGTGTTTGATTTGTCATTGTCTTGCATGCAGGTGCATCTTTTTTCATACGGGTCAGCCTCTTCCTTGCCTATATATAAATCAAGCAAAAAAAACAGTTGGCTTTCCTTCCGATGGATTGCATCCACAAAAGACATCTTACATTTTCCATGACAGGCTGATTCAGATTCTTCTACTTGAATACAAATTTATGATCGATCTTCAACAACTCCTACTTAAATATACTAGCACTGCTACTTTACTTGCAATTGTGCTCCTCGACACCTGAAATTATGTCTCCTGTACTGCCCACCTGCTAGTTGCGCTGCCATCGTAATAAAATCGGCGAACGCGGCAGTACGTTACTGCGGTGTCTACATGCTGCGAAGCCTGTGTTTCCAGCCTGCCCAACGTACACATCAGCGTCGCGGTAAAGGCAGCTCGAACATACACAAAATTTGCGTCAGCGTCATCTAAAAGTGCGTGTAGAAAGTATGTCCAAACTATTGTTCGACTTCTATATACAAAAAATGAGTTTTATATGTTTCCAAGCCCAATGGCCGCAATTTCGGCTTCATTCTGAAATGCTCACCATAATGACTAAACGTATATGGTTTCGGTGCCTCCAAAACTCACGCGGCGCTCAGTCGGGCTCCCCTGGCTGCCTACAGCTCTGGTCTGCTGACTGCCAGATCCGCCGCCACTTCGGCGCGCAGTCTGGCTCCACCGGGTTGCGGCGGTCGTTTTCGGGGCGGCCCGGGCTGCGCGCGGGTTTGGCATTGCGTTGGAACCTGCACTAGGACGACTATGGCCGGGGCTTCCTGCTCGCTGCCCACTTGCTTTCCCGACGGGTCGCACAGGATGAACACCAGCCGCAGCACGCCGCGTCCCCGTTACGGCGGTCGTTTTCGGGGCGGCTGGGGCAGTTTTACCAGCCGCAGCACGCCACGCCCCCGTTGCGGCGGTCGTTTTCGGGGCGGCTGGGGCAGTTTTACCAGCCGCAGCAAGCCGCGTCCCCGTTGCGGCGGTCGTTTTCGGGGCGGCTGGTGCAGTTTTACCAGCCGCAGCAAGCCGCGTCCTCGTTACGGCGGTCGTTTTCGGGGCGGCTGGGGCAGTTTTACCAGCCGCAGCACGCCGCGTCCGCGTTGCGGCGATCGGTTTCGGGGCGGCAGGGGCAGTTTTACCAGCCGCAGCAGGCCGCGTCATCGTTGCGGCGGTCGTTTTCGGGGCGGCTGGGGAAGTTTTACCAGCCACAGCAGGCCGCGTCCTCGTTGCGGCGGTCGTTTTCGGGGCGGCTGCGGCAGTTTTACCAGCCGCAGCAGGCCGCGTCCTCGTTGCGGCGGTCGTTTTCGGGCCGGCTGTGCGCTGGTTTGTCATCGTAAGAAAAAGATGTCTCAGTCTCAGCTTGTAATGCGGAACTTCCTTGAGACCGTTTTTCTTTTTTGATGTAGACATGCTCACCTCCATGCAAGAGAGTCGCCTTTCATGATAGGGGTTTATTTCCCTTGCTGTTTGAAGCATCAGAAATTTTTTGCTTCTTGTTTCGCAAATTTGTAAGTGGTGTTGAGTCAACATCTGCATCAAAGGTTTGGGACTGAGACAGATTTTTCTTACGATATTTGTGGCTGTGGAAGCTGTACTAGGACAACTGGGACTCGGATTCAAAGCGAAAACAGCAGCACCACCAAATAAATCTTGTCCGAGCAGCGCGACGCGGAGGCAACTACACAAGAGGCCGGCAACGCAAAGGCGACCAAGATTGGGGTTCTTTTTGTAGTGGTGCGCCATGATTGCAATTTTTCGGTGTCGACGTAAGAAAAAAATGAACAAAAAAAACGGGAGAGTTTTGTAGGTTTGTGAAGGCGGTCTAAAGTAGACAAGTAAAGTTTTTCTTCAGGTTTATTTTGTTGTACTTGTAGTTGTACCAGACCCAGAGGTATAAATAACCTCTTCGCACTAGTACCACGCAGAGTAAAAAGCAAGTAGTAGCGACTTCGATGAAAAAAACAACGACTGTTCTGGTTACTGCATGTAGTTGGAGTGGTTTAATATTTTCTTTGGCCGAGGTAATTAGCCACAGTGGCGGCACGACATTGATTTTCCCAAAGAAACCGACTCTACTTCGACGAAAATTGAATCTTCCGAATTTAATTCGGAAAAATTTGCATGGATCAGGATCTAGGACAAAGCATTTCTTGCATAAGAAAATTTAGATCGCGGTTTCGGAAGTCGTGGATCTTCATCTTTCTTTGGTTTATGGTGCTGTTCCTCATTTGCGACACTGTATTTGAGTACACAAACCGAATTGTACTGCTACAAGGCCAAGAGACGCAGCAGTGGCCTGAAGAATTGCAGGTAATTTGTCATGCTTTTTTCCACTTCCACTTGCCTCCTGTCGTGCTGAAGATGCAAGGCTTGTTTCCCACGCTAGCCAGCACTACAGTCCGCATCTTTTGTCTTCTAGCATGACAAAGCTGATTTGTGATTGCAAATCTGCATCACAGATTTCCATATTGATATGGGCGGAAGGGGGGATTTTTCTCTTGATACTACGTCCAGCAGGAGACACAGGTGAAGAAGCGGGTCTGCGTGCGTTCTACTTCCTCACTTCGGAATACACGACTACTACTTCTACCCCAGCGAACGAAGGAGAGGCATTGATCCGCTCGTTGATCAATACAATTGCAGTGCTGATGAACATCACCCTTCGGCCACTGGTGCACTTCAAGTTGCGAGCAACTAGTGCTTGCATTCGACCACTGCTCTGCCAGCTAAGCTTTTAGACGAAATAAATTGGACGCACCAACAGCCTGTGAAGAACTTTTAAAAGTTTAGTTCATGCGCGGAATGCGGCGCCATGAGGTTCCACCTCAGGCCAATAGTTTTCATCATCCGATTAGTGTTTGATGCTTTTTGTTTTTCAAATACGACCATCACCGGGGAGGGTAATGAATGAATGAAGTGGTGCGGCGGCGGTGGCCTCTTACCTCAAAGCTCGATAGACCGGGGCAGGGAACACCGCAATGCTTTGCACCACGGGCACACGACTACTAATCGGCAGTGTGGACGCCTCCGGACAGCAGCAACTGCCCAGCATACAAAACTAAGTTATCTCTAAGTGCTGGGAAAATGTCAAAACTAAGGGTAAAAAATCTCTGAGAGCTGGGAAAATCTCTGAGAGCATACAAAACTAAGGGTAATCAGATCTGTAGTGCTGGGAAAAAATAAAGGTCCACTCGCGACGTCCTTGCGAGAAATTTTTATACTCGTGGTGCGACGGGTGGTTCAGAAGTACTATCTTGGAGCTGCATTCCGGTCAAAAATCTACGACAACATCATACATAGGTATACTTCGGTTAACGACTTGGGTTTGGTGGGGGAAAGATTCAGACGTAGGGCTTCTGAACCATAACAGGCTGTGTGCCAGATAATTCTGGCGTCTCCAGCGCGAAGCCACCCTAAGTAGGACCGAGGGTGGCTCGAGATTCCTGCACCCCCGAGGCCCCCTGCCAAAGCAGTAGCAGGCTGCTCGAAATTATACTAAATTCCTCCCAAGGTCGTGGGCTCCTCCTCCATAAGGTTCTTTTATTTTGGCACAACTCTAACTAGTAAAAGTAAAACGTCTAGTACAACTCTTCGCCCGCCACAGAAAATAAATTTAAACGGCCATCCATGCAGGTTTCTTTGTTTTAGTTGCCGCGGGGTCAAAATCATAAATATAGCGAAATAAACCAAATTATGACTCAGCACAACCATAATGACTCGCAAAGCATCAATCTAGCAAATAAGTGGGCCACAGCTCCTCCCCTCCTAGCTTCGGCTCACCGACGTGATCATGCTGCTCCAAACTCACTGCTCTGCTCCCTCCTGCTCATCACCCTGCGCCGAGCGTACCAGTCTGGCCGCTTCGGCTAGCAGTCTGCGTGCTTCGGTATACAGTCTGTCTGCTTCGTCGAACAGCTGCTCCCGGCGGACTAGATCCGCACGTGGTATTTCCATTTCGGCTAGCACCAGTCTGCTTCCTTCTTCCCCCATGTTATCAAATGTAAAAGTGTCTGGGTCTGGAAGGATGCGACTTGTCATGCTAAATCTGAAGCATGCAAAAATCTGTGTTGCATGATTACCAAAAGTCGTCCAGTTTTGCCCAAGTCGGGAGGGAGGCTCTCATGCAGGATATTAGGCATGAGCAGAGAGATCCTCGCACAGAATCTGTCATCGACTAGGTCCTGCATTCCAGACCTCATGGGTCATGGAATAAAAGCTGCATGACAAATCTGACAATCTTCCAGACCCAGACATTTTTACAATCCATACATTGCGCTTGCTCGCTCCGTCAGTCTGATTCCTTCCCTTAATGACAACTCCTGCGGGGACAACTGCACAACCTCCCGGCACACTGGGCAGCTTGGTTCCGTCGTATCCTGCGTAAAATTGGATTCCCACACCATCCATAGTCGACTAGAAGTCGAGAAGATCCGTATTACAAGAAGCTGTTGAAGAGAGGTTTTGCTTTCGGGTCGTGTTGCGCATCACAAAATTGCATCGGGCAAGTAAAAATCGGCGTCAGCTAGTGTAGGTGCGAAGCTGTCACAAACGGACTTTCTGATCTCGACGAGAAGAATATGACAACATGACATGATTCCCAAAGATTTACATTTAACACCTTCTTGTATGCTTACAAATAAACGTTCCTTCTGGAAGTGCGGTTTTTCATGCGACACACTGACCATCCATCATCATCATCATCGTGATTGACTTATCTCCTCTCCTAGCATGCTGCAAATTTGCGTGACCGTGAACATGGTGTGGGTCCTCGTTCGTTCTTTTCAGCTGCATATAATTCACATGTCGATAACCACTGGCCGATGCAGCCGGTACAAAACTTGTGACCGCAGGAGCTTAGGGCCTTTTCGTCGCGTATTTGTTCCAGACAGATTGGACAGTTGTCACGGTTGGGCGAGCCGTCCTGTGCTATGGCGTTCTCAAATGTTGCATTCTCAACTGTTACATAAATTTGTGATGCAAGAGCTGCAACAGTCAAAGGTGCAAGCTTGCAGCTTTCGCATCACAGATTTGGCACGGATTCAGATGGTGTTTAGCCGTTCGGAGATTTGTCATGCGAAGCAGCTTGATCATCTACCGGATCAAGGTAGTTTTGCATGACAAATTAATGTAACAGTTGAGAATCATGTAACATTTGAAAACGCCATATGTACATCGCCAGCACTGTGGCCGGACAGGTGGGCGACGTCGTGTGCATCGCCAGCCCCACGTATGCAAGAAAAAAACTGTGTAGGTGTAACTCTGTAATGCAGAACATGTAACAGAGTTACATCTGTGATGCCAGAAAGCCACGAGGCCTCTTTTCATGTGTGTTTTCCCTTACATGCCACGCATGACAGGTTTTCTCTGTCATGTAGAGCAAACTTGTGATGCTGTTAGCCAAAGAAAGTTACACTAACACAGTTTTTTTCTTGGATACCACGACTACGACTACGACTACGAGGACGGACCTGCAAGGCGAAAACAGGAAAGAAATCTCTGTGACGTAGAAACATGTCTGGGTCTGGAAGGAACTTGTGATACTACAGTATGGAGGATGAGTCTGGTGCAGCTTTCAAGTGCAAGCAAGCACGACAAATTTTCTTGACGCTGTCTGAAGATGCGTAGCACGCATCACAAACTGCGTCTTTGCCTGACAAAAAAGTAACACCTTTGCTGGCTATGCAACACAGTTTGCTCAGGAATGCTAGACAGGCAACACAAGTTTCACTTTTCCAGACCCAGACATATTTGCATTTGATACTCTACGGCGACGTACAAGAATGCGGTCTGCAGGCACAAGAGAGCGGCAACACAAAAACGAGAGGAGCTGCTACGAAGGCGCGCCATCTTTGGTTATGTATGCTGTTAAATGCAGTTCAACGCGTTAGCCAAATCGATTTCGGAAATAAAAGTGTCCTATACTACGTAAAAAACCGCTGTCCTGTGGCTATGGCTTCACGCAAAAAAAATAGTGGATATAGCTGAGTATACTGCTGCTACTTGTCAAATCAAGCGGCTTCAGTCTTGACTTTGGACTTGAGTTTGCTTCTTCCGGTCCTATCTTTAAAGCGACTACGTTCGAGTTTTATGGGATTCGTGCTCCTTTACAAATGTAAATGATTTCAAGCAGAAATGGTAACGGGCTCAAAAAGTAGAAAAGTCGTTTTTTGTTGTTGTTTTTCCAAGAAGGTGAGTTGCGTAGATGTCAGGTAAAGATTGTCAGAGTTGTTGTCCTAGTCCCGACGGTGGGAAGTGGGTCTGGGGGAAATTTCTGTTGCGCGGTTGGAGAAAAAGACCATTTGTTGACTTTTTGAATTCTTTGCTCTAAGTTCCAGGCAGGATCCATTCTTGGCACACTCACACGCCGTCGTCATGGCGATCTCAGAAGTAGTTCTCTGGGTCTAAGTCGTGATAAATTTTCCTTCATCATTTTCGGAACCAATGGATCTCGATCTTTTTTTATTCACACCGACTCAGATCTCCTTTCGTCAGCGAGCTACTGACCTAAGCACATCGAATAAAAACACGCACGGACCAGATCAGATCAGATCAGATCAGAGTTGTCAGCCCACGTGACGCCGTCACGCAAGCTGGGCTCAACGCAGCGGTCAGGCAATCCTAACCACCACGTCGGCCGTAAAACAGATTTGCGTTTGTCAGAAGTTTGGAGCTGAAACAGAATTAACTAAACCCTTTTGCAGACTAGAGAGGACTAAAAAATAGGCTCCGAAGAGCTGAGCTGGAATGGGCGAGAAGACTAAGCTCCGAGGAGCTACTTTGGAAAGGTTTGAAAAAACTATGCTCCGAGGAGCGGGCCTGGGGGAGCTAAAACAAAACTAAGCTTTCAGATTTTGGATTTCAATAAAAAAAAAACCTACACGGCAATAGGTCAGAATAATGGTCTTCGTCATGTGAAAACCCTCAAACCGGCTACAAGTCGTGATTTGTCGAAGTCGTCACGTTCCCGTCTACGTAGGATTGGTCTTTTCGCAGGAAAAAAACTCACGCTCTTTCTACTACCTGAACTATCAAAACTGCAGTTTTAGATGGGGACAAGGCGATACGTGTGAGATCATGGAAAACAACAGCTTTTTTGGTTTCTCGCTCTCGTTAGTGAGTCTGTTTTTCCACCATAGCATCGGGACAAGGCGAGCACGATGGATCCTCAGAGCTTGTAAGAGTTTAACTACGAAGTGCGAAGCCTTTAACACGTACCGCGGTCCCTTCCCGGCGACCAAGTTTAGAATGGAAATCAGGTAAAACTTTAAACCAAGCATTCGTGTAATAGCCTCATCCTGGCCACCTCACTTCAACCGACTTTGCGTGCTCCTTCGTGTAAGAATCGTTGACACGGTTGTACGTTAACGGAATTTGTGATGCAGTAACGCATCAGAAAAGGCGCCCAAATTTGTATTGCGCAACATGCATGGACGGCAAAATTTGTAATGCATAGCTGCTATCTGAGAAAACCGTTAACGTTAAGACTTGTTTTTTGTCTGATAAATTAATGTTACCGACATTGCGCACTAGCACGACATAAGAACCGCGGCCTGCAGTGCACAGGATAAAAATGAGGAGAAAGCGCATAGACACACGACTACCATCCGATGGTCTTGTTTTCTTTTTCTTTTTTCGTGGAAGATAAAGAGGAAATTTTTTGCGACAGTCCCTCGTTTTGGTTTTTCAACATGATGCAGCACTTCTTTCATTCTCCTCCATGCGATTAAAGTCGTGTTTGTGCTGTTGGTTTTTCTACGTTTATTAATGGACCCGTGGGCCGATAATTTTTCCAAAGTACTATGTATAATTGGTCTCGCTGCTTGAGCATTGATTTCTCGTCAGACGCTCTCTTAGCTATTGCTTACGGGAAGACATCAAGTACCTCCCGACTAGTGCAGTAGCATGATCCTTGAACAAACAATATTACGCTGCAAGGCGAGGCAGCTGAGCTTCATGTTTTATTACAACCCATGTGAATGTGAAATAAGAAAAAGTGTCTTACTATGAGCTTGTCTGGAACTACTTCTATCGTCGAAAAAGGTACTACTAGTAGTCCTTGCATATAATCTATTATGCTTCTAGCTGAAAGTCAAAGTTCATCAAATTCGTTGGAGTGATCAGGTGAGACCGAGACCCAAACACGACCTGAGAACAAGTGCTTGTTTGAAGAAAACCATGGTTACTAAAGTGTGCTGTCGCTGATGAGGTAGTCGCGTGAGTAACGTAAGTAACTCGATAGATAAAGATACTCATGCACGGAAACTAACAAAAGGTCCTGGATAGGCGCGCGCCTGATCGATGATAATTTCCTCAATAGAGCAGGGGAAACATAACTAGCTAAGTATATGAATCTTCTAGGCCCGCTACAATATTAGCGAGCTGACCTTCGCCTTCCTGCCTGACATTTTGTGAATTCAAACATTTCGAAGTAGATGCAACCTTATTTATTGACACGAAATAATTCTTCTCGCTTCGACATAGAATTATCAATATTTGGCCTGTACTTCGAGGATAGGCTTTTCGGTACAAATTTGATGCTTCATGCGCACGATCATGTTAAGCACAGCTACTTTGCTTGCTACTTGTTACTCTAATATGTTAAGAAGATGATGCTGTGACTGTGTTTTCGGTTAGTATGTACTTTACACATAAGCGTGTTTTTCATCTTGTCGCTTCAAATAGTAATGCGTAGTTCACGTATCTACTACATAGGGAAGAAAATACTATATGGTAGTTTTCTTTATACTCTTCTGGAAAATATTAAAAGCGACCGACCTGCTCCTGCACCTTTCTTTTCGTGAAAAAGATCCGACAGAAGTGTGGAGATGAGAGTCAAAGATACAAAGCGTGTATTTTTAAAGGACCTCCACATGATAATCGGGACCACAGGCATTTCCATTTTTTACACCGAAGATGCGGCAGCATTTGTTGTACAATTAGAGTCTTCATCTTCTGCTCCGTCAACACTTTGCCCTCTTCTACTTCCGCGACAGTGAAGATCTTCTTCGGGACAATTTTGGTGCGTTTCTGTCCCGTGACTTTGCTCTTCTTCGCCCGAAGCGGCCAAGTTGGCTCGGACAAATGTTCCTGCCGCGGCCGAACAAGATGCGGATAGAAGTTGTACTCCTTCTGTGCTACTACAGCTGTACTGCTCGCCATCAGCTTGGTACCTGGACATCAAGTTTTCGAGTTTATTCTGTGTAAAAACGTCCCCACCCCAGAGTCAAGATGGGCGACATCTCGCAACACAAATCCAGAAGCTTTGGGAGTCACGCATGACAAGTTTCTCTCTGCATTGTAGTGCAGTCTAGCAAGTGCAGCCGCATCACAAAGCCATCTACTTATCCTGTTGACAGCATCAGAAATTCCAAAACACGATTGAAAATGCATGCGCATTGCAAATCTTCCTACAAGTACAATTGCAAATCTGCATGACAACTCTGGGGTGGGGACGATGTTTTTGCATTTGATAGAGTTCGTTAAGTTGCCACTTTTCGTATTCCGTGTGCGCATGACTTGTATCCACTTCCTCCGGCGGCGGGTATAATCCGCCGACCACCCGCGCCCGCTGCAACAGCGCGGCATCCATGTCGGGATTAGCAGTTGTAGGGGCCCGACTCAATAAAACTCCCGATGTATGTAAAGGTTGTTGCACTGTGATGACGTACTCGGTCTGCTTCAAATTTAAGGGGCGGCTGGAGTAAAAATGCTTTGGAGCTTTTATGTGGGACGAGGCGGGCAATGTTGATGTAGTTCGAGTTCCCCCGACGGACAGCGGTTTAATATTAATATTTCTCGTCGCGCTATTTGGGGTCCACATCGTGTTCTTTTTCTTTTCCTGGTGATAGTACTCGAGATGTTGGGCCTCTTTAGAAGTACAACTCTTGTGCAGCTGCGGTCCCTTGTTATTCAGACCAGCTCCGGCGCGTCGTGCAGCTGCAGTCGTTCCTCGGCCGTCCTCGTCGGAGAACATCAAGCTACCTGGCACATCAACACCCTCGGAGCTGTGGTCCCGCGAAGATGACGAAGAAGAAGATGGTGGACCTTGTTCTCGAGAAGTAGAAGTAGTACGGGGATTTGTATAGTGGACCACGCTAGAAGTACGCTGAAGATGCTGATGATCACCCAGCTGCGTGGCGTTTGCGAAGGCGGCTTGTGGTACGTCGCGGTGACCCGCCCTAGTATTTGTTCTCGTAGAAGGAGCAGGCGCAGGAGCTCTTGGTCCTTTATTCACGAAGCGCCGCCTCTTCACATCGAAAATTCTTGACTTGGAAGCGCTCTCCTGTCTTTTCCTTCTCTTCTTCAAAACAGCCCGGAGAAGCAGCACGGCCACGAATATTCCCGCGAGAAACAGAACAGCACCGATTACAACAAAAGCGTAGAATATCAACTGTAAAAATGTCTGTGTCTGGAGAAATCCAACTTGTCATGCTGATTTTGGATCCTAAAAAAATCTGTATTGCATGAGCAGCAATGAGAGTCCAAGTTTTGCTACACGTAAAGAGCACTTGTCATGCGGTATAGGCATCAGGAAGCCCTCACAAAATCTGTGATGCTAAGGCATGCATCACAGACATCAGGAGTCATGCAAAATGTGCATGACAAACCTGGCAATCTTCCAGACCCAGACATTTTTGCATTTCATATAGAAAAGGGCTTCCTGCCTCCGCTCCTCCGCTGCTATGGCGTTCTGAAATCTCTGCGAAGTGTCCTGCATCGCTATCGTGAGCAAAAACGTCCCCACACCAGAGTCAAGATGGGAAATCTGCTAGACACATCAGCCAGCTTTGGTTGTTTCGCATGACAAGTTTGCCCTCATAGTGTGATCCTGTTTAGCTAGTGCTAGTTTTAGCAGCATCAGAGATCTAGCGTTTCATGCTGATTGGAGCATGACAGATTCTAAAACACGACTAGAAAAGGCTTCTGATGGAGCTCCGCATGAGAAACATTTTCAGCATGCAGATTAGCATGACAACTCTGGGGTGGGGACGTTTTTACTCAGAATAATCGCGTTGCGGTTTTGCGCCACCGCTAAGTGGCAAATGTCGTCGTCATCGCGGAGTTTGTGATGCAAAAACCGGAGGGCACGCCCGCAGTGGCACACCGCGGCAATCGCCAGCTCGCGGTTTTGTAGAAGCATACTGGACGATAGTGTCGTGGTAGAAGTACTTCTTCTGCCAAGGAGGTGGCGGGACACGACGACCTCGTTGTTGATGTGTAGTTGCTTGTGAGAAGATAGTAAGAGCCGTTGCTCCTCGACGTCCCCTGCTTGATTTGCTTCTGCATGATGGGCAAGAAATAAACTTGTAGTCCTCGTCTTTCCAGCAGCATTGTGTGTTTTCGCTCGTGCTGTTGCCAACGGTTGATGTCCTCTCTGATCGGGGGAGGAAGTAGTCCATCTCGTCGTGTGAGCATGTTCATCATCACCTATTCCCCCACCACGACACGTTGTTTCTTTCACGAAGGACAACACCCGGCAGTCCTCAGACCGGTCATTTTGCACCGCTAGTGTCACGATTTCCAAGGAGCTTTTTCTCAACCTTTCCGACGCGTATCAAATGCAAAAATGTCTGGGTCTGGAAAGTTGTGATGCTAAAATGTGCATGATGGAAACACTTCCGAATGCAGACCAGCATGACAACTTTCCGGAGCACTTTCCAATAGGCAGCCCGCATGAGAAACTGCGTTTTTGCATGACAAAAATGGCTGCGGCTTTTGTCGGTTATGCAATACAGATTTTCCAGGAATGCAAAGCTAGCATGACAAGTTCCAACTTTCCAGACCCAGACATTTTTGCAGTTGATAACGCGAACTCCAATGCCATACCCGTTTGCTGAACCGCGACGGAGACCACTTCTTCATCGTCAGCGAAATTTAGTGGCTGGTCGCCGGCGTGCGCCTGCGCGTTGTTGTTCCTATCATTGCGGAAGATTGCTTTGGCTTCCTCTCTGTAGTGTCGTGGGTTCATCTCCTGTTCGTGTAGTCCCCTGTCCTGCTCCTGCCGCAGACGAGAACCATGATGTAGATTTTCCACTACAAACTGCAAGCTCAGGCCGTTTTGCCGGACTGCAGCCAGCACCAGGTCCCGGTTGCTTTCCTTCAGTTATGCATTGCAAATATGTCTGGGTCTGGAAGACTGCATTAAATCTGTGTTGCATGAACGCCAAAAGCTGCCCAGTTCTTGCTAGGCAAAAGGCGGCTTTCTCATGCGGAGCGGCATGAGGAAGGCCTCGCAAAATCTGTGATGCTTCTGTGTGCATTCCAGACCATGTGCGTGATTCGCGAGATGCATCACAAATCTCCCAACCTTTCAGACCCAGACATATTTGCATTTGATATCAGTCTGGCACTCGCAAATTCCAGCATCAAGCCCTCTTTCCCCACGGCCAGCAGGGCGATCTCCAAAGAGTCGCGACAGTGAACCGAACTGAACTGGAACGCTCTTGGGTTATTCCCCACTTATCAACTGTAAAAGTGGCTGGGTCTGGAAGATTGCAAGATTTGTCATGCTAGTCTGGCATGGCTCTGCACTCTGTATTCCGTGGCCACGAACAGCCTCTTTCGCCTGTCATGCAAAAACGCACTTTCTCATGCGGAATGCGCAGCAAAGAAGCACGAAAAAAACTTGTCATGCTTGGCTGCGCATTACAGCTCACCTATTGCAATTGCTCGCTGACTTGCATTACAAATTTCCAGACCCAGACATTTTTGCATTTGATACCACTGCGTGTTTCACAATGTTGTAGTCGAGTACCGCTTATGGATTGCAAAAGTATCATTGTAGTAGAAATCGCATGACAAATTCCCTCAGCATGAGATGAAACGAAATTTGTAATGCGGATTCACCTGAAGAAGGACATTTGTGATGCATGGCTGCGATTAATCTACAAGTGCAATGCTTTTGCAGTGGATACCGCTTCTTGCGGGAAATCGCGCAGATCGGTGGAGGACTTCATCGCCTGGTTGAGAAAATAGCTGTAATTCTGCATGTTGCTCTCGTTGTTCCCGCAAAGGCGGTGGTCCGGGACGATGGAAGATGTTGAGCTTGGTTCAGGGTCAGGTCCTGCTGCTCGCGGGGGTCTGTGGTCACTAGGGGCGCCAATATTGTGGTGGTTAGTCGTTGTACGTGTTGTAGTACCTCCATGATGTCCGCCACTGCTCACGACAATGGGAGGGCTGCTCGAAGACCCTGGCTGCATCGTCGCCGTGGCGACGACATTGTTAACAGGCGGGTCCCCGTCGCGCTGCGTAGTTGGTGGCAGGTGAGGCCGCGCAGCTCCCTGTGGAGGAGGTGCAGCTTTCTGCTGTGGTTGCGGTGCTTGCTTTGGCTGAGGGCAAGGTGGCGCTTGCTTTGGCTGTGGATGGCAAGGTGGCTTCGGCTGTGGCGAATGCTTCGGCGGCGGCGGTTGTTGTGGCTCCGGCGCTGGTGGCTTTGCAGGCGGCGGGGTGGAAGCCGAAGCAGCTGCACCACTACCACCCGGGCACGGTGGAATTGTGCCAGCACCTGTCTGCGGCGGAGGCAGCGGTGGCCTAGCAGGAGGAGGAGGTGGAATTATGTGTGCATTTACAACTCCCGGCACAACTACAGCAGCTCCTGGCGCTGCAACCTGTGATGCAGCAGCAACAGCAGCAGCAGTAGTACCACAACATGCTCGCAACTCTCCAACAACACAAAAATTCTGTTCCAGTCGAGCGATATCATGGGGGGTAAGTCTATTACTCCCTTCATCCACAATTGTTCCTGGTCCTATTGACGCTCCGCGGGCCTCTCCACAATTCTGTTCCGCGAGAGAGGTAGAAGTAGATGAGCCTTGTCCCGCGGATGTTGAACCAACATCACCATTTTCACCTCCTGCGGATGTTGTTGACAATTCGTGATGCTGGTGGTTATGTGAATGTGATATCAGCTCCTGCGAAGTAGATTGCTCTACTTCACCTCCTCCTGCCGCGGCGCCGTCCCCCACTAAAAATGGTTCCTGCAGCTGTGCTGTTCCACCGGTTGATGTCTTCGCGGCGGAAGGGGCTGCAGACGCACGACACGATGACGCAGCAGCAGAATGTTCTTGGCTACTACCAGAATGTTCTTGGCTACTACCAGAATTAGGTCCTTGGATACTACCAGGAGCAGCGCCAGGTGGTGTTGTACCACCACGACCCACGAAGATGTTCTTGTCACCACCAGCAGGAGCTGCTGCGTCACTGCTGCTACTTCCACTAGGAGAACGAGAAATGGTGAAGTTGCAGTTCCTGGAAAAACTCCATGGTCGTGATGTAGTTGCAGCTCCTGGAGGATGAACCACGCTTGTTCTACTTCGCACTGGTGAGCAGTTGTCCATGGGTCGATCGACAAATAAGGGAACAGTAGAGTCGACTACGTTGTCCCTGTCCGCCGGCCAGCTCCATGTTGTCGTATCCGGCTCTGCCGGCTCATCTGCGGGATCGTACTTGTATGGAACAATCCCCACTTCTGTGACCGGATTTGCCCTCCGTCCATCCGACTGTGGGCGCATCCACCAGAGCTGCTGTTTCGGTGTTGCCGTTGTGATTGAAGGGCTATCTCCTGCTTCCGCATCTTGAAGTTCCACTGGAGAACGAGCTGCGGTACGAGGACCAGTGGCAGGTCGTTCCGGGGGACTACAAGAGGGGTCGGTTCCATCTTTTGAAGCTGCCCACTCGAGGACGCGGCACGTTGTAACATCTTTTGAATCTTCCCGGGTTGCAACGTCATCTTCGACCAGCTTTTGAAGCGCACTCGAGGAGGGCAGGCAGTAGATACAACCGGGCAGTACCTCTTCCTGAAGGACGCAGGGAGCTCCTCCTCCTGCAGATGGTCGTTCTAGAGCCGCAGGAGCTGCGTCCTGCTCCGGGGGAGCTGGCGAGCATTTTTTCTGCTTTTCTTCTACTGTCGTCGTTTTGATGTTCTTGTGCACAACATCTACTAGCTCTTCTTCCACCGGTGGATCATTTTGATCTAGAGAAGAAAGTTCCACCAAAGATGGAGCTGTGGCACAAGGACCAGCGGCAGGTCGTGTCGGAGTAGAGGACACGACTTGTGGTCCTCTGGCCATGCACCAGCGGCGCAGGTTTGCGCGGCATATTTCTGTAGTCGCGTTCTTTGCGCCGCCTATTTCTGCAGTTCTTGTGTAAAAATCCGGCGGCCGCTCCTGCAAGTCGGCGTCATCGTCCACACGAGAACAACCGGCCCCAAGAACTTCGTGCCCAACAAGCGCAGGAGAGCAAGACTCGTCCTTCTGCGCGTGGTGAAGAACAACTTCGTGCTCATCAGGCACAGGAGTAGAAGAGCACGCAACGTCTCGGTTTTTACTATTATCCCCAACTACAACTTCCGGAGTCGCCGGCGGGACGGTCGGAGGGCCTCGAATGGTTGCTCTCCTGTGACGGGGCATCAGCAGCACTCTCTCATTGTAGTCTGTCAAAGCGGCGCGAAATTGCAGTATCTCTGCTGCGCGTTCTCTCTCTTCGCGGACGTGGTTACAACAGCGAGAAAAAGGAGCATGACCACGGGCATTTCTTTATCCTGAGCAAAAACGTACCCACACCAGAGTCAAGATGGTAAATCTGCTAGACAAATCAACCAGCTTTGGCTGTTTCGCATGACAAGTTTGTCCTTGTAATGTAATCCTGTTTAGGTAGTTCAGCAGCATCACAGGTCTAGCATATGATGCTCATTATAGCATCACAAATCCCAAAACACGATTAGAAAATGCCTTTCATGGGGCTCAGCATGAGAAACTTTTTTGGCATGCAGATTTGCATTACAACTCTGGGGTGGGTACGTTTTTACTCAGGATATTCTTGGCGCAGCAGCCGCTGCTGCTGGTCCAATCCAGGCATCGGTTACCGGAAATATATGGAACTGTCAGGTTTGAAATCGTCAAAGTTGAAATAGTTTGTCATGCATAAAATGCAACACAGAAAATGCCTCTCTTGCAGAGTAGGCAAGGGAAGCAGATTGTCAGCCTGTTTCGGGGTAGAAATAGAGCTGCTAAAGTAGCACGACAAAAGGCGTCTTCCTTACCCAAACAGCATGACAAATTGGATTCCGGTGCTCCGAAAATTTGTCATGCGCTGCTTGGAAATTGGTCTTCCAACTGGTATCCATTTTATGCATGACAAATCATTTCAACTTTGTCGATTTCGATCCTGACACTCCCATAAAATAAATATGCAGGTTTAATAGGAAGCAATAAAGCTGCACTATCGACGGGTTTTGGTATTTATAGGAGTATCAATCGCATCAGAATTTACGTAAGCTATTCTTGGTGTTCAAAAATGCAATTTGCGTGATGTAGTCACGCTGAACAATATGACATAGTAAGAATGCAGAAGTTTTTAGTCGCAGTATATGCAATTTGATGTCGGAGTTGTATCCAACTACGATAGAAGACTTTACTGTTTCTCAGCATGTAGTTCGATAACAAGTCTCCAAGCGGGCAGGCCCCTGCTTCACCTTCATCCGGATCGCGTATTGTCTCAGTAATGGTGGATTCATCTCTCGGGTACCGCTCAGGCAGTTTTTTCGACATCAGGTTACTCCAAATCATCTTTATTTTTTCCTGGTTGTCATGGTTGATTAAATCAAGCATTCCAGTTGGAGCTTCTCCTTCACGACCACCTGAAGCAGGCGCGGCTGATGCAGACGAGGCTGATGCAGATCTGATGCAGCTGTCCTCCGGTACTGTGTCATTTTTCCGTGGTTGTACAACAAGGCTTTTGTCGTCGGGCTCAGGTCATCACATGCAAAAGTGTCTGGGTCTGGAAAAGTGCAACGTTTGTCATACACGTTTTGCATGATGCGTGAGGCCTGTGATGCATGCCCTAGCATCACAGATTCTGTGAGATCGTTACCATGCCTTTTCCGCATGAGAAACTGCCTCTCGGCATTCTCACAAGTGATCAGCTTTATTGGTAATCATGCAACACAGATTTTTGTATGATTCAGATTTAGCATGGCAAGTTCCACTCTTCCGGACCCAGACATATTTGCAATGCATACAGGTATTTCGTTTCCGCTGTACAAGGCTTTTGTCGTGTCGTGGTACAAGGCGTTGGTGTTCGTTTTAAGCAAGCACGTAGTTGATCCCTCGTCGGTGTGGTGAAGATCAGGCTGTGTCTTATGGTCCTCCTCCGCGTCCGCACGCCCGGACCACGATGAACAGGCGGCGGCCAACGTCAAGCCCTCGTCTTTTTCTTCTTCCACCTCTTCTCGACCTCCTTGCACATCAAGACCTGGCTTATTCCCTCTCCAACTCGTCGCACTCAGTTTTTTTCCCTTGCTTTGTGGAAAGTGCAATGTTGCCGACCCCTTCCTTGTTCTTTCCCTTTCCCCCGGGAGGACATTAATAGGACGGCGGTCCCATTTCAAGGACCACGACGGGGGTCGGCTGCGGCGCTGTTGCTGTTCTGCTGGTACATCAACCTTAGACACCGGGTTTTTTTTGTTCGTCTTCTTGGTCTTCGGCGGGGACTTGGACTTCTGCTCGGAACTGATCATATGGGGTTCATCACAAATAACTTGTTGCCCGCAGGAGATAGAGCCAGCAGCAGCAACAGACTTTGTTTGCACTAAAGTTATTTCTGGCTCAACAACAGCAACATCCTCCGCTTGATGTAGATGTAGTCCTGCATGATTCTCGTCCACACGAGCATCTATTTCGGCTTGTTGTTCGACTAAGTCGGTCGGCGAAGTTGTACTGGAATTTGAGTAAAAATTGTCCTCACCTCCTGCAGCAGTTGCACAGGTCGACGTCGAGCCATCGTCCTCTGCCTCATCTCGTCTGGGAGGTTGCTGCATCTGCGGCTTTTGGTTCATTTTTTGTTCCCCATGAGCACGGCCTGCTGGACCACACGCCTTCTGAACATGAGTAGAATTATGATGGTCAACATTTAATATTTCGTGCTGTAGAAGGTGGTCATCATCGCTTCGAAGAGGGCGTGGTTCTTCGTCGTCTTCAAGTTCATCACGAACTATAGCGTCAGAGGTCGTGCAGGGAACTTCGTCTACCGCGGTCTGCTCTCTAGTACTCGTACGACCCGGCGCGGTCGGGCAGCGGCCAGGAGCAGGTGTAGCTGCTTCTAAGGAGATCGAACCTGCAGAAGAGCTGGATGAAGAACTTCTACAGGGGGTCGTCGGCGAAGCAGGTATAGTTGGGGGTTCTGCTTCGACTCTACTTTCGTCTTTCACGACGACCGGGCCAAGGACTCGTTGTGCCGCCTTATCTATGCATTGCAAAAGTATCGTACTCGCATAAATGCATTACAAATTTCTTGAGCATGAGAAATAAAATTTGTAATGCGGATTTACTTTCAGAAAAAAATTTGTAATGCATGATTGCAATTACTACGAGTACGATACTTTTGCACAGGATATCATCCTCTTCCCCCTTTTCTTCCTCGCCGCCGCCACTGCTATCGAAAAATTCCAAGGGGGATAAAATACTCCTCCTTCTGGAACGAAGGTTTTGCTTTTGTCTAGTACTGCCCCTGCTTGTAGGTGTTTTCGAGGTGATGGTGGTGGAGGCGCTGTCGGTAGTAGAGTTTTTGGCTTTTATTTCTTGTTCGCTTATTTTTTCGTCTTGATGATGTTCCTGCAAAGGAGGTGAAGATGAACTAGAACTACTCGAACTCATCGAGGGGCTCCCAGCATAATTACGAGCCACGTGGGGTTGCTGCCCCTGGTCCATCCCATTGTCCTCCTCGCTGTTCACCTTATTTTTCTTGTCCCTGCTTTGCTTGTTTTCCACTTTCCTGGCCCTTCTCTCGATGTCGCAGCTCCTTGGGTGGAGCGTTTGGAGGTCCTCCTCGTCGTTGTCCGATATGTAATAGCTGGCTTCTTCTGCTCCTGCTGCTCTGAGTTTTTTCTTTTTCACGCCCGCTGGTTTTGGCGATTGCAGCCTGGTTGCGGATGCGAACAGTGAGGACTTCGTACTGATACTTCTGTAATTTGGTCGCCGTGAGGAGGTGGACCACCAAGTTGTGATCGTATTTTCAGCCACGACCCCGGAGGACCAGCACCCAGCGGGATTACAGGAGAGCCGGTCGCCGTGAGTCCGACTCCGAACTGGTATCGAAGTAGGCGCATCAAGTCCTAAAAATATTCGTGTTCCGGCAGAAGTACTGGTCGTGTGCTCGGTAGTTGGGTGCCAACGTCGTGCAGATTCCGATTTTTTCAAGAGCTTAATACAGAAGTCACCAACCGTGGTCCTCTCATCTGCCTCTCCTTGCCCAAGCAGTAGTTCTAGTTCATCGTCCACTGTACAGAAATAACTGTTGCAGATGAATTGTTGATCCTCGAATACGGTTGTGTTGTTAAAGAGGAGAAGGAACAGTAGCGCCGCCTGGATCCGTCTGAAAACCGGGTAGTTGTCGACGATCAACATTGTCGCGAGGTGAACGACCTGTGGGGCCGCTAGTAAGTACTACCGCTTACCACGTCGATTGAAGACGCCATCATCGTCTTTTCCCTCACGTTCGCCCCACCGGCGCGGCTCTGATGATTCCTCTTGAAAATCGCTTGTAGTTCGTCCTCCCCGAAGGTGTCGGCTGACTCATGGTATCGTCGAAAAAAGCCTTAATATGGCCCGGCATAAATTTTTCTTTGTCAGTACTTATATAAGATTACACGAGGTGAATCAATAGCGCGGATGCTGTTCTGCAATGGACATCTGCGTAAACTAGGGTCGTATCATATAAAGGCAAAGAGTGCCCCCTTCTGTAGCGTTTTCGTTTTGTCTGTCTAGAAAGGTTTTTTTAGTGTCGAGCAAGCGATTTCTTTTTGTTTATATAGTTTTCTTGATGTAGATGCCGTAGTTAGTGCTGATTTATACTATTCGGTAGAAATTATCCGCCTTAACAAATTTCATATCACAATATTCGCGATCAAGTATGGAGTGACCACTGATTAGTTTCTTCCTATTGATGTTGTGTTTAACGAGTTATAATTAAGGGAAAGTACGCAGTTCCTCACTTTCCACCCGAGGTATTACAGTCCAACCGTGCCGGCTGGTAGTTCGTCTTTTTCATCTCCCCCGGGGGGTGCAAATAATGTGTAGGTGTCATGTTGACACAACAGAGGCGGCCCATATTGGAGTAATATAATTCTACACTAAAAGCATCTATTACTACTGTATTAAAAACGATATACGAATAGTAACTACGACTAACCACTGTGCCGGTCCGGAAGAAGTCAAATTTTGAAAAAAAGAAAAGAGCACGCGCTTTCTGCGAAACAACACCTCACAATTTTCGCCACGAGTCTGTTGAGCAGAGATCTTCACAGCGTTGGATTTGGACCACCGTAGCTTTGTTCTCGGAACTTCTACGTAGGAACGCCTCAGAGCAGTAGACCACCGGGCGATCCTGCCAACCCGTTCTTCTGCAATCTGCCACGACAACGTCTTTCTAGAAGATCAAAGGAACAAAAATGTCGGCGGAGATCAAAGCTTACTCCGCCGGCATTATGTGGCGGAACCGCCCACAATTGTGCGGATCTCATGATCTCGATGTTGAAGATGCACATTTTCAGGTAAACTGGTTTGAGCAGGACCTGTATGTGTACAAATAGAGAACGTTTTGGGATCGTGTGTTTTTCCCACTGCCGATAAGGCACAAAAATAGCAGATCTGCGTTGAACTTGTTTCAAAGAACGAAATTTGTAAACCGGCCCATGCTGTGATAGAGCCCTGGTTTTATGTCAATCTCACGACAAGCGGCGACTATACCGTGGTAGTTTGCATTTCTAACATATCATTACGTAAAAGCCACGATCATGCTCGAAATTAAAAGAACATTTTGATTTTCTATACCAAGCTATTAAGACACTGTGAAGTCAAATTTGATCAAAAAACCACTTCACCCGCCTTTGCTTGAAAAAAAAGCCGCAAAAGGAAGACAATTGCGATCTTGAGGGAGACACGAAAATTGCATTTATGCGTGAAGGCCACAAAAGGTAGCCCTTTGGGCGTCCAGGAGTATTTTTCTTGAAATTAAAATGATAATTGACATTTGCGTTTGTAAAGATAGCTAGCACCCGCAAAACATCGTACTTAGCGGCGCCTCTAACATGAGCATAATCCTTAAAGCGGTTCCTTGTTTCTCGTCGTTGTTGAAAAGGCAGACGAACGAATGAAACTCGCTGCTGACACACGATTTTTCTTCAATTTCGAAACTAAGCACGCACCTCCTCCCCGCGAAAAACGAAGAGGAACGCCGCGAATTTTCCGTCGGCGAAACAGGAAGAAACCCTGCGCAAATAGTAGAGGATTTGCGTTGACCCAGCACGGAAAAGTTGGCGAAGCGCGCCGCTTTCCTGTGCCCACCACGGATCGAAAGATAACCTCCATCTCGTCGGACCACCCTAAGCCGCTCTGATTTCCGCCCCAATAGACACCAACCGCCCGGCGCCCCGTACGATCCAGATCCCGCGAGCGAGCAGGGCGTGCGTTGGCACCCACTTTCATCTTTCCACGAAGCGGTGGAGATAGGAACCTGGTCCCCAAGATAAATCCGCGAAATTTGAAAATTTTATCTTTATTGCTGTGTGGGACAAATAGAAAAAAACGGAATTAGCCTGACAACAGAGGCGTATCGATTCAAGAGTTCCAAAAGGCATTGCACATACACACAAATGCACTAATACATCCTGATATCCTGTATTTTGATTGAAAAAATTAAAATTTTATTTTTGTTCAACTTGAAAATCCGCGAAATTTTAAAATTTTATTTTTATTGGAAGGAAACAAAAGCCGCAATCTGCATCACACATACCTGGCGCTGATGTTCACACAATGAAAACCGCCTGACAACATCCAGTAATATCGCTCCAAGCAATATTCCTTGGACCTTTTCTTTATAGAATCCGCGAAATTTCAAAATTTTATTTTTATTTCCTTCGAAAATCCGCGAATTTTCAAAATTTTATTTTTATTGGCGACGCATTCTCTTTTCCACAAACAAACATAAAATCCCAGCTCTTTGTCTTACAGCGACCGTCCACTCCCCTAGACCGGCCCCAACCCAGTGGCCCCAGAAGATCTTGTCCTTCGTCGCAGCAATCCACCCTCGTGAATGATGCGCCGCACGATGCTCTGATGGATCGTACTTTCCCCGGCGATCATACCGTCGCGTATCACATTATTCTGCATGGTATACTACTAGAGGATGATCTTTTCGAAAATAAGTGGCAGTTTGGTTTGCACGGCGCGATCATACACATCCTCCTTCTGAAATGCACGTTTACAAACACCTTCCTTTCGTCAAAGATCATAGTGGAACACCAGCTCTCGTCGCTCTCGGCACTGCGATTAGCGACACAGCGCTTTTCAGAAGATCTAGGGCGATACCCTCAGGTAGAAGCTCCTTGTGCAGCCCATAATGTTCTTGTGTACAACAGTTCATGAGAATTGTGGTGGTGCGGTTCGATGGTGATGGAGAGTTTTCTTCTTTTTTGTAGTTTCAGCAGTCAAAATGCTATTATACAGGTGCGATGCTCTTTATAAGAAACTGTTTAGATTTTTTCGCAGACGAGCACTTTTAAGCTGTTGGGCCACCAAGTCCTCGTGGTGACCCATTTAACTCACAATTGTGCTCACAGTTCGTTTTTCGTTTTCGCAAAATAGGCCGTGCGTAACCTTCATCTCTGTGTATCCGACGTACAAATACGGCGTGACGTCATTTTTTTCAATTTGAAATTTGCTTTAGAGCTAATTGGTTTTGGTGTAATGTATTCTTTAACTTGATAAAAACTAAAACGCGGCGAAAAAAAATCGCGGTCCTTCTTCCCCCGGTTGCTGCTGCAGAGCGTCGATTTGCCCCTTCTACGGCCTCCACGTATCACCAAACAGCACCTAGAATCTCCATCAGCTCATAGGGTATTTCCTTTAGAAACAGAGTTCTGTATCGTAGGGAAGAAAACAAAAAGCAAAAGTCACTCCAACTCGTCGTGTCTTGCATCATAGCTAAACGAGCTTTTTGCCATGCTGGCGCCAATGCATGGATAAACATCTGCGCTTTGGTTTCTTGATGCATGGAAGACAAATCACTTGTTTTATGATACGCTTGTTGTAAAAGCAGGTTCCTTACAAGGGATACGGTGGTGGCGAGCAGATGGCGCTCTCTGTTGATCGGGGACCGCATGTGTTCGAAAACACGCAGTGGATGCAGCATGCGGCGGCGGCTGCATTGGCGCACTCTGGCGGGCAGTTTGTTGCGACTGGCGACAGGCAGCAGCTGAAGAACGTGCAACAAATGCAGGTCGCGACGTTCGGGTTATTTAAGTGCCTGCAAATCCAGAACGTTGGCGGGTATCGCTATCGCCTGGCGTGCGGGTCGAAACCACACATGACTTATGCATTGCAAATATGTCTGGGTCTGGAAGAATGCAGGAGTTTGTCATGCAGATTTTGCATGACCAGCTATAGGGTTTGTGATGCCTGCCCTAACGCCAGAGATTCTGCGAGGGCTTTCTGATGCTCATACCGCATGGGAAATGCCCTCTCCACATATCAAAAATCGGACGTCTTTTGCTGTTCATGCAATACAGATTTATTGTAGAATCCAAATCCAGCATCACCAGCTGTATCCTTCCAGACCCAGACATATTTGCACTGGATATGGATTCGGTGTCGCTGCAAATCAGCTGGAAGTACCTCATACAGCAGAACTCATCCAGAAACCAATCGAGGAAGCAAGGTATGGAAAATAAATTGAGCTCGTTTATTTTGAACAAATCTGATTGTCGCCACGTGGAAAAATGCCTTCGCTCCTATTTCTCGTTTTCTCTTCTCTCTAGATTAGTCTCGAAGCAGCGAGGACTACGTTAAAAGCATTCGGCGCACTACGTTTTTTACAAGATGCAAAGCACTACATCACATGACAAACTCGACGTTTGGGCGCAGCTTGTTCTTCAAAAAGCTCGTTTATTCTTCCTCCGCATAAAACAGTCTCGTGGCGTCGGATTTCGTTTTTTATGGAAAGGAAAAATCATAGACGAGAGAGCTACAAAAGGAGATGAAAGTTGTCGGTGTTTGCATAAACTACCCAAAGAATTTCGGTTTCAGCACGTTCGTACAGCTTTTAAAAAGGAGAGAATTGTCACACCGTGAATAGACGTTCGACAAAAACAAGGAGCCGTCCACCTCTACATCTTTCTGCGCTTCTCGGCACTAAAATAGTCAAAGCACTTTCCAATTTTCGTACGGTGCGGTCCAGTACTGCGGGGACGAGGAAAGGTAGTGTGGTACTAGTATTCATTTTTCTTGCAAAAGCATCGCATTGATAGCACAAATCGCATGACAAATTTATGGAAGATGAAAAATGGAGTTTGTTTTTGTACGCATGCAGACTTAGGTATAGAAACCAGATATGCCAACATGCATGGTTGCAATTCGTATCACTATCAGCACGATGCTTTTTGCAGTGAATAAGTGAGTGCTGCGAGGGTGGGCGTTCTGGGGAAGTAGGCGCCATTTCGTGCTGCTGCGGTGGCGGTGTCAGGTCATCAGCTTCGGCGGGACTCCTCCCTCTACTTTCATCGCCAGCTACACGACTCTCCCCCGCTGGTCGTGCTTGTGTTCCACCAGCCTGAATTCCGCCCTGTCCACCTCCGCTTTATGCATTGCAAAAGTATCGCACTCGTATATTAAACGCATTACAAATTTCCTCAGCATGAGAAATGAAATTTGTAATGCGGATCTACCTTAAGATTACAATTTGTAATGCATGATTCCAATACGATTATCAGATACTTTTGCACAGGGTACGCTTCTTCCGCCACCCATTCGTTCCGCCGCTTGGCTCGCTGTTAGTTCCAACAGACTGCTGCCATCGGAATTCGAAGCACTTATCCACGAAAAAAAGTCTGTAAGTGTAACTTTTTTGCAGGAACAGCATCACAGATTTGTTTCGCATGACAGAGAAAACCTGTCATTCGTAGCTAGTACGCGAAAACACGTAAGTACGAAAATTCCCTCTGATGCACATCCAGCATGACAAGTGTAACTGTATTGCAACGTCTGCAACACAAAGTTACACTTACACAGTTTTTTTCTTGCATAGCGCTACCCGAAGGTCCTCTAGCGGCACTACTTGCTCTATCGCTCCTGCTAACGTACGTCGGTGAAGAGGCAGGACGAGCAGTAGCGGTCCCTGCTGTGGTCAACTGCTCCTGCCAATCTACTGGGCTGGTTTCTATAGTTGGAAGTGCATTGCTGTTGCTGTTTTCAGGACCACCTCGACTTGGAATTTGTATTGCAGGTCTACTCGCTGCATCTTCCTGTCCTACTGCTCTGCGTCTGGCTTCTTCGCCTATGAGAGTGCACAACTCCCCCTCCCCCTCATTTGTCATGCAAAACACCAAACCCAATCTTTGCCTTGCGGCACTGTTCGCATGACAAGTTCTGGCAGCCCAAACAAAACTACACTCCTGTGCTGGAATTTTGTCATGCAAGACCTGCATTCTCGCTGACGCTTGTATTGCTGTGGATGCTCTACCCGAATGAGGGGGAGAGGAAGTTGTGCACTCTCTTATCGCCCACGCCGACCTCATTTCCATCTTCATCCACGGTCCGGAACTTCTGCGCGACATTTGTTATGCGTTGCAAAACTATCCTACTAATTGCAATCCAGCATGACAAACTCTCTTTCTCTACCTGTCCTCGCATGACAAACTCCATTGTCGTTGTTCCTGGGAACAAATTTTTTCGTGCAAGTTCGATGTTGACTAGTACGGCACAACTTTTGCAACACATATTCGTTCGCGCCCGGCAAATCGGGCACTTGAGCTGCTTGTAGCCCTTCGTTGTGACATGGTGTTTCAAGTGCCGAAACAGGCACTCTTTGTGGAACACGTGCCTGCACTATCCAAGAAAAAAACTGTGTTAGTGTAACTTTCTTTGGCTGACAGCATCACAAATTTGCTCTACATAACAGAGAAAACCTGTCATGCGTGGCTGGTAAGGGAAAACACACATGAAAAGAGGACTTCGTGGTTGTCTGGCATGACAGACGTAACTCTGTTGCATGTTCTGCATTACAGAGTTACACTTACACAGTTTTTTTCTTGCATATGCACTGCGGTAAGGCCCGCACCTGCTCGTTGAGGCGGGCCAGGGTCTCTTGTTCCGTGTCGTCCGTTATTTCCACTGAAGATGCGTTCGTACTAGGCGTTGTTGTACCTCCATGCTGCGAGGAGGTGGTGGTGGAGCAAGGTGTTCTCGTGGATGTTGGTGTAGGACTGCTGCTTGTATTTTTATCAGTACCTCCCGCTTCTGCGCTGCTGGTGCTTCTGTCACTGCTACTTCCAGCTCCTCCCCGACCTCCGATAGTGGTGTCCTCATCTCTAGTGCAGCCCGGCCGCCGCCTGAAGAACCACTGTGAAGTAGACGCGTGATACGTTATTGAGAGGAAAAATCCCCCCTCCCCGTATTGAAACGGTATGCTTCCGCAAATTTGCGTTGCTGATTCGTGGCCACAAATCACATTTGTCCTGCAAGAAGACAAGAGCAGAAGCTTCCGTCCCATCATGGAAGCGCTTTGCCATGCTAGTGGGCCTGAAGGGGAGCCGTTTGCAATGCTGAACAACTAGACCCAAACGCCCCTACGTAGGCTGAGGATCTGGCGGCGGTGCCTTCCTGCAATACAAAGCGTATTTGTGTACACAAATCCAGCATCAGAAATTTCGTTTTGATATGGGGAGGGAGGAAATTTTCTTTTGATATACGTCTTCGCCGCTGCCCTTGTCGCGAACTTCAGTTTTCCACTATCCTCCGCGACCTCCGTATGGGAGTGTCAGGATCGAAATTAACAAAATAAAAATTCTGTAATGCATAAAATGCTACGCAAAAAGCGACTCTAGTGCAGAGGATGCAAGGGAGGCGGATTGTCGTCGTGGTAAGGGTTGAGAAGTCTTGGGCTGCTGACTAGCATGACAGAAGGCAGCTCTTTTGCCCACCTAAACCGCATGACAGATTCGCTTCCAGGACTGGGAGAATTTGTCATGCGCCCACTACAAACTGTGGGTCTAACTGGCATCGATTTTGTGCATCACAAGTTTTTCGATTTTGTCAATTTCGAGTCTGACACTTCCATACTCCAATGCTTCGTGTATTCAGAAGAAAAATTGATCGATATCGAATCAACTGCATCTTCGTAAAGACCCAACTCTTGTTCCATTCACGATTTTTCGATTCCTCGTGACAGATAAATGCAGAAGTCTCATGCAGGTGCAGCGATTTTAATTTTTGCAATCTGATGCAGAGTCATCAAAAATCACTCAACACTCGGGTCCTCTCGCGATTTGGTTGAGACGACAAAACGCTTTCTGCAACCGAGATACTATCTTCCGCCGCGCTTTTATGGAAGTGTCAGAATCGAAATTGACAAAGTCGAAAAATTACTATTTAGACTGCAGCAAACCAGAACTTTTGAAGCTTTGGGGTATGTTCTGGGGTATGCAAAGTGGCTGCATAGCATCGGGATTCGTAATTTGCAGGCCACACCCCAAAACATACCCCAGACACACCCCCGACACACCCCAGACACACCCCCCCGACAAGAACTGCTGAAGCTTTGGGGTGTGTTCTGGGGTATGCAAAGTGGGTGCGTAGCATCGTGATTTGCAATTTGCAACCCACACCCCAAACACACCCCGGACACACCCCAGACACACCCCAGACACACCCCAGACACACCCCCGACATACCCCAGACACACCCCCGGCCCACACCCCCGACACACACCCCAGACACACACACACAAACATCCGACACACCCCAGGCAAACCCCGGGGCACACTCCCGAACACACCTCGGGGAAATACAAGCCGGACACATCGTCCCCGAACAGACCCCGGGCGCGTTCGGACGCGACTCCGAATGGCATGGCCAGCGAGTGTCAACAAAGATAAGCAGGCCCACTCGGGGGGGTGGACCCCGCGAACCCACTCGCCGCCGTGCCTTGGGATGTGTTTGTTGTTGGTTTGCCCCGTGCGTAGACATTCCGGGCGCGCCGATCTACCAAGCCCCACGCGGGTGCCTTTTCTGCGCCGACAAAACAAGCGCGCGCCCGACTGAGAATGAAAGGTGGGCGCGTATCTATGGGCCCTGCGCTTTTCTGCAGAGATAGCACAGAAATAACACGGAAGCGAAGGGCCACAGGGGGCTCCTTTTATTCTATTCATACACGCCACCACCCAGGCCAAGAACGCCGGGCGCGTCGGCTTTTATTCCAGACCAAGCACAACAGTGGGCCCGCTTGGCGCAAACACGCAGGCACAGAGAGCGACGGGCGCGCAAACATTCCAGGAGGCGGATCTCCCGAACCCCCGTAGGCGGTCCCGCCCCCATGTGGGCATGGGCCCCCGCGGTGGCGCCACGTCCAAACATGTGAGAGCGCCTCCCGGGCACCGCAGGCTGGCACGGCCCGCGGCCGGCCGGGCAAGTGCCCAAGGCCAACGCGAGGACTCTGCGCCCGCGCCATGACCGAGGGGCGAGCTTTGGGCGCCTGCATCCCGGAGGGAACACCCCATGGCCCGGGCGCCAAACCCCTAGGCAAACGGGGAGACCCTGTCCCAGCGAGCGTCACCACATGACGGAGGGGCTACCTAGTGGTCACGGGCCCACCCTGCCGGCCCGGACACCGCATGGCCCAGGGGTAAAAGCCCTAGGTCAGCGCGGGGACTCTGTCCCCGCGCCATGACCTAGGGGCTAGGTAGCTTTAAGCGCTTCCCGGACAGGCAGCGAGGGAGCGCGCGGCCCAGGGGTAAAAGCCCTAGGTCAGCGCGGGGACTCTGTCCCCGCGCCATGACCTAGGGGCTAGGTAGCTTTAAGCGCTTCCCGGACAGGCAGCGAGGGAGCGCGCGGCCCAGGGGTAAAAGCCCTAGGTCAGCGCGGGGACTCTGTCCCCGCGCCATGACCTAGGGGCTAGGTAGCTTTAAGCGCTTCCCGGACAGGCAGCGAGGGAGCGCGCGGCCCAGGGGCAAAAGCCCTAGGTCAGCGCGGGGACTCTGTCCCCGCGCCATGACCTAGGGGCCAGCTTTGAGCGCTTCCCGGACAGCGAGCGTGCGGCCCAGGGGCAAAAGCCCTAGGTCAGCGCGGGGACTCTGTCCCCGCGCCATGACCTAGGGGCCAGCTGCAAGCGCTTCCCCTTCCCGAACACGGCCCCGGGGCAAAAGCCCTAGGTCAGCGCGGTGTGGACTCTGTCCCCGCGTCATGACCTAGGGGCCAGCTGGATGGAAGCGATTCCCGGGAGCCGTACGGCCCAGGCGCAAACGCCGCAGGTCAGCGCGGGGACTCTGCGGCCGGCCTCTTGCTTTCAGTATAGGTAGCAAGCTCAAAGTTTCGAAATTTCTGGCGTGCTGTCCACGTATCTGCGTGCGCCACGTCCTGCAAATGGCGGGAAGGTCGCTGCACGGGGGCCCCCGCCCCCGTGCCCTGACCTTGTTTGTGATGCACAAAATCGATGCCAGTTGGAGCCTCACTTTCCAAGTGGCGCATGACAAATTTCGGAAGCACCCAAACCCAGTCTGTCATGCTGTTTGGGCAAAGAAGACTTCTCCTGTCATGCTACTCTGGCAGCACATTGCATACTCCTAAACGGGCTTACATTCGGTCGTATGTGCCTGCTCCCCAATACAGGCCTTCAGTGCTCTACATTTTATGCATCGCAAATTTTTCGATTTTGTCGATTTCGATCCTGACACATCCATAACTTTCACTTTCCCCACCCGCGCCGCGGCGCCTCTCTGCCATTTCCATATGAACTGCAAAAGTATCGTACTCGTAGTAGTTGCAGTCATGCATTACAAATCTTTTTCGTTAGGTAAATCCGCATTACAAATTTTATTTCTCATGCTGAGAAAATTTGTAATGCATTTATACGAGTACGATACTTTTGCACGACAGGATATTCCAAGTTTGGCGTGAAAACATCCTGCAGAAACGTGACGAGCGAGGGATGTGGTTCTTGACGAGCGCCCGTTTCTTCTTGCGCCGGCGCACTTGTTCTACTGGCAACTCGTGTACTAGTACTTGCTACTGCGCCGTCTACTTCTATCCGCCCCGGCACCACCGAAATCTCTTCCACACAAAGCTCCGCAATCTCGACGGCTTTCAGGTTCTGCTGCAGAAGCCGCTTCAGCAGCTCCTTTTCTTCCGTTGCAGGTGCTAGCTCCGGGAAGATCTTCTGTGTTGCACGCACCGCATTGCAACATCTGCTGAAACTGCTGCTGTGTTGTAGAAGTTGCGCTAGTCGTGACGTCGTCTTCTTCCTGCAGTGGGCAGAGGCAGATCGCGCAATTCTCTTCTTGCTCGACAGGTGAGTCAGTACTAGTCGCAAGAAGGGATGTTGTAGTAGTACCACGCTGTAATCCACGACCCCGAGTCCCATCTCCCTCTCCGTTTTGGTATTCTTGGTCGTCCGAAGCCGTTCTAGTTGTACGATGCGTCGAAATTATTCCGGTGGCTCCAGCAGCTTCGACGTCCACCTCTTCTTCCGCCGTCTGAAGAAACGGCTCATACCTCGCCGTTGATGAAAACGAGGAATGAGCACTCCGGCCGCGGCCACTCCTACTCCCCGTAGCATGATCCCCCGCAGCCCATCCTCGCGGCGAAAAGCCCCGCGTCCTTGTCGTAAGTTCCGCCAAAGGCCTGTCGACCAAATTCCGTCTCAAATTTGACCCGGCGCCCCGCAACAAAGAGGCTGCGTTCACGAAATACAACTGTTCCTCCCTCGGGCCGCGGGGAGAGAGGGTCCGGTAAGAGGTCGAGCTTCGGTGGTTATTTCGTGTTGTACTTCCACGACTGTCTGAGGCGAAAGTAGATGCCGGACGATGTTGTCCAGGTGCTGTTGCTCCGCGCACGAAGGAGGCGGCTTCGGCGAAGGTAAAAAACTGTCGGGTTTGTTCCAAGCGAGTTGTACTAGGCCCCCTGCATGTACTAGAGACCCTCCCTGCAGCTGTCTCGTCGCACTCACACAGTGGATCTTCTGCTCGTTGAGCAGTCCCTTCATCGTCATGTTGTGGAACAAGCAACAGGAAAGCAACCTGTACTACGACAAGAGCAGCTAGTACTACAGCGCATGCGCGAGTATTACAACTGCGGCGAGGAGAAGAAGATGTACCTGGCTGTCGTGAGGAACCATGTAGTGCAGCAACACGACAGGCTGTAAAGATGCACAGGTAGCAGGACGAAGATCGTCCACCAAGAAGGGCTCTACTACCCTTCTTTCCGCGCATCCTTTCCTTTTGCTAATTGCACGACCACCTCCTGCTCTGAGGGCACGAACAACATCCGAAGCGGGCTTATTTCAATACATCATGCTGAAAACGACGAGCCACGCCGGTGTAAAAAAGGCGGCGGCGACCTAATAAATATTTACACGAGATTCATCGACGACACTTGTTCAACTTAGGGTAGGTGCGTTAGGTATTCATGGTCTTCACCGATTCCGATTGGCAAAAAAAATAGTTATGTGAGACCGACAAAACACTTGGCTCCGAAACGGGCGAGGCCCGCAACCGCGGCCACTAGGCTCGTGACGGCCAACTAGCTGCAACACCATCCAAGAGCCACCTTCATGGGCATTCACGAGCAGCCTGCCCCTTTGCCTTTGCCCCCCGCGGCTATTGACCGAATTGCAGGCAGCATGATGAATGATCCGTTCGAATTATAAAGACGAAATAAACACGTAACGACGAAGTGAACAAACACACTAGTGGTCGAAGGAGGGCTTCGTCTCTAGTATCGTGCTCTACTACACTTCTTGTTTCAATTTTTTTTTCCATTAATTATCATACACCAATCATACACGAAGATCTCCATCACGATGTTGACTTATGATAGTCGGCATTTTTGATTTTGGCAGAGACACTTTTACCCATGGTCATCCTTGTGCTATCTGTAGTAGGGAGTAACGTAGCTAGTCATCACCAGCATACGGCGACTAGAGGTTTAGTGCAGCAGATATGGAGGTACACGTAGTTCGACGTGGCCGATCTTTCGACGAAGACAAGCTTCGGCAGCGCTCTGCAGTGTCACTGATATTAGTCCGCCTCCGCCATGCTGTATACTAATCCTGGTACAGAAAGCGCTAGAATTTTTGCCTCATACAGGACGCAGACAGGTAAAGGAAGTCAACATGGTTAAATGCCTCGATAGTCTCCTCTTCAATAGACAGCAGGACGACCTCCACCATGTAGTTGTAGTTCTAATTTCGACGAAAAAAAAAGAATGATTGTGATAGGAAAGCCCGCTTTGTAAATGAAAAATGGAACGGAAAAACAAGATGCCGTAATTTTTGTTCAGAAATGATCATACAAGGCTTCATGTTCTTCTTGTTCGTGATTTTTACTCTAGTAGTTCTTTAATTTGTTGCACAAGAGTGAACAATTAAGTGGACCAAGATATTTGTTTCCCCTGCTACACAAGAACTCGCGTACCAGGAAAAACTTTCTTTCGATGCTGTGTTGTGAGTAGGTAAGAAATCAGAAATCTACTTTTTGTTCGTGTGATATATGCATGAGAAATCTACTTTAACTTTTTCCCGCCTCCGCCCTGGGAGCAGAGACATACACTTGCATTTCGTAATACTCGGCACGACCTGGAGATCGCATCGCGATCTTGAAATACATTCGTCATCTGTTTTTTTACAACACACTTTAAAAATTTGATTTGTCTTACACCAAATGTTCCCCTAGCGCCATCCACATGTTATTCAGGGTAAGACTTTTCGTTCGACCATGCTGTGTGAGTTGACGTTGAATCTCCAGGAGCTTGTCTTTGTGCTCCGAATCGTTCTCGATTGCCATGGCCGGTCTGGCAACATCGGCGTTGGTGTACTGCAAATTCAGCGGAAAGTAGTCTTTGTACACCTCCACTAGACGCTGATTCACGAGCTCTTCGAAAAACACGAAGTCCCTGGGCTGTATGGAAGGGTCATATTCGAAATCGACAAAGTTAAAATTATAATTTGTTGTGTTTTTTTTATTCATGCACCAAATGCATTGTGGCACAAAGCGCGTGCTCTCTTGCAGAGAAGGCAATTGGGGGCGATCGTACGCCTGTACGGGGTTCGAGATCACACAGAAATGCTAAAGAAGCATGATAGAAGCAATCTTGGTCTTCTTTGCCCAAACAGCATGACAAACTGGATCTAGGTGCTACCAAAATTTGTCATGCGCCGGCGCGTAGAAATTGGGCTCTAATCGGAGGCATCGACTTTACGCATCGCAGACATTTTCGACTTTGTCAACTTCGACCGTGATGCGTCCATAAGGTCTCCTCCGTCCCCATTCGGCAGGTCGGTGGACGGGAACGGCTGGCCTCTCGAAAGGTCGCGTTCCGCGCGCTTGCCGCCGATGGCGAGGCCAGGGTTGCGCCGGTGCAAGATGTCCTCCTTCGATAATTATGAAACGAGTAGAAACATATTTCCCAGGACCGCAGCTGCACAGCTTTTCAACATCTGATAAAATAGTCATGATAATGGCTGCACTACAAAATTTTACCCCCCCTACAACACGAGAAAGAGCATGTTAAACCGGAGTTGTCAGTCTTAGTGCGTAGCAGAGCAGGCGCATTGGTGGCTACTTTCGCGTGCACAGATCAGTTGCGACCTGCCGTTGCGGCCTCTCGTGAGATGAGTTGCTTTATTGCCGAAACTTGTAGTACTTCTACTTCGCTGCCGAGAAACGGTTCTGGTGTTATACGTGAGGTTCGCATTTCATAACCCTCCGTGCTGAGCCCTCTCGGGCGTTCCTGGACGACTTTGCCCTGCTCGCTGACAACCACGCTTGGCGGAGCGGGGTACTTCTTCTAATGTCGGATAACAAGCCTCGGCCCCGAGCAGAGGCGATGGGACGTACGGCATGCCCAGAAATTCCGAAGATAAAAAGGACGCGCCCGCGTAGGAACCACCCGCAGGAGAGGGAGCTGGTGCTGCAGCGGACGACGACGAGGCAGAAGACCCACCAAAGGGATAGCCAGGTGCCGGCTGCGCCATCTCGACGTCGCCGTGCGCAACGGGGATAGTTGTCGCAGGCTCCATCAATGTGTCCTCATCATCGCTGTTATCAGGGACAGGAACTTCCGCCGCAGCAAGCAGTCGCAGGCGTGCGGTCTCGGCACTAGGTGCGCGGCGTTTATTATTCCCGGAGGACCCTCGAGTTGCCAACACCCGAACCGCGTTTGCGGAGAGGGGAAAGAACAGCGAGGCGGCAACAACCACCGTGGCGGAGCACAGACCGGCAACGCGACGAGGAGAAAAAACTGCTGGGCCGGCCATTTTTACGAATTTGTATTTCTTGGATCGGTATAGCTACAGTAAAGTACGAAATGAATTCGTACGAAGAAAGTAGCCCTCCTGATGAAGTACGTTGCGAGAAAACCAAAGAAGGGGAAAAACGAGCGAATTTATGTGTACGTCAAGACCACGGGCTTGGAAAGTAGATGTTAGGCGAAAAACTGATTTCAATTAGCAGAACAAGTGTGTAGTAACGCGTCTTCGTAAATGTTTGCGTGCAGTCGAACTGGAAAAGACCTAAAGTTTTGCGAGTGCAACTTGTATGTTGAGTGGTATTTGTACTGTATAGTTGTAGTCTTCACGAGCGCGGCAGTTTGCAGTTGTACTTGTTGTAGTTGGCAGAAGAAAATATGTTTTCCAGATTTTCGAATCTCTGTATTTATGTGAAGTCAAAGTAGAACGCTGACCAGCAACATTCACGACAGTGTGCTTCCGATTTTTGGCCACAAAGACCACGATGGGAAAGCTTCTTACGCCGAGCCCCAAAACTACTTCCAAAACAGATCTTGATTGACATTTTATTGCTGCCTTTTATTTTCCATTAGTGCCGATCTTTGATTTGTATTTGTTATTATGATGATCTCAGTGGACATTGCGCCGCCAAGTTATTTCCATTTGCATCGTCGATTTGTGTTCCACTTTCGTTCCACCACGAAGTAGCCTTTGGCCTCTGTAGAGCCAACTGTTGCTTTCCGAAAAAATGCGAGTTGGATTTCCTGTTGTGTGATCTGCTCATTAGGTCGCACACGATTGCATTTATGAACCGAGTCGGTCTGCTCGACATATTGGATCCGATCCTCATAAAAGCAGCAGTATGACCAAGGTTTTCCTGCGCACCGGGACTGAATTGATCATGTCTTTGATGCGATAAAAACGGAAGAAGGATCTTCTGGGCAATTTATGGTCCTTGTTGTCCTGGATCTTTTTCTTCAAGCTTCCAGCCTCATCGGCCAACCGAACAAAACCGCACACACGGCATGAAGAGAAAGAAACAACATGTTCATTATGTGCGAATCATGAAAGGTTGAAGGTAGAGGTTGAAGGCTGTTTACAAGATGGCTGCTTCGTCGTTTTCGTCTCTCAGCCCTCAGCGGATGAAGGGCGCAGTGGTGCACACTGTCCCGCTCAAAGGGTACGGCTTCATCCGCCCTACGGCTGCCAGCTGTCGGGATGGAGATTTTTTCTTCCACTTCTCACATGTCAACTTCATTCCTGCATATGGGATCAGCGTCAACTTCATTCCAGTCGAGGGCAAGCCGGGCAAGGGGATGTGTGCCCGGTACGTTCGCCGTGAGGAAGTACATGTCGCCGCTGATGACGCAGACCAGACCGCTGGCGTTTCTCCAACACAGCGCGAGGCCCTGGAGAGGGTGGGACACAATGTGGCCGATGTGATCCCGCGTGAGATGCTGGCCCTCTACGAGAAAATGAAAACCATGCCAGAAATTGCGGCCCGCTACGAGAAAGGCTTGGTCGAGAAGATGCACTCCATCACCAAGCTCGAGGAACGGGTCACCAAGGTGGAGGAGGCCGTGGAGGGCTTCTCCAAGAACCTCAGCGAAGGGACCGCCACCGCGTTCAGCACGACGCTGCTGCCGCAGGTCACCACGCTCCTCGAGGCCTTCAGCGGCAGCGCCAAGAACGGCAAGCCAGTGAAGGGGCAGGCCTTGGGTGACTCTGACAAGGGGCGACCGGGCAGCTTCGACATCGTAGCGACGCTTGCCGATGGCGCCGACTGCGAGAAGGAGACGCAGAGCAGCAAGACTGGCCGCAGCGTGCCCAGCTTTGACCAGTCCAAAACTTTTAGCACCGAGGCAGGTCCTTCTCCACTTTCTGCGGCAGCCGTGCGATTTCCTTCTTCCGCGAAGTTGCAGACCTTGAGCAAGTCCCGACCCGCCACTGGGGCCAGCCGAATGAAGCCAACTGCCGGAACCATTGCGCCGGAAAGTGGAAGCGGGTCTCCGACTGACGTGGCGACTGGTACTGCTTCGACTTCGACCCCGGAGCTGGTGTCGCCCTCTATGTCGACGGTCTCTTCACTGCAGAAGGGGCCCAGCTCGCTGTGTGTGGGAAAAAGCGTGACTGTTCAGCGTGAAGGTGCCGGTCGCGGCGAAGGAGCGCTTTCGGGTGAGGAGGATTTGCTGCTCTCCAGCCCCTTTGCAGACGAAATCATGGAGATTACCTACTTACGGAAGAAACAGGGGGTGGGCACGTGAGTTTGGGACCTGGATCTAGTTGCTATCTTCTAGCCGATTTCTTCGCTATTTCCTTTTGTTTTCAATTTTCATTCAGGAGCAGTATTCGTCTTTTCCATTTGTCTGTAGGTTGCTGTTGTTGTTTATTTTCATCTGTAATTAGGCTATCGCCATTACGACTACTGTAAGTAGGTAGGGTTTTCATCTCTCTGGAAGTAGGTAGGTTGGGCCATCGCTATCGCTGTTTTTTCCCACTGTTGTTTGTTTGTTGGTTGGTTGCTGATGTTGCCATGATGTTTCGCGACCAGACCGTCGGGCCCTCACCACGATTTTGGTGTGTGGCCTCGATGGTGGAACGCGCAGTTTTCCGTAGCCATTTTGGCTCAAGGAGCCTAACTTAGTAGAAACCTGTCGAGAGCGGGGCCCTCTGCACGGGGCCCCTGGAGAGTATGTGTAGGCAGCCGGGTGCAGCCGGCTGCGCCCTAGATTCATTTAGGCTACAAGGGAAAGTCACCGCCGTCCCCCCCAAGTTGGTTCCATCCGGCACCACCGTGCAGCTCTGTGACCCGAGGGAGAAAGTCACCAGCGCCAATCTCCAATCTCCGGCAGCATCTAGTGCCAGGCCGTGCAGCAACAAGGGCAAGCACGACGCGGCCGGTGGGGGTTTCTCCCTCCACCGCCAGAGGCATTGTGGCGCATACCGACCTCACCAAGACCTCCGCGCACCCCGGCTACGATCGGCGCGTCGGAATTGCGGCGACTGGCTACCCCGCAAAACCTCCTTCCTAGGCTAATTCGCACTCCGGAAGATCCTCGACGACGGTGGCCTGTTGTATGGCGCAAGCCGCCTGCCCCCGCAGGAGAACTTTCTCTTCGCGGCGTTTTTCAAAGATTTCTGGAAACCATACCTGCGAGAAGGACACTCTGATCGCAAAGATTCTGGAAGGCACGGGCGTGCAGTACTTTCTGGGCCAGGCTCGGGATGCCAAACGTGACGACGACTCTGTCGTCGGGGGTGTGTATGCAATGTTTGCGTGAAGTGGAGTATGGATGAACTTAATTAATTGTTTGCTTTAGTTTTTGTCATGCGTGATGTGTTTTTATAATTGCATTTGCATTGACTTTTGAGAGAACGTGCTTACGTGATCCTCTTCTTTGTTTCTTCGGTTCTATCCTGTCATCGTGCCTCAAAAAATCACCAATGTCAGGTATACTCGAGCACCACACGCGTCGCGACTGTTATGGAACTGGGACAAGCGACGGAACGAATGGCCACGGACGCGCTGCGCTTGGCGCTGCCTTCCTCGACGACGCTTGGCGCTTCCTGTGCTGCGGGGTCTTGCGCGGACACGTTCCGCGCCTTTGATGATGATGAAGCTGTGGGCAGCAAGGCTCCTGGCGAAAAAACTCTGTAAAGTGTGCGCGACGAGAAAAGAAAGAAGGCAAAGCGGGCGGCGTTAGTAGTAGTAGTAAAGTTAAAAAGGAGCTTTAGTGCTAGGTAGTTTTCGTACCCGGCGGTGTTCAGACCAAGAAGTGATAGATACACGTTTACTAGCGCTCCTGTTGTGGCAGGAATTAAACGTAGGAACTAACACACCGACCGGCGGTAGATAAACAGGGATGCTTAGAATTTGGCCTGCGGGCATAGAATAGTCCATCCCTCACACTGCTGTTGCGCCAGCAGATGTGGCGACAGGCGTGGCGTTCGCGGGAAGCCTCATGACGAGGATAGTTAGTTTTGTATGGCGGTCCATGTGACTGCAGTGCCGTGGCCGTCACTTTGCCTGCTCGTGTAGTACATTCCGCATAGCGCCCACCTTCGACGATTACAAATATTCGTAGCGCAAAAGACCTCCGTGCGGATCGTTGGCACTAGTAGCGCCCTAGACACCTCGGCCAAAGATGAAGAAGGTGGTAAATTTGTATACGTAAAGCAAAAAAAAGCTCCAGCTGCTCCAACGTTTCCGTTTCCAAAAAAAGTGAAAAAGTAAGTAGATCGTAAATTCCTATCGGCGAGTCCAGTGTAGTCGAGGGCGTCCCCACCTGTGTGCGAGTATATCTCCACTCGGGGAAAGAAGCGCCCGTGTGGGCCGGGCGGTTTCGATGCACTAGGGAAGTTTGGTAGAGGGGTTAAGGGTACTATCGGAAAACAAAAAAGAAAGACAAGTGATCCAGGCCGAGGTGATATTGCATGCAGTAGTTAGGAACTTGCATACTAGGACCAAATAGTTGTAAGTGACTGATAACTTAGACAGGGTTTTAGGGTTAAAGACGTGGTGCTCCCGTCAGGCGCGTGAAGTTATTTCGTTGGCCAAGTATAAGACTGCCGGCGTTCTTGTCGGGTTCATGGCCTATTTTCCCAGCCCCACCCAGTAAGCATGAATTTCAGGCCGGGGTTTGTATGATCACGTGGGGGGAGGACAAGTTCGTCGTTAGCCGCCTCTACTAGAACTTAGTATGCGTGGTCAAGTTATAGCTCATGAATAGCTCCAGCTGCACTCTTAAAGTTCTGGAACGCCGCCCCGCAGCCAAGCCAAGCCAAGACCTTTCTGATTCTGATTCTGACCAGCGGTGTTACAAGAGGACTTGTACCCTAAAACTTTACTTCACTTGCTCCTGTCATCAAAACTGCTCTAGGGGGGTCCGGTCGCCTCCAAACCAGTCTTTTGAATAGGTCCCCTGCTCAGGTCGGGCCCCACACTCCAATTCCAGTGCCATATCTTTAAATACCATATATCCTGCATTCACATTAAAATTTCAAAAATCGTACATGTTGTAGGGACTTTCAATCTTACATCTTATAGCATCACAAATTCGAAAAAGGTTCTTCAAAATGTTTGAAAACCTTACAAAACAACTCGTCGTCGTTTTGAACCAACTACTGTAGTGTTGTCCTATATTTCATCGTAGTGCGTATTACTTAATTACGAATCGGAGTCGAGCCATGATCGTAACCGGGCAAGCACCGTACTCATATTCTGCAGCGTGAAACTCTGTGTCCCGTACCCAAAAAGCTGGACTCGCCCGTGGTCGTGGATGGCGAGGACGTCTCGCAGTGCACACAAATCGCTTTTGTCCGCGGGCGAAATACTTGCCGTGAGCTCTGCGTTTGTGGGAAATTTACCGACGTACGCGTCGTTCTTATACAACGCAAAGTGTTCTATTTTGTACACTCTAACCAAGCCGTAACTGAAGGCCACTGACCTATCCCGAAACCCCGAAGCCACGGCTTGGATTTTTCCTATTAACTTCCTTTAACCTCCGAGCAAGCCGCTTAAGCCGAGCTTGGTAAGCACCTTACTCATATTTTGCAGCGTAGCACTTGGTGTCCCCTCTTTGTTCCCGAGCCTGCCAACATGGTAGTCGTGATGTCCGGCGAGGTATCCAGTGCAATAAACATCCTGTCTCGGACAACTGGAGGGAGAACCAGGATGCAAATTTGATGTGCTGCTGGCAGCTCTACTGTCGTGTGAGACAGAACTCCAACTCATCTGCACTGTTCGTTTCTATAGACTGCAAAAGCCTCTGCAGGTTTTGGTATTTCAGCTTCAGCACTGAGTACATAGAGCTTTGCCTTCTCAAAGTAGAACGTCTACCTCGTGATGTAAGGTTCTTGTATCTACTTCGGCACGCATAAAAATTCCACTAGAGCAACTTCTCCTGGTACCTTGGCTTTCGAAGTCGTGCTATATTGCATGAGCATGACAGCTGCCAACATCTCGTCTTGCATTCTTTTCCCCACCACCAGTTCTCACGCCGGGACATCAAGACGAATCTTGCAGTGGATACGAGAGAATCGTGGAGTAGCCGCAGGACCCCTTTGTCGTCGTCCGTGATTTTGTCGAGCGAAGTCCGCGGCGCTTTGTCTACGTAGTTGTCGTTCAACGGAAAAAACTTCTTGTACACTTCAATCAAGCCGTCTGAGGCCACTGACCTGAAAAAATTCTGATCCGCCTCGCAGCCACCGTCGCCTGGAGGCAGCTCGTAACCATCCGGAATCAAATTTCTTTACATTTCGGTGTCAACATCCATCATGATCTCCGGAGGTAGGTTGTTGAGCACGGCGGGCGGGGGCACAGGCACAGCAGATGTTGTACTTGGAGGGTCAAGTTGCACTCGTCCTAGTTCTTCATAATTTCCTTGGTCGTGGAGGCTACAAGGGTAATTGAAAGCTGAAGGACTTATTTCTATGCCTCTCTGGTCGTGCCTTTCTAGTTCTACTGCGTCCGCCATCGAAAGAGTCGTACTTCTATCCCTGATGTCCCTTCGCTGGGCCGCTGCGGTTTTTCTACGTCGGGCGGACGGGTCGTGGAAAGAAGTAGACGAGCTGCCAGCTGCGCCGGAAGTAGTAGAGGACGTCGCAAGAAAGCGCTTCTCCTCTATGCATTGCAAATATGTCTGGGTCTGGAAAAAAGCAACTTGTCATGGTAAATCTGAAGCATGGAAAAATCTGTGTTGCATGAGGGCCAAAAGCTGTCCACTTTTGACCAAGTTGGAAGGGAGTTTCTCATGCAGGATAGGCATGGCAGAGACCTCGCAGAATCTGTCATGCTAAGTCCCAGACTCAGACCTCATGGGTCATGGAAAATCTGCATGACAAGTCTGCATTCTTTGAGACCCAGACATATTTGCCTTTGATATCCTCCCCAATCAAGCCAAACCTTGCCAGCTTGCTGGGCTGCGTGTCGCCGTCGCCACGAATTGCTAGTTTGCGCAAAATATCCTGTGCAAAAGTATCCGATACTCGTAGTAATTATCGCAGTCATGCATTACAAGTTTCGCTTTCGTTCTCAAGTTCAATCCGCGTTACAAATTTCATTTCTCATGCTGAGGAAATTTGTCATGCGATTTATACCTAGTGGGCGCGATGCTTTTGCATTTCATAGAAAACCTTCTCTCGTTCTGGTTCGGTAATATGCAGTGCAAAAGTATCGTACTCGTATAAATGCATTACAAATTTCCTCAGCATGACAAATAAAATTTGTGATGCTGATTTACCTTAAGAACAAGATTTGTAATGCATGATTGCAATACGAGTACGATGCTTTTGCAGTTCATAGGTAAGTTCTTCCACCCAACTGTCCACCCAATGCGCCAGATGACCTCCTTATCCAAGAAAAAAACGTTGTTAGAAGTGTAAATTTGTGATGCGCAACATGCAAAAAGATTGCGTCTGTCATGCTTGGCATGCGTCGTAGGGTTCAGTAAAGGACGTTTTCACGTAGTATCTGCGCATGACAGGTTTTTGCTGTCATGCCAGACGAATTTGTAATGCTGTTCCTCCAAAAAAGTAACACCTACAACGTTTTCTTCTTGGATACTCCTTGAGGAGCACTGTCTTGATCTTCCCTTCCGCGGACAAGCATGCGCACTGCGTCTGCAGTTCCGACTTTTCCGAAAATCAGCTGCGGCCCGAAGAGGAGCGAAGCTCCAAGAAAGTTGTACAAGAACCCTGTTGCTGTGAATAAGCTGGCGCAGCTGCTGCAGACGCGACGAGAGACGGAAAGCGCCATTTTGGAGTCGGGAGGACGATAAAGCGTACGGAAGAAGATCGAAAACAAAGCGAATTTCTACTTGTTGAGGTCGTCGTATACTAAAGTTGCTATAAAACTTCAATTTTTGGCTGTTCTCTAGCCCTGGAAATAGGATAAAAACAGTTGTTGCAGTAGTAGATTTCGACGTAGTCCTCGCGCACCAGGACTAGAAAGACGTTTTTTACAGTTTTTATATCTCTAGAAGTAGAACCAACATCTTCAGACCATCGATGACAATAATCCAATTCTGTAGTTACACGTCCTGCGTGAGGTGATCCCATTCTGGGGTGCGCGAATTGCACCTGCACAACGTGTGTGGTGCGCGAATTACATCACGAATCTTTTCTTGCATTACTTTTCTAGACCCAGGCATATTTGCATTTGCTTTTGCGCTGGATAGCTGGATACAAGATTTAGGACAAAAACATTGCGAAGAAGCTCCTTGTTAGGGCAAGACCTCTACTTTCTGATCTGGTGCTCCACGGGGGATCAATTACTTTCTGAGCTCTCCTCCTCCATTGCTCTACTTTCTGATTCTCATCTGCTCCGCGGGGGATCAATAAATTGCGTCAATTAGCTGCACTGTATTAATTCTCGAACACTACAACCGCGTTGGGAAAAATCCAGGCTCGAGCAGCACCCCAAATTTTTTCACTTCTTGCTCCAAAAATTGCTCTAGGCTAGTATGTACCTGTTTCAAAAACTGCTTAGAAACTGCTGGCAACTGCCCAGTCAGCACATAAGCAAAGCAAAATCGGTATTTTGTCGTTAATTTTCCGCGTAATTCCACCGCGGCTCCAGCTTCCTGAAGCTGAATTCGGTAGCTTTTGAAATTTGTTCTTGCGCAAGAACAAGTACACGCGCAAGTTACAGCCCTCTTTTCGTTCCTTTCGTCTTCAAGTGTGCAAAGGCTTTTTACCCACCCACACGATACAGATTCCACCCAGCATTACAAACAAAAATGGCATTCGATTTGTTGGTCCTCCTGCATTGCATTCCCGCCCAATTTACGGCTCTACGCTGGGCGGCGCAGGATCTCAACCTTCAAACCACCACTGTAACCGAGCAAGCACCGCACTCATGTTCTTCAGCGTAACACTCTTTGTCGCCGTTCCGAGCTTGAGCCGGTAGTTGTGATGAGTGACGAGGCAGTCCCGCAGATCGCGGAGAACCCCCTTGTCCTGGGATGGAATCTCGCCAAGCTTCGCCTTGAGCTGTTGTGCGTTGCTCGGAAAAAAAAGATAGTTGTAGGGGTCGTTCAGAGGAAAGTGAAATTTGTAAACTGCAACCAAGCCGTCTGCAGCCATTGCCCGGAAGGCATGCTGATCCTCCAAGTCAGACCCGTCGCCACCTGTTGGAGACGTCATTACCGGGACTTCCCCATCCCAGCCGGGCAGATCGGTGTCTGGAATTTCGCTGTAGTTGTCGGTGTTCATCATCATCTGGTCGGCATGGTCTACTTCTACGTCCATCGCATTGGGATTTCCATCACTGGAGATGCGCGTAGCTCTTTGTCGACTCCGACTCCGACTCCGACGCCGCTCCCGATCATAAAGGTAAAGCTGTTCTTCCGGTACCTCTTCTACATGGAAAGTCCCTTGACGTCCACGACTTCCTTGCTGCCAATTCATTCGCACTGCATCTGCGGACATCAAGGCTTCTAGACAGAGCTGCGGCAAAAAGAACATCATGGGCGAGCCAAGAAAGACCTTTGATGCCGTCGTGGTGAAAAAGCTGATGAAGATCTTGCAGACGCGACGAGAAATAACGGGAAGTGACCTCCCACGAATGACCATTTTGGAGTCGGGGCGAGAGGTGGGGGAAGATGGAAAATATAGATGTATGAGTTCTTCTTGTAGATAGAGGGTCGTCGTCGAAGATTCAAAATCTGCGCTCGTGGAGGTCGTCGTACAGTGGGTCTAGAATTTGAATTGTTGGCTGTCTAGCAGCACTGGATGAATTGGAAATAGAGTCATACAACTGTTTTTGTAGTAGGCCTTCGATGAAAAATCCAATTCTGTAGCTCCACCTCCACCTGCAATTCTTGTTTTGTTTTGTCTTAGTTTTTTCGAATAAAGGGGAAAGTAAATTTTGGCCTCGAAAAAATTGTACACCAGAGCTACGGATAAATCGTAAGGTCGGAGTATATGACTCAGCTGCGGTTAATTATAGGGTGTTGATAGCCTTAATATCGTTATCGATGATACCGACCCCGGCGGTTGCAGAAGCCGAAGTAGGTGCACGAAAACGAATCTGGTTATTTTTTTTGTTGGGTATAAATGAATTTTCTGCCTCCACCTTTTGTCAGAGACAGACCGAGCTGAGTCCGCTTTGTCTAGGCCCTCTAGGCCCGGCCACTCTGAACGCCTAGACCGATCTGACTCCGCTCAATTCGTTCCGAATGTGATGGCTTTGCCCTCATAGTATTTGATGGGGGGTTCGTATCCCGACCAACGTCATTTCGAACCGATTTACACACACATCAGCCAACGAAGATTTTTCATAATTAGAGACCCTAACCCTTGCTCCTTTGACCGCACTTGCTCATTTTGATTCTGTGATCTTTGCAATCAGAACCTGATGGGAAAGATGTAGTGGAAGGTCATTGATCATGAGATCAAACTTCTAAGTAAACCGATTCTCGTGCAGCTTGTTCTAGCGGAGAAAGCACAGTAGAGGCTCACAGCTGGGATCCATACTGTCCGCATTTCGATGTACGAAGTTTGATCATTTTGGTGAAATTCTGTATAGACCAAATCGAGAGAAGATACTACGACGCGCTACTGGCCGGCGGAAGTAGCACTGTTTTGGACGTCGATCCTGAAGATCGATAGCTCCGCGCGAAGTTGTACACCGATTCATCAGCCTCCACAACACGACGACGGTCCTCGCATGAAAAAAAACAGAACTGTCTGCGTTTTTTCCTCTTGAAGATCGCTGACCAACGAACAGAGCAGGCGTGAGTAGTTGTCCCCGTATTTAAGGTTCATGTGAAGATTAAGAAAAAATCTTGTTCGAGGAGTCGTGCTCTTCGCCTCTCCGATCCGCAGGACCCGCCGAGCAGACACAGTGCGATAGACATAGTTTCTCTTTTGACACCCTAAGTCCTACTTTCCTTACTCAAAACGAGCAGCCAATGAAAAAACGAATAGTACCATCGCCATAGGCTGAAATCCAACTCACTAGCACCACCTCCCGGCGACCCGCCCTCGTACGGTAGTACTCAAGAGAATTCCAAGTGTTCCAGCTCGTGCCCATCTAAACATGGCGCAACTTCTTCTTCGTCAGCAGGAAGCTGCGGTCCGGAAGTAAAATAAACTGGACTCACTTTCTATCGTCGAGGAGAGCAGCCAAAGGAGTTGCATTTGTTTTCCCAGCCCCGTCATACTGTGGCGCTTCGATTGAAAATAAAAGCGCACAACATGATCATGAATAAGTGGCACAAAAGGTACGACCTAATCCAAAAAATTCCGTATGGTATGCTTGCGAAGTAGTTCTGGTAGGAGGTTAAATTTGTTAGGGTTTGAGTGGAGGTGCTACATGAATCATCATACAGGAAAAAATTTTGTCGAAAACGGGCCCTCCACAAATGAAGAGCCTCCACGAAGATCGGTAAAAACATAAGACACAATTATATTTTGCGACCAGAGTGCTTCTACGTCGCCAGCGCACAGCAACGAAACATTTATATATTCAGAAGAAGGATCACCAAAACTAGAGTTTATCGGTCGTTTTGACCGAACCGCCAAAAGCAGCACTAGCCTACGGACGCACCGAGTCCGGTGCTGGTGCAGCGGACGAAGGATCATTCGTGAGTTGCAAATTAAGTTCTTGTGCAGCAGACAAGAACCGCCCGCCAGAGGTGGATGCGGGTCCTGGTCGTCCCACGAGGTACAGCTTGGCCAGGTCCGTATCGAAAGGAAAAGACCCCCCTTTCCATATCAAAACGGAATTTCTGACGCTGGATCTGTGTACACAAATCAGCCTTGTATTGCAGGAAGGCACTGCGGCCAGTTCCCCAGGCTAGGTAGGGGCGTATGGGTCTAGTTGCTCAGCATGTCAAACGGCTCCCCTTTAGGCCCAACAACATGACAAATCGCTTTCATAATGGGGCGGAAGCTTCTGCCCTTGTCTTCTTGCAAGACAAATGCGATTTGTGACCTCAAATCAGCAACACAAATTTTCGGAAACATACCTTTTCAATATGGGGAGGGGGAGTTTTTCCTTTCAATATCCCGCTGCTCGTGAATCCCGGATCTCCGCGAGTTCATTTGTTGCAAATTTATCGCGATTATCAAATCTAAATTTGTCTGGGTCTGGAAGAATGCAAACTTCTCATGCATTTTTTCCATGCCGATGCCCCATGAGGTTTGAAATGCGAGACGTAGCATGACAGGTTCTGCGACGTCTCACTCTATCATGCCTATCCTGCATGACAGACTGCCTCTAAACTTGTTCAAAAGTGGACAGCTTTTGGTAGTCATGCAACACAAATTTGTGTACGATCCAGACTTAGCATGACAAGTTCGTGTCCTCGTCCCAGACCCAGACATATTTGCAATGCATAGCGATCCGCTTCAGTGATGTGCTGCCCGGGTTGTCCTGGTGCTGCTGCTGGAGTCCAGTATGCATTGCAAAAGTACACCCGTATATTAGTGGCACACGCATTACAAGCAGCTTATTTCGATGTCCCAAAAGGAGAGATGGATTTTTTTGTACTGCTGATTTATGATCACTTAGGACGAGCAGATCTGTCATGCACGCGACTGCAAAAATTATATTATGTAAGTACAAGTGAACGATAGTACTTTTGCACATGATATCCAACGAAGGTGGTATGCAACAGGCGGAGCATTTTTACTGCAAGAAAGCCTTTCTCTACTACTCCGAGCAAGAGACTCGTCCTTCAGAGCTTCTTTTGTCAGTGTCTTGTTGGTCAGCAACGGCATCTTTTGTCTCGACCATTCGGATCGCCTACCGTGTTCAAGATTCTCGGAGCTCCTGCCCGATGAAGGTGGAGCGGCCCCAGTCCCTGTCCCTGGTGCAGTTGTTCCGTCGCCGCTAGAAGCAGCCTTGTCGTCCTTCACGGTGCAGCTGTCACTCTGCTTGTGCCGCTTCCTCGGCGGCGCTCCTACCACATCCATGGACACCTTTCCAGTTCCATGCCACGTAACATCTTTAACATAGGGATACTCTTTTTCGCCGGGAAGCTCCTTTTTATCACGATCTTCCGCTGAAGCAAGCAGTGGTACTCCACCGCCTGGCGAGGAGGCCACGCGGCTGGCCGTCGAACCAGCGGAATCAGCTGCTGCTGCACCCACGTATCAACTGTAAAAATGTCTGGGTCTGGAAACTTGTAATGCTGGGCGGCGTATCATGAGGAGGCTACAAGTGCTGGCTCAGCATGACAAGTTTCTGAGCTTCTTAGTGTTGCCTATTCTGCATGACAGACTGCGTTTCTGCATGACAGAAAAATGGGAGCTTTGGGTAATGTGCAGGACAAATTTAAGAATCATGTGAGACAAGCATGACAAGCTTGCATTCTTCCAGACCCAGACATTTTTGCAATCCATACCACGGCGGAACTGCTGCACCCAAGCACCCACGGCGGAATCTGCTTTTCCGGGGCGTACTTGTCACGCAGAAGAATGGTATGCACTGCAAAAGTATCGCACTCGTAGTAACTGCAGTCATGCATTTTTCTATTTCTTTTTATAGGTAAATCCGCATATACAAGAAATTTTATTTCTCGTCACACTGAGGATGAAATTTTTTGTATACGAATTCATTATACGAGTATAGAAACAGATACTTTTGCAATGCATAAATGGCCGCCTTTTGCTTCTCCTTGCCACATTTGGTAAGGGTTTCCGCTGCGTCTTTTAGAAGGTTCGTCACATTGTCCTTCACGCCCAGTTCTTTCAACATGGCTACCAAGGCGAGCTTTGTCTCCACGGCGGAACTGCTGCATATGGCGTTCTCAAATTATCGGTTAGTACCTTCTCAACTGTTACATGAATTTGTAATGCAAGAATGCCAATGAAATTAAAAGTGCAAGGGTGAAGTAGAGCGCGGCTTTTGCATTACAGGTTCCGCACAGATTTAGATGCTGTTTGGCCATTTGGAAATTTGTCATGCGATAGTAAGCTTGATGATAGTGATACTGATGACAGTTTTGCATGACAAATTCATGTAACAGTTGAGAAGGTAACCGATTTGAGAGCCCCATACTGCACCCAAAAAAACACGGCGGTATCTGGCGGTTCCCCGGCAGACGAATGGTATGCAGTGCAAAAGCATCGTACTGCTCGTAGTAAAAATTGGCAATGATGCATTTTTATTTTATAGGTAAATCTAAATCCGCATTACAAATTTTACTTCTCACGCTGAGGAAATAATTTGTAAAAATGCGACGAGTATTATAGATACTTTTGTATAATGCATAAAAGGTATTGAGAGGAAAAATCCCCCTCCCCATATCGAAAAAGTATCTTTCCGAAAATTTGCATTGCTGATTTGAGGTCACAAATCACATTTGTCTCGTAAGAGGACAAGGGTAGAAGCTTCCGCCCCATTATGGAAGCGATTTGTCATGCTGTTGGGCCTAAAGGTCAGCCGTTTGCAATGCTGAACAACTAGACCCATACGCCNATCTGAAGCATGCAAAAATCTGTGTTGCATGAGTGCCAAAAGCTGTCCACTTTTGACCAAGTTGGAAGGGAGTTTCTCATGCAGGATAGGCATGGCAGAGACCTCGCAGAATCTGTCATGCTAAGTCCCAGACTCAGACCTCATGGGTCATGGAAAATCTGCATGACAAGTCTGCATTCTTTGAGACCCAGACATATTTGCCTTTGATATCCTCCCCAATCAAGCCAAACCTTGCCAGCTTGCTGGGCTGCGTGTCGCCGTCGCCACGAATTGCTAGTTTGCGCAAAATATCCTGTGCAAAAGTATCCGATACTCGTAGTAATTATCGCAGTCATGCATTACAAGTTTCGCTTTCGTTCTCAAGTTCAATCCGCGTTACAAATTTCATTTCTCATGCTGAGGAAATTTGTCATGCGATTTATACCTAGTGGGCGCGATGCTTTTGCATTTCATAGAAAACCTTCTCTCGTTCTGGTTCGGTAATATGCAGTGCAAAAGTATCGTACTCGTATAAATGCATTACAAATTTCCTCAGCATGACAAATAAAATTTGTGATGCTGATTTACCTTAAGAACAAGATTTGTAATGCATGATTGCAATACGAGTACGATGCTTTTGCAGTTCATAGGTAAGTTCTTCCACCCAACTGTCCACCCAATGCGCCAGATGACCTCCTTATCCAAGAAAAAAACGTTGTTAGAAGTGTAAATTTGTGATGCGCAACATGCAAAAAGATTGCGTCTGTCATGCTTGGCATGCGTCGTAGGGTTCAGTAAAGGACGTTTTCACGTAGTATCTGCGCATGACAGGTTTTTGCTGTCATGCCAGACGAATTTGTAATGCTGTTCCTCCAAAAAAGTAACACCTACAACGTTTTCTTCTTGGATACTCCTTGAGGAGCACTGTCTTGATCTTCCCTTCCGCGGACAAGCATGCGCACTGCGTCTGCAGTTCCGACTTTTCCGAAAATCAGCTGCGGCCCGAAGAGGAGCGAAGCTCCAAGAAAGTTGTACAAGAACCCTGTTGCTGTGAATAAGCTGGCGCAGCTGCTGCAGACGCGACGAGAGACGGAAAGCGCCATTTTGGAGTCGGGAGGACGATAAAGCGTACGGAAGAAGATCGAAAACAAAGCGAATTTCTACTTGTTGAGGTCGTCGTATACTAAAGTTGCTATAAAACTTCAATTTTTGGCTGTTCTCTAGCCCTGGAAATAGGATAAAAACAGTTGTTGCAGTAGTAGATTTCGACGTAGTCCTCGCGCACCAGGACTAGAAAGACGTTTTTTACAGTTTTTATATCTCTAGAAGTAGAACCAACATCTTCAGACCATCGATGACAATAATCCAATTCTGTAGTTACACGTCCTGCGTGAGGTGATCCCATTCTGGGGTGCGCGAATTGCACCTGCACAACGTGTGTGGTGCGCGAATTACATCACGAATCTTTTCTTGCATTACTTTTCTAGACCCAGGCATATTTGCATTTGCTTTTGCGCTGGATAGCTGGATACAAGATTTAGGACAAAAACATTGCGAAGAAGCTCCTTGTTAGGGCAAGACCTCTACTTTCTGATCTGGTGCTCCACGGGGGATCAATTACTTTCTGAGCTCTCCTCCTCCATTGCTCTACTTTCTGATTCTCATCTGCTCCGCGGGGGATCAATAAATTGCGTCAATTAGCTGCACTGTATTAATTCTCGAACACTACAACCGCGTTGGGAAAAATCCAGGCTCGAGCAGCACCCCAAATTTTTTCACTTCTTGCTCCAAAAATTGCTCTAGGCTAGTATGTACCTGTTTCAAAAACTGCTTAGAAACTGCTGGCAACTGCCCAGTCAGCACATAAGCAAAGCAAAATCGGTATTTTGTCGTTAATTTTCCGCGTAATTCCACCGCGGCTCCAGCTTCCTGAAGCTGAATTCGGTAGCTTTTGAAATTTGTTCTTGCGCAAGAACAAGTACACGCGCAAGTTACAGCCCTCTTTTCGTTCCTTTCGTCTTCAAGTGTGCAAAGGCTTTTTACCCACCCACACGATACAGATTCCACCCAGCATTACAAACAAAAATGGCATTCGATTTGTTGGTCCTCCTGCATTGCATTCCCGCCCAATTTACGGCTCTACGCTGGGCGGCGCAGGATCTCAACCTTCAAACCACCACTGTAACCGAGCAAGCACCGCACTCATGTTCTTCAGCGTAACACTCTTTGTCGCCGTTCCGAGCTTGAGCCGGTAGTTGTGATGAGTGACGAGGCAGTCCCGCAGATCGCGGAGAACCCCCTTGTCCTGGGATGGAATCTCGCCAAGCTTCGCCTTGAGCTGTTGTGCGTTGCTCGGAAAAAAAAGATAGTTGTAGGGGTCGTTCAGAGGAAAGTGAAATTTGTAAACTGCAACCAAGCCGTCTGCAGCCATTGCCCGGAAGGCATGCTGATCCTCCAAGTCAGACCCGTCGCCACCTGTTGGAGACGTCATTACCGGGACTTCCCCATCCCAGCCGGGCAGATCGGTGTCTGGAATTTCGCTGTAGTTGTCGGTGTTCATCATCATCTGGTCGGCATGGTCTACTTCTACGTCCATCGCATTGGGATTTCCATCACTGGAGATGCGCGTAGCTCTTTGTCGACTCCGACTCCGACTCCGACGCCGCTCCCGATCATAAAGGTAAAGCTGTTCTTCCGGTACCTCTTCTACATGGAAAGTCCCTTGACGTCCACGACTTCCTTGCTGCCAATTCATTCGCACTGCATCTGCGGACATCAAGGCTTCTAGACAGAGCTGCGGCAAAAAGAACATCATGGGCGAGCCAAGAAAGACCTTTGATGCCGTCGTGGTGAAAAAGCTGATGAAGATCTTGCAGACGCGACGAGAAATAACGGGAAGTGACCTCCCACGAATGACCATTTTGGAGTCGGGGCGAGAGGTGGGGGAAGATGGAAAATATAGATGTATGAGTTCTTCTTGTAGATAGAGGGTCGTCGTCGAAGATTCAAAATCTGCGCTCGTGGAGGTCGTCGTACAGTGGGTCTAGAATTTGAATTGTTGGCTGTCTAGCAGCACTGGATGAATTGGAAATAGAGTCATACAACTGTTTTTGTAGTAGGCCTTCGATGAAAAATCCAATTCTGTAGCTCCACCTCCACCTGCAATTCTTGTTTTGTTTTGTCTTAGTTTTTTCGAATAAAGGGGAAAGTAAATTTTGGCCTCGAAAAAATTGTACACCAGAGCTACGGATAAATCGTAAGGTCGGAGTATATGACTCAGCTGCGGTTAATTATAGGGTGTTGATAGCCTTAATATCGTTATCGATGATACCGACCCCGGCGGTTGCAGAAGCCGAAGTAGGTGCACGAAAACGAATCTGGTTATTTTTTTTGTTGGGTATAAATGAATTTTCTGCCTCCACCTTTTGTCAGAGACAGACCGAGCTGAGTCCGCTTTGTCTAGGCCCTCTAGGCCCGGCCACTCTGAACGCCTAGACCGATCTGACTCCGCTCAATTCGTTCCGAATGTGATGGCTTTGCCCTCATAGTATTTGATGGGGGGTTCGTATCCCGACCAACGTCATTTCGAACCGATTTACACACACATCAGCCAACGAAGATTTTTCATAATTAGAGACCCTAACCCTTGCTCCTTTGACCGCACTTGCTCATTTTGATTCTGTGATCTTTGCAATCAGAACCTGATGGGAAAGATGTAGTGGAAGGTCATTGATCATGAGATCAAACTTCTAAGTAAACCGATTCTCGTGCAGCTTGTTCTAGCGGAGAAAGCACAGTAGAGGCTCACAGCTGGGATCCATACTGTCCGCATTTCGATGTACGAAGTTTGATCATTTTGGTGAAATTCTGTATAGACCAAATCGAGAGAAGATACTACGACGCGCTACTGGCCGGCGGAAGTAGCACTGTTTTGGACGTCGATCCTGAAGATCGATAGCTCCGCGCGAAGTTGTACACCGATTCATCAGCCTCCACAACACGACGACGGTCCTCGCATGAAAAAAAACAGAACTGTCTGCGTTTTTTCCTCTTGAAGATCGCTGACCAACGAACAGAGCAGGCGTGAGTAGTTGTCCCCGTATTTAAGGTTCATGTGAAGATTAAGAAAAAATCTTGTTCGAGGAGTCGTGCTCTTCGCCTCTCCGATCCGCAGGACCCGCCGAGCAGACACAGTGCGATAGACATAGTTTCTCTTTTGACACCCTAAGTCCTACTTTCCTTACTCAAAACGAGCAGCCAATGAAAAAACGAATAGTACCATCGCCATAGGCTGAAATCCAACTCACTAGCACCACCTCCCGGCGACCCGCCCTCGTACGGTAGTACTCAAGAGAATTCCAAGTGTTCCAGCTCGTGCCCATCTAAACATGGCGCAACTTCTTCTTCGTCAGCAGGAAGCTGCGGTCCGGAAGTAAAATAAACTGGACTCACTTTCTATCGTCGAGGAGAGCAGCCAAAGGAGTTGCATTTGTTTTCCCAGCCCCGTCATACTGTGGCGCTTCGATTGAAAATAAAAGCGCACAACATGATCATGAATAAGTGGCACAAAAGGTACGACCTAATCCAAAAAATTCCGTATGGTATGCTTGCGAAGTAGTTCTGGTAGGAGGTTAAATTTGTTAGGGTTTGAGTGGAGGTGCTACATGAATCATCATACAGGAAAAAATTTTGTCGAAAACGGGCCCTCCACAAATGAAGAGCCTCCACGAAGATCGGTAAAAACATAAGACACAATTATATTTTGCGACCAGAGTGCTTCTACGTCGCCAGCGCACAGCAACGAAACATTTATATATTCAGAAGAAGGATCACCAAAACTAGAGTTTATCGGTCGTTTTGACCGAACCGCCAAAAGCAGCACTAGCCTACGGACGCACCGAGTCCGGTGCTGGTGCAGCGGACGAAGGATCATTCGTGAGTTGCAAATTAAGTTCTTGTGCAGCAGACAAGAACCGCCCGCCAGAGGTGGATGCGGGTCCTGGTCGTCCCACGAGGTACAGCTTGGCCAGGTCCGTATCGAAAGGAAAAGACCCCCCTTTCCATATCAAAACGGAATTTCTGACGCTGGATCTGTGTACACAAATCAGCCTTGTATTGCAGGAAGGCACTGCGGCCAGTTCCCCAGGCTAGGTAGGGGCGTATGGGTCTAGTTGCTCAGCATGTCAAACGGCTCCCCTTTAGGCCCAACAACATGACAAATCGCTTTCATAATGGGGCGGAAGCTTCTGCCCTTGTCTTCTTGCAAGACAAATGTGATTTGTGACCTCAAATCAGCAACACAAATTTTCGGAAACATACCTTTTCAATATGGGGAGGGGGAGTTTTTCCTTTCAATATCCCGCTGCTCGTGAATCCCGGATCTCCGCGAGTTCATTTGTTGCAAATTTATCGCGATTATCAAATCTAAATTTGTCTGGGTCTGGAAGAATGCAAACTTCTCATGCATTTTTTCCATGCCGATGCCCCATGAGGTTTGAAATGCGAGACGTAGCATGACAGGTTCTGCGACGTCTCACTCTATCATGCCTATCCTGCATGACAGACTGCCTCTAAACTTGTTCAAAAGTGGACAGCTTTTGGTAGTCATGCAACACAAATTTGTGTACGATCCAGACTTAGCATGACAAGTTCGTGTCCTCGTCCCAGACCCAGACATATTTGCAATGCATAGCGATCCGCTTCAGTGATGTGCTGCCCGGGTTGTCCTGGTGCTGCTGCTGGAGTCCAGTATGCATTGCAAAAGTACACCCGTATATTAGTGGCACACGCATTACAAGCAGCTTATTTCGATGTCCCAAAAGGAGAGATGGATTTTTTTGTACTGCTGATTTATGATCACTTAGGACGAGCAGATCTGTCATGCACGCGACTGCAAAAATTATATTATGTAAGTACAAGTGAACGATAGTACTTTTGCACATGATATCCAACGAAGGTGGTATGCAACAGGCGGAGCATTTTTACTGCAAGAAAGCCTTTCTCTACTACTCCGAGCAAGAGACTCGTCCTTCAGAGCTTCTTTTGTCAGTGTCTTGTTGGTCAGCAACGGCATCTTTTGTCTCGACCATTCGGATCGCCTACCGTGTTCAAGATTCTCGGAGCTCCTGCCCGATGAAGG